GAAAGGGTAGAACTGCGAGACGACGTTTTCGTTGAATGCGGCGTCGCTGCCTATGCCTTTGACAGTGAGGTTCTGCCAGGTGACGCCGAGTTTGCGGGGCTTTTGGCCAATTTCTTCGTCGGCGTCACGCATGGCTTGGAGTTCGGGTGCGAGATGCCATTGTGTCGTGGTGTTGGTCTTTTCGAGGGGAGGTTTGTCGATTAGGGCCGGGGGAGGTTGTTCGGTGGCTGTGATGGAGCCATCTTCGGTGGTGGAGGAATTGACACTCATTGTTACGGCTGAGAATTAAGGAATGAAAGAGTAGTAATTAGAGAGCGATGTAGATTTAATTGAGTGACAGAGGGCGTAAGGGAACGAAAGGTGAGGGTGATAAAACAGCGACAGAAACGTTTTACATGTACGCAACAAATAACTATCTGTTCTCGATCAAAGCGTCATCAGCCTCACTGACTAAACTCCAAAACCCTCCGAACTCAAATACGGAGACCAACTGAATGAATCAGCAATCATAGAAGAAAACCCTGCGGAAACGCCATTCATTATCAACAGCGAGGAGTCCGACCGTCTCCCTCACGGCATGTCCCAAAGCTAAACCCCATGCGGCCACACAAGCGAGTCCGAGGCGATCGACAGGCCAATGCGATCACGGCAGTTCTCCCTAACCGGGACAGTTACTAAACACTGCCGTGGGCGTTCACGTGTCGGAGAGTATACTAATCACCAAATCCCCCCAACGGGACTAGCTCCCCTTGCAGTGTGAAACCTTCCGCGGAGGGTTTTGTATATAGAGGTGGTCTCGCAGCGGACTTCGCTCCTGTCCTTCAATCCGACAGTCCATTCAATTTTATCACTGCTTGCAGACAAAGCTCCGTTGACAATGGGCGTCTCCGCACCGCATCCTTCTCAGCGACGCTTCTCTTGTGACGTCTGCAGGAAGAGCAAATCACGATGTCAACGGATAAAACCTACCGATGAGAAATGTGCGCGATGTTCGATGCTGGGAGTCAAGTGCGAGATTGGACAGCAAAAGGTTCCAGGGCGGCCGCGACGAAAACAAGCCGGAAAGGGCTCACCACCGACTGTTCAGCATCTGCCTGTCAGTAAACCAGTCTCTCATAATGCGATGTCGCAAAACGCTACGCTCATGGATGATTGGAGTCCGTTTGACTGGACGGGCATGTTATCCCCGAAACAGTCCCCTCCTCAAATGACGGCCACCGCGATACAAGATGGAATTGCAGCATCGTGGGGAATTGGATTCACAGACATTTTTGACCAGTCAAGCACGTCTTGGAATACAGGCGGTGATCTCGAATACGCAAATACTCCGCTGTACACCGATATAGACACCATCACGAACTTATATCCGGTCAGCATGTCTCCGAACTCCACCATCACATACGAAACCTACTTCCCCTTGACCAACTGCCTCACAACACATCACCCGCGAAAGGCAGACCCTGGAGCGTTCATGGCCGACCTATCGACGATAAACCTGGGTCTACACGTCCGCCTCGAAGCAATGAAGAAGACCAAGCCGTCGCTCGACTTTGATCTCATGATCTATCAACAAGGCCCGTTATTTATCGACGGCATCACATTGGCAGAATACATCATCAAAGCAGCTCAAGAGTTTATGTTCATCTTGACGAAACTCTACAATACCCGACACTGCCCAGAGCTCTTACTTGATTCGCAGCCGATGGAGTTGATCTGCCCATGCCATCTGTCTTCGGAACTTCGAGAGAAGTCAAGGAATTTATTTGACGTCTCACTTCCTAGGCCCACTGTTACCTCAGAGCCATTACCTACCCCAATAGCACTGATGATCACGAGTATCTTCATCCAGCTCATCACTATCTACGAGCTTATCCTCGATAACATCGCTACACGAGTCGAACGAATTGCCACCGATCCGATCGAGCCCGTCCCGGGTCTTATCGTCTGCGGCCGACCACTTGAGAGACCTTGCACACAGGGTATGATCTTCTGTGAAGTGTCGGTTAGTCTCATCAAGAATATTGAGCGCGTTCTAGGTGTTGGGAGAGGACAAGAGGGTAAGGAAGTAGGTCTGTTGTCGCCCAGGCAGGTTGAGGTTCTTGGGAACGAGTTAGATGAAAGACGTCGCGTCATTCCTGATCATGCTATGATGACGCCTACTATGTTACGGAAGCTACTCGGAAAGGTTGCGGATATCTTTAGAAGTATTAGAGTTTAGTTTGGCTTGTTAGACTGTGCTTGCGAATGTATTACTCTACGACTTGGAATGTTGTTCACTTGTGTATTACTAGCGGTTGCTGTGAACTTGCCCATGAGATGCGAACATTTACCCCCCAATGTTCGCGTAGCGATTCAGCAATGTGCCATGGCATTCTGATCCTCTTTTGACTAAAGTTTGACTCTCTATCGTGACCGTTCCTTGTAGAGTCAGCCCAAAGGTTACCAGGTACCGTGTCCTCGAAAACTGGCTCTTTAGAGTACCAACAGTAAATGAAAGATTATTATTACAAATTAAATATAACCCTGAGTCATGACCGAGTATCTAACTATCCTTTGGCAGACTGCTCTGACCCTTCTTATAAATCGTCTTCTTCACATCCTTCGTGAGGCCAACGCCCCCTTCGGAAATCCCATCAAAGATCTTTCTCCATCCAATCGCATTAAGAAGCCAAACGACATATGCATTCGCTCCCTGCCATATATACTCCCCCTTGCTCAAGGCCGTCTTATTCTTCAACACATCCCTCACCACCAATCGCGCAAACTCTGCAGGCTTGGTACCATTCTTCAGATGAAGTCTAGATCTCTCACGGAGACCTTCCTCGGCATCGATGAAGATACTATCAGGAGAAAGAAGCTTCTTGTCGGGGGATGTGAGATGCGTTGCGACTACTCCCATGTATAGAGTAATGACCTTGATGCCGAGGGGAGCAAGTTCAAGACGTAGTGTGTCGGAGTAGGAGGCTACTGCTGCTTTGGTGGCGTTGTACTGGGCGGTGAAATAATAAGGTACGCGCGCTACGATCGAGGCTGTGTTGATGATGGTAGGTGTCGTTTTTGAGTCAGCGACCGATGCGAGGAGAAGTGGAGTGAAAGCCTGGACCATGTCGAAGAGGCCAAAAACGTTGGTCTTGAACATGTTCTGGACTTGATCCTTGTCGGCTTCGATGGCGGGGGCCTCGTACACTGCAAGAGTCAATACGCGTTCCCATTCACAATTGGCAGTGCAGACTTACTCATTCCAGCATTATTAAACAGAATATCCAACTTTCCTCCCGTTCGCTTTGTAATCTCGTCCTTGAGAGCAGATATACTCTCCGAGTTGGTCACGTCAAGCGTCAGAAGCTCGATGCTTTTCTCTTGAAGACCAGCAAGCGATTTGGTGGATCGAGCGGTCGCAAAGACTCGATAGCCTTTGGCTGCGAATTCTAGAGCGAGGGCATGCCCGGCTCCTTCCTCAGAGCAGCTGCATATACATTAGTTAAGTCCCGATCTGGATTCCATGCCAATCGTAGTGGAGCGTACCCAGTAATTAAAGCTGTCGGCTTGTTGGACATTATGGGGTATTCGCAAGGTGGTGTTATTGGGTTCAGTGCAGACCAGGTTTGCTCTTCAGCTGATAGAGTATGCTGAAAGTATCAATTGTGATGCGGAATATGGCTGGATAACTGGAGCCTTGTCTAGAGTCTTGATTACATTGTCCCTTTATAAAGCTTGTGTGCAAATTGGTGGTTGGTCATCATAACCGCTATTGACAACCATTGGCTTCTCTCCTCGGAGGCTTTAGTAATAATGAAGAGGAACAGCTTCAATCTCAACCTGGCTGCGGGCGTATGGAGACTTGCCGAAACTCAATTGCAATGCGGAGTCTGCGGGCATTGCTCCGGTCAATGCGGCCATTTCGGGCTTCGTGGCGGGGAATGCATCGGTAGTTGGTTGATTAGTGAACAACCCGACATGCTAAGTTGCGCTGGGACATTAAGTTAGTAATCCGAGCTGATGCAGTGAGACCCTTATTACAAATCGGAGAAATAATTATTCCCTGTCTTGTTTCGCGCATGTGTCCTGATACCTAGTCGCAAGAGGACGCTTCCGTCCAGTTTTGCCTGATACTGTAGCTCTTCTACTATGTATCCATTCACTGGAATGGATAGCTATTCACAGAAGGTCTCGCGCTGAAGGAAGAAAGGCTTGGATGCCTACGACAAATCATAAACATGCCTCCTAAGATTATACGAAACTTACTTGATTGAGTCTTTTTGCCTCTTATGAACGAGGTATTGTCACCACGCTGGGAAAACATCACGCATTGGATTCTAGATGCGCCACAGAATAATTATATACGTATAAATCATATACCAGGTCTCACTTTGATGCAGTTGTCACAGTGGTGAACACCAAGGTGGACTGGCCTGTATGGTCTGCACTTGATGCAGCCCTATCCACGCTATCAGACAATGACTCTGCAGCCTTTCATATTGAGAAGTCTTGGTCCATGTGATATCCTTGGTGCATAATGTAACATGATGCTGACTGGTTTGATGTGGGCAAGATCTGGTTGGTCCCAAGAATGCGAGTATTCTGCACCTCAAGAGACATGTGACATTGTCAAATCAGGCTGTCTATCTGGCCGGGCGAAGGACGCCAGCGCCACATTCAATATGTCGTGCAGCTGCACGGTTTCGCTCAGAATGATCGACATCTATCAAGCCGTTTATGCAAAGCGCTTGGAGTAATAATGCGTGTCTTCTTCGCATTGGATGGCTCTTCAGAAAAGCACTTGGTCTCGATCGATCGAGTTATCCTATACTGAGTGTCTCGCGCATATATTTATACTATATAGTCATCCCATTTTCTACTGGTTATTCTCCCTAGACTTGATTCTGGTTCAACTCTGCTTAGTTTCGTCTATCATCTCTAACCGCTTATATCCAAATCCCAGAGTATGTCTCTTTTCCTTCCCTTGTCTAGATGCTAACCTGTAGTAAAGACATCAAACCATGTGCTACCAAACCAAGACCGTCGAGGTCTGCGACAGATGCAGTGGCACCAGCATTGGTAGCTATGGGCCCATCACGCCATGCGGTCGGCGTGGACGGGGCCCTTTGACCCAGATTGATGACAACACAGAAGAGCCATGCTATGGAGTTGAGGTTGATGAAGAGGAAGTTTCTATCGATTTGTGTCATAACTGCCGTATCTTGGAAGAGCTGGAGGCTCGAGAGCGTGAGCGACAGCAGGACAATGATACCGATGATGAAGACATGGAAGAGGTCTATATTCCCTAGGCACAGCATTGGCATTTCTTTTTACTTCAGCCAGAATTTCCAGAATTCGAGAACCTCAGAAGAGTTGCTTAGCCTTGAATTACGATGTTTATTGCCACTTATACAATTACATCATGTAGGTCATCAACAAGAGCGACACGCAAGTGCTCATGCCTTCATAGAGAGCAAGCGGGATTTTGTCACTATACAGTCAGCTATCTTAACTCCAAAGCAACATTTCAGACCGCCGACACAGTGGATGTGGCTTGTGGCTGTGACAGATGTCATGGTTGCAAACTTTGTTGCCAGTGGCGCCAAGGTATAACGCTAGATCTGATAACTAACCAGATCCAGACTCGAAGAACCACGAATTCGGGATCATGAGGCCACGCATGAATCAGACACCTCGTCATTATTTGGCATTAAAAGGAATAATCCGCCAAATTTGCACTTGTGGCCATTTCATCTTTCTGTTCTCGTGTTGTGTTTTGCTGTTCGTGCTTCGAGTTACCCGTCGTCAGCCATCATGAATTATGAAGATACCAGAGCACGCATAGTGCAGTACGATCACCTGCCGTCAAGTCTGACATCTTAATTGACGAAGCCAACAGAGCCCGCGAGTCCGGCGAATTTACCGATTTTACATTGGCATGTGACGGCCGAGATATCAAGGTTCACAAGATCATCATTTGCAGCCAATCTCCAGTCTTTCGTGCAGCATGTGCTGGTCAGTTCAAGGTACAGAGATTCGATACAACATGAACACCCGACTGTCGTTCTGAGAGACTTCTAGGAAGCATTTTCCGGTACATATGACTTGAAATCACATCAGCCTGATATGATACAGCTTATGGTCGACTACCTGTATACGGGCGACTATTCTATCGACATGAACGAGGCCGACGACACCGACGAGACCAAAACTGCATCAAATACTGGGGCTCTCTCAACTCATGCGGTAATGTATGCTCTAGGGGACGAATACGACATCAAAGGGCTCAGAGATCTATCCGCTCGAAAATACTCATGGTCCTTAGACGAGAGCCTAGAACTCGACGAGTTTCTCAATTCAATCCCATTCGTTTACACCATGACTCCCGATAGCTCAAGGGGTCTCCGAGACCCGGCATTGGAGTTTGCAAGAAACAAGCTACGTGGTGCAGGGGGGCAATCCGAAATCCGAGAGGCATTTGACGAGCTACTCATTGAGTGTCCTGATTTCTTGAAAGAGCTTCTCTACTACTGTGTTCAAGCTCCGTCCCTCGGATATTGCCCTTGCACGGGTCCACGGGATAGAGTGCCAGTTGAGGCTGAAGGATATCGTTGTAAGGGATGTGGCAGAGAAGGTGCAAGTCTTAGCAGGCCTGTCTAGCTAATACAGTGCTTCACATTATGACTAGTTGAGATTCGAAGATGGAAATGTCTATATCCAATAGCATGATACAGTCAATCCGACACCGGAGAGCGATAGTTCTAGGTGGTGAGTAGTTAAGACTCACGGCGGAGAGCCAAGCTGGTTGGACAAAATCGATTTGGGATTAACCATATAGCCGGGCTGGGTGTGTATCCTGGGCCTGGGACAATTTTGACCTGAGTTTGCTTTCTTCGACTGAGAGCATAGACAGCATTAATACAAAACTCAATCGGGATTTAACATGAAGCTATCGCGACATTGAGGGTGCTTCAAAGCCAAGAGGGTAAAGTCCTTCGCATCCCAACTCCAGGCCCAGGTCGAATTTACAGGCGTACAAAACGGAAGGCTGTTCAATAGAATATAGGATTCTTGACAGTCCCAATTGACAATGTGTAGTGACACCGATTCCAGCACGCGAGGTTGTCGCGATAATGGCAGGTTCACAAAGAGTAGGGGAAATTGTGTCGAGCGCTCAATGTCGCATCTGGGTCGAATTTACGGGCGGATAATTATGAAACGGTGACAATATGATATAAGCTTCTTATTCATATATGTTTCATTTAATTCGGAGTTATATTCGTGGTGAAATTGATTTTCCAAGTTGCAGCCAGACGTGGTAAAGTTCGTCAAAAAACCCAGGTTTTCGACGCCCCTATTCTAAACTCAGGTTTTATTCCACATCAAAAAAAGCAGAAGTCAGATCTCCATTTCTCGGCGTGTCCACGACATATATTATCATTTATTCTCACGATTTTGCGATCTTGAAACCTTTTGACTTTTGCACTGAGTTCACTAAGTTCTCTCGGCCGATTCAAGCTGAGAGCCAGACTTGCAATCTCTGAAGTTCAATTCATCTCCCATCTCCCGTCTCCCATCTACCCATACTAATTTTATCACGCCAGCGCATCGCTCTCCGAGTCTTCATCTGAATCCGATGTCCCCTCCCACGAACTGTGCAAACTCTCCTGTGTCTCGGGGGCCTCCTCACTGGTTCCAACCAGCTCATTATCTGAGTTCTCAGTGGAATCGGGTATCTCCATCCAGAACGGATATCGCAAAGCACGCGGCAGCTCCAGGGCTTCATCGTTGACGATCAACGGCAGACAAAGATCAGAGCCAATGGTGTTTTCGATGGTGTGCTTGAGCCGAGGTTTCTTGGGAGGTACTGGTGAGATCTTATCACCTGTTGTCCGCTTGCGTACAGAATCCCAGCCCTTGAACAATAGACCAAACCAAAACACGAGCCAGACAAGGAATAAAAATAAACTAGTCAAAGGCTACACTAAACTTATCATAAAATATCCTTAGATATCCTCATATCATCTAAACTCTTCAGATTTTAGGACGAGGTACAAGTTGGATGCACGCATACAGCAACAGCTGGTGATGGCGCAGTCGTGCGAACGAATAGGTTTATTAGGAAGGTTATTCTAATATTCAGTATATACAAAGTATTGACTAGGGGTTCAGCCTGGGGGCGCATCGTTCTCATGACGGCTGAAACTTAACTGGCACGTCTTACTTGTCAAGCCTGTACAGCATGTTGCTCATCCTCATCCTCATTCGGATTATCATACCGTGTAGGCTTCACTCCAGTGAGTTTTGCTGATTCAAATATGTCCATCCATAGATGAGTTTACCTCTACAGCGAATAGGCCTGTAGAATAAGTTATCAAGTCATGTAAGGTACACTGGAGTTGCATCTCGACATTCACCAATCACCTTCGGTCTACGATAATTGGCAGCAATGGGGTCTTTTCTCCACTTCTGTGGGCTCGAGTCATGTCGCGATCTGGTACCCACATTCATGACTAAGGCGAAGTCTGAACATCACAAATCTTCACCAGACTGGCAGATATTTCGATCAAAATATTGCACAGTTGTCGCATGAAATGAAGCCTTCTGAGTATTTGGTCATAAAACATTAAATTCTGATTCTCATAGTATATCTTTGCGCCAGGCATCTATCGTGAAAGGTCCATCTAGAACGCCTCTATTATATTCATCCGTCTTGATCCGATCCAATTAAGCCATCTCGTTGTGCTTCTTCTCGCGCTGCTCAACGATAACATCGTTCTTCTCGTTATCGTAGGTGATCTCATCGACAGTTGACTCCTCAGCCTTGGGGGCCAGGAATGTAATTCCGCCGCGAACCCAGTTGACAGCGACATAACCGAGGACGTAGACGAAGCCGATAGTAGGGACGATGTAGGAGATTCGAGTGCCCTTAGCATCAGCGATTGCGCCCTGGATAGGAGGGAACACAGCACCGCCTGAGACACCCATGACAAGGATACCAGCAGCACGTCGAGTGTGGTGGCCGAGGTTTCGGGTACCCATGGCGAAGATGGTGGGGTACATGGGAGCCATGAAGAAGAAGATGGCAATGAGGATACCGACACTGGCAATACCCCTGGGAGCAGCGCTGACGTAGGCAGTAAGGGCGATGGCACAGCAAGAGTAGACAACCATGATGAACTCGGAGCTGAAGATGACAGCAAGACCAGTAGCGACGAATCGACCGACAGTGAAGGTGATGAGAGCATAGCTCAGCATGGTGCTACCCTTGGCAGTTGTGATGTCACCGTTCTCGTGGGCGTAGTTGATGAAGAAGGTAGCGATGGTGACCTGGGCACCGACGTAGCAGAACTGAGCACCGAAGGCGAACCACATGTTCCACTGCTTCCAGATGGAGCCCTGAGTGACGTGACCAGCCTGGTCATCCTCAAGAACAGCCTCGCTGACCTCAGGAAGCTTGGCGAAGAAGAAGAGGACACCGACGGCGGCGCCAGCACAGGCGACAGCGAGGTAGACATACTGGACGTTGGTGAGGTTGTTCTGGTTCTCGCCGGTGAAGAAGAACTTGGAGGCGATGAGGGGACCGATGAAGGAAGCGACACCGTTCCATGACTGGCAGAATTGGAGACGAGCGGAGGCAGACTCAGGAGCGCCGATGACGACAGCGTAAGAGTTGGCGGCAGTTTCGAGAGTAGCGAGACCACAAGCGATGACGAGAGTGCAAGCGCAGAAACCACCAAAGACAGCGCGACCGTTGGCGTTGCTATCAGCAGACTTGGCAACAGGCCAGAACAGAACAGCACCGAGAGAGTAGAGAGTAAGACCCATCAAGATAGTGAGCTTGTAACCGCGACGCTTGAGAACCTCAGCAGCAATGGGAGAGAAGAGAAGGTAACCGCCACCAAAGTACATGACCTGCAGGCCAGTGGACTCGAGCTTTGTGATACCGAGGACGGTTTGGAAATGCTTGTTGAGGACATCGAGAAGACCGTAGGAGAAACCCCAGAGGAAGAAGAGGGAGATGACGAGGGAGAGGGGGTAGATGAGGGCGCGACCAGTCAGGTAGCCGCCTGCGAGCTGGGGAGCCGCTGTGGGGATAGCACCGCCTGCCATTGTGATGGAATGTGGGTGTTGATAAGAGAAGAAGAAAAGATGTTCTTGTCTATCAGATGAGAGAAGATGAGAGTGATGATGAGAATGAAGATATTCGCGGTGGTTGATGGTCTTCTTTATACAAATCTCGCCGCCCCCAGACTTGTCCACGCCAGCAGCTAGCTCTGTCTCCAGTAGAGTAGCTTTTTTTCTTGCTTGAGCAGCTAGCCTGCGGAGTCCCCAGTGTCGGCGCGATAAACTCAAGCTACTGTCCCACTTCCCCAACGCAATCCCCCAGACGCAGAAAACTTGGAGATGTGGAGGTGGGAAACTCTACTCCGCGTGAAGAAAGGGTGACGGTCCACTTCTCCATGACCCCAAGTTGTGCGAAAATTCTCATCCCGCGGCATCGCCTAAGCCGTGCAGCGCAATCCAGACCAGTCTGGGGAAGAACCATAAAACAAGCTACCAATAGGCCCCATCGCTCTTCAACCACTCACGAACTTGGTCTCCAACGCCAAGGGAGAAGCGTAACGCTTACGGGTTTAGAGCGTTGGAGCCGTTGTGGAGAGATGGTGGGGATCGGACCGACAATACGCCCGTCGTGAGACCTCTCTTGAATAAGCTTAGTGACTGCCAAGCAGTCGATCTCCCGGCCTGTGATGATAGGTCTGGATGCGTGGGAGAGCAGAGCAGCGCGTGGGAAAGCTCTCCAAATGCACTCACTCGGGTTAGCAAGGCTCTGCAGTATTCGGGCCTTTAATTTCGTACCAAGACCGCGCTATCGACCGGCATCGGCGTTATCAACCTGATTTAGCAGAACAAGGCTGATGATGCTTGTCTCCTTTGGCCTTGGTGTTTCTGCAAATGTGTGTCGTGGTTCACGGTGTCATTGGTCAAGCAAGGTTATGTTGGACAAGTCAAAATGAGATGATTCGTCTCCCAATGCAACGGTAAGTTTGATGAGGGTTGTTGGGTCACTCAATTGAGTTGTTTTTTGACGTGACTGCATGCCATCCAGCAGGGTTATCTCCCTGGATCTCTTGTTTTAGGTTTCTCGGCTGTTAGGCATCATACGAAATTATCGAGAGCTAGACTGACTCGAACGCCACAAGATCGCTTTGTAACCGGCCCGTTCGATGCGCATTAGTCTCACCCAAGGTCCAAGCTCCCCCAACGCGAAGCTGTCATTCATTGAAAAGAAACACGCGTTGAATTAAAATATCCCGCATGAGCTGAATTGGGTAGAAGGGGGAGACTGGGGAACGCCGGCCTAAGGGAAGTTGAGAAGCTGGGGGTTAAGAAGGAGGGGGCACTCTCACCCTGGAATGTCTCATCATTTCGGCCCATGAGGTCTTGGCGAGCTGACAAGCAGAATTTGGAGTAAAGACTCCGTAGTGACTGGTGCTGGTCTGCTGACCATTGACGCAAAATACGACCTAATCCATTTTTCGTTTAGATGGGCTTCGAAAAAGCTTCGAATGCTTCTAGTCTTGAGTCGAGGTCAGTTGATTAACCTGTTTCTGTCTAGTGAATAGAATCAAGTGCCGGTTTGATTTGATGCCGGGCTTGGCCGACACGTGAGGGTTGCGAAATTGGGAGTGAGCCATGCCGTTTTGACGATGGCTCGATACGGTTTGATCCGTGGGGCGGGAGAGAGGAGAGTGAGCTCACCACTTGCGAGATAGATCATGATCCAGATCTGATCAACGAGCTGGAAACGTGCTGCTGCATGCAACGGCATTGCCCGATTGGACAGAGACGCAGGTGTCGCTCCGGTATTGAAATGCTGGTAATTCATTGGGTGCCACGTTTAGAGATGGAGCTTGGGCCAATGAAAGTGGCGTCGCTATGGCCGCCACAACAGAAACTAAGTGGCGCATGGATAATTATTAATCCTTTCACGAATTGTGGCTTCGATGCGGTTCTCAGCTGAATGGTAACAACGACAGCATGTTACACAGAATAGTAGAGTTAATTATTTTATAAAGCAGATATTAAAGAGAAGTATGGCGTGTCCGTTGCTTAATCACGTTGTTGTACTTTCTGATTGAAGCTATGACTTTGGTGCAAGCTCTCGTGATAACAAATTGAATGTATTGAGAATTGAAATGTTATGCATGCACGCTGCACAACAATCACATCATCTGTAGGCAAATTCAATCATCTATGATACGTAAATAAGCTTGTGACTGATTCCTCCGGGTTGACTTGCAATTGACGTTGCAAGCGGTGCAAAGTGCCTCCGATTTTATGTTTTTGCTCTTCGTGCAGGGTAAGACGTACGTCACCCACCGATATCACCGAACTATAGAGCCGATCTTTTGTCTTATCTGATAACAGAATTCACCGAGCTTCACCTGAGATTACCTTAATGCCGAGCTATATCCACTGAATACACCGATGACCGAACTCTTAACCGCGAGTATTAATAGTCAGCGCGCATGACACCCACATTGACAATTGTTCTTGGCATTGATCAAATGCATGGATATTACCATGGCTTCTAGGCTTCTTCTTCAAAACGGTACCGTGTTGCAGCATGATGCGCAAGACAATGTCATCGCACTTAAAAACACCGACATCTTGATTGAAGGTGATCGCATCATTGAGATCGGACATGGTATCGAACCTCAAAATGCATCCAAGATTGACTGCGATGGAAGAATTATCGCTCCTGGGTTCATCAATGCTCATCATCATGTTTGGCAGAGTCAGTTGAAAGGGAGACTTGGCGACTCTACAATGTTGGACTACATGCTTGAAGGTCAGTACCCTTTCGGGGGAAGACATGGGCAAAACGCTGATGAAGTACTAGCCAATCTGCAAAGCTTCAACTTTACGCCAGAAGATATATTTTGGGGTCAGCTGGCTGGCTGTCTTGAAGCACTTGACGCTGGGACGACCTGCGTCGTAGACAATGCGCACGGGGCATCTGGCCCTGAACACGGCCCAGCAGCTTTGAGTGCGACCCTAGCATCTGGTATAAGGTCCATATTTTGCCATGGTGTCATGCCACTACGCGCTGCTGAGTGGACAGAGTCTTCATTCGAGCTCGATCGTTCTCCTCAACCTGATTGGCTGCTGCCTCAGATGGATAGTCTTGCTGCAAGAGCGCCGTTTGGAGATGACAAGAGAGTGCAGTTGGGGTTCTTCTTCGACAGTTACTTCTTGCCTGAGAATGTAATTTCTGAGACGCTTAATCGTGTCAAAGAGGCTGGAGTGAAGCTTATTACAAGCCACTACAGACACTGGCCAGTTTCAAAAGGTCCGCATCGCCTGAATTTTCTCTTCTGAGTACATGAAGCTGACATATATACACAGGACAATCTCAAGTGCCGGAGCAATTGCACGCCTGTGGTCTTCTCGGCCCTGAAATCCTCCTTACTCATGGCAACGGCACAACACCAGAGCAAGCGTCTCTACTCAATGAAGCCGGAACTTACATCGTCTCAACACCCGATGCCGAGATCTTCATGGCATCGGGCGCAGACCCAGTAGCTTTTCGGGAAGATCTCCCATTGACATGCCTCGGAGCTGATTGTCACTCCTGCGGACCAGTCAGCATGATGCATCAAATGCAGATGGCACTAGCAAGTGATCGAGGAATGCAGAACGTGACAACATTTGCACAAGGGCACTATCCTAAGAAGATGCGGGCTACGGTTCAAAAGGCGTTCAATTTGGCTACTATCAAAGCCGCTCGTGCGATCAACATGGATAAAGACATTGGATCTATTGCAGTGGGCAAGTTGGCGGACTTGGTCATCTTCGACACGACTTCTCCTTCAATCAGCTGTGCAGCTGATCACGACCCATTAACTGCTATCGTCCGCCATGCAGGTGTCAGGGAGGTTGAGACTGTGATAGTCGGTGGAAAGGTTCGCAAGCATGATGGAAGTCTGCAGAACGTGCACTTGGTGGAGGGTCGAGAGGCTGGTTTCGATCTCAAGCTCGAGGCAGTTGACGCAAAGGACGGAAAATCGTGGAAAGAAGTTGCAAAGCAGTTGTCGAGGAGTCGAAATGAGATTGAGGGCAGAATTAATAAGGTCAACAAAGAACTGGCTAAGGAGAAACTTATTGGAATGATGGGAGGCTTGAAGGACATATTGGTTGACTGATGGATCTTCTGTCTAGAACTCAACCGTGTAGTATTAATGAAGAGACAGATCCCAACTCTGGCTTTAATGATAATCTAAGCGGAAACTTCGAACCTTAATCCTAAATGATACTAAAACTTAAGTAACTCAGTATAAGTTTAGGGTACTATTTACTAATTTTATTTTAATACTAAACCGTGACGATTAATGTTTTCTTACTCCTGAAGGAGGAGTTAGAGCCATACTCTTCTTATCAAGATAATCGATACCAACAACACCACCAGCTTATTTGTCCTGCTCACCATCTCTTGACTGTGAATATTAACAGCTGATCTCATCGCCTTAAAAGCAAAAATGCTTAAGCATAGGATACCCAAATGCGCCCGCTCAAGATGGTTAAATTTCCGACCGCTTCTCAGTCATCGATTTCTTCAATTCCCTCATCATGCCATTCCAAGGCGCGTCTTCGCGTTCAGATCTATTTATACTCCCCCCAACTATTCACGCGTACAAATTAGCTCAGAGGAAGACACCAAGAGCCTCTACTGCCTATTGCAATCCTACATCCAAGACCCATCCCGCGCAAAAGCCGTCAAAGAGGTCGTCATCGATGCAACACCCTGGATCTATGCCTCCACGTCAAAGTTACCGGAATACGACGAACTGCCGACTTCGATGGGATATGAAGAACTTGCCGATCACCCGGAAATAAGACTACGAAGATACGCTCGCCACCTAGGCTTGGGCGACGCAACGGCTGATCAGGTCGATAAGATCCTTAGTTGGAAGTGTCGCGAGTATGGATTTAAACTTCAGAAAGAAAGCGAGTTTTCAATTGCCATGATAATCCTTCTCTTTTCGCTCTGCGAGAATATCTCCACGCTATATCTCGCCGAATACCTCCAACAGCCTGTTCTGGACTACATGCTCAAAACAAACTATGCACAGATGAAGAGTCCCCCGCTTCAGAAGCTGAAAAATGTCCGTTTCTTCGCTGGCGCTCAGATGGACGAGAGATTTTACAGCGCGTTTAATATTCTCGAATTCATGCAGTTGATACATCGTCTCCCAGCTCTTGAGTCAGTCGCTATGGACGGCCTGTCGGATTACCAGGCGGACCGCACGTTCTTCGTTCCGGGGACAGGAAACATGAAGAGATTGGAAATCACCCATTGCGATATTTCATCTGGCATACTCGACGTCATGATCTCGATTCCCAAGGCGCTTGAGGAGTTCAAGCTGTCGATTGGTGGTTTGATGACTAATGATGGGGCAGATACTCATAGCGAACCGTTTCATATTGCAAGGGCACTCTCTGCGCATAGAGACTCGTTGAGAGTGTTGGACATTGACGTTGATGTAGGCACTGGAGCAGACGTGCTGGATGGGGATGTTGACAGGAACTGCGAGGGAGAAGATGATGACAGATTTGATTGGGAGATACAGGACCAGCTTGATCTATATGGACGTGATAGGCTCGCTTTGGATAGAGAGATCGGTACTGGGCACAATATGGATAGTGGCAGAGAGTACACAGCGACTATCGGGTCATTACACGACTTTCCTCACCTGACGCATCTGAGCATAGGCATCATGCCACTCCTCGGGGAATACGATGGATGGCAACCACCCTTTCGAATAGAGGAACCGCCCTACCGACTTATGAAACCCGCGCCTTTCCGACTGGTAGACATGCTACCGCCTTCTCTGGAGTATCTGTGCCTCTATAGGTATGCACGGGGTGAAAATCCCGATGTTGACGAGCATATTGATGAGCTTCTGGCTAAAAGAAATGAAAAATTGCCGAATTTGAAGGTTATTAGGGGTATTGATGAGCGTGTGCGGGATATAAAGGATATTCTTCATGATATGGCCGTGGAGGAGGTTGATGAGGAGGATTGTTATGTGAGAGGGGAGGGTTTGGAGTCTGGATGGAAGAAGGTGGACGAGCCGGAGAAGAACTAAGAGGTGGAGGAATAGTCTAATTCTAACCCTAACCATTGAATGCTATTGTCCGTAATAAAGATGTCAGAGAGGAGTGAGGTGGCTCATGGTCCGCGGTAGCAAAGCTAAGATCTGCAACTTGTTGAGGAGTAACGAAGGTGTAGGTTGACATATTGAAGCTTGAAAATATGCTTAGTGCCGACAGCCTGATAGGCACAGCATAGTCATGTTGTCGGATTCTGCTGATTTCGTCTGCTATCAGCGATAGGTTGGCTTGCTTGAACCTGTTGGGAATCTAGTGGTATGCCGAATTCCGATCTGACTGGTCAGATGATCGATAGCGCAGGCCTTCTCAATTTGTATTATAGCGACCTCAAATACGTCCGAGCTTTGTAGTCTTTAGCAACTTAATTTGACTCTTGCATATTTCTCCCAGCTTTTTATATGCTTCACGAAGGGGCTTAAACGCAAGTTTCTCGTCCTTTTGGATAGCGAGCTCGAGAAACTCGATCGCGACACGGCATCGAAGTTCTGGAAGGCAGCGTCAGCATGAAATAAAAGAAAAGTCATCCGCGAATACAAAGTCTTACCATCTAGGTCATGATCAGGAGTACGCAGAATTAACTTATGCTGAAAATCGCTTCCTGGATCTGCTATGCCTTCCCAGATCGCGCTTCCAAAAAGATAAGCAGCTTTACCATCGAATTTACCCGCACGTTTCTTGAGATTTTCAATTTGGAGGGTGGATAGCTGGCATTCAGTAGGTAGCTTGTTCCCCTTGATCACATCATCGAGTAGTTGCATAACCTGCTCATCTATCTCCTCACTTGGCATGTTTTGAAGCTGTTGTGGGATCAGAGGTGTCTGCATGATTTCGATGAGCTTATCCTTAACAGCCATTGCTGATGGCCGCTTTCTAGGATTCTTGTTGCAGCATCTTCGTACAAGACGTGCAACCTCAGCATAGACTGAGTCGGTGTGATCAGAATCCCACTCAAAATTGCCGTCCTCAATTGATTTCCTAATCTGGGTGACTTGATCGCCTTGGAGAACCTTTTCGTTCATGCTGAAAGGCGGCTTCCGGGAGATACATTGCCATATTAGGATTCCAAGACTGAATACAGTTAAAAAGGTTAGTCGTTAAAGGGAAGCGAAGCTGGATCATACCTCCAGATGTCTGTTTGTATCGTATGCTGCCGAATTTGTTGCTTTTCTGGAGCTTCATATCGAGCATCGTACTTTTCTCCGCCAGTTATCTCATTCATCTGCCAATCAATTAAATCAGTGATTATCATAAAAAAATAAGATATGGGTAGCTACCATTCTGGCTCGATCGATCTCCGTTAAGTACGGTACCAACTGCGAGTTCTCAGTTACCAACAGAACCGTTTGATCTGTCAGGCTTTTGAGAAGGATCTCAACTGAGTGCAAGTAAGTCATCGTTGCTGCAACGTCAGCGGCTACCTTAACTCTATCCATGACCTCCTGTAGACACCCCTCATCTGAGAGAGCACTAGCTAGAGATGGAGAGCCTCGAAGGTTTTGGAACACCAGCCAACGCATTCCATTATACCTGGCGATACCGTAGAATGGATGCACCAGACAACGTGCTGATAGCTTGCTGTAAATGGCTACATGCCTTGGGCCCTTTTCTCCAATGCGCATCAGGCTCTCCTTGACTTTAGTACAAACGATGGACACTGAATGAGAGTCTGAGAGTCGGAGTGTCCCAGCGATCTCTTCTGGTGTTTCAGTGGTGATCTGGAGACGCGCGTCGCCAAATTCGAAGTCCACAGCTGCATCATCGGTCGCACCTATACCTTCTTGATTCTTCTTGATGTCCTCAAGGATGCTGAGCTTATCCAGAATCTCAGCATGATACTGGTCCGTTCGATCAAGTTGCAGCCGACTTTCGTCCAGCAACTTGAGAACATCTTCTTTCGAGTCAAGCTTTTCCCATGTTAGCCAGTCATAAGTACCAGGGACGAGATGAACAGACTGTGTTCTCAGCCGTCAAATAAGTAGTCCAGACCAAAAGGCTTTTTTCAACTCTGGGTAAACTGTCGCGCCAGAAGACTTCTAAAGCTTTGTTTGTCTGGGACTTCTGGCTGTTGATAACGCAGTTTTCGGCACTATCGAGTATATCACAGAGCTTTGGGAATACCTTGCTGTCAATTCTGGACGTTGACCTCTTTTGCAGTATATCCCTCAACAGACAAACGATGTCGCCAATTTCTTTGCATTGATTGTCTAGTTCCCTCGCTCGGCCAATAATCCGCTCCAGCCTGTCAAAAATATCAGTGGCTCCGTTGTAAGTAGCGAGAGCTAGATCGGCCATTGTAGCTTTCGAGGTAATTCAAATCCCCGAAGTTAGTAGCGATACGTACGTGGGGATTTGCTTGAGGAGTTGATTCCCGGAAATCAGGCTCTGGGAACTGTGCTTATCAGTTCTTAAGAATCAGGCTCTGAGGCCATCCAGTCAGAATGGCTTCATCATGTCTTTCAAGCCATGCCACGCGTTTCACTACCATTGGACGCCACTACCTCAGCGTCACATTACCTTATATGTTGGCCGCCTTCTATAACTGAGCTGTGCACAGATGACAGTCGGAAAACTCGCGATTTCCACCAAACCCACCATCTTCGCCCAAATCTATAATCCATCAATTCACATTTGTCAAACTACATCTTACAATGTCGTCCTATATTGATACTACCCCGTATATCGTCCCCTTGATGGACTTCGAAAAGAGTTTAGTCATGGAAGTCCAGGCATATGTGGATAAAGGGACCATGAACCAGAGCAGTGACTTGAGGTCTTTTGAGATCTGGAAATGGAGTCAGCACTTGCAAGACCTCTTGAGATATTACCTTGATACCGAAAAGGATGTTTTACGTTTTGAGGCTGGCGGTAGCCGTTCTCGGGCATATGAAGCATGTTTCTTTGGGCTTGAGAATGACGGCCACTTCGCAAAGCATCGTGCTCGTATGGTGCAAATTCGAAACGCGAACCTCACATTTGTCGACGACTTGGCTGAGAAGCCGTCTTTATCGATCAGAGCAGTCCCTGATCCGAATGATCAAGGATATTGGAGGACTGTGGACAGTATCGTTGACAAATTCGGCCGGCCGTGGGATACTCCCGATGAACTTGATCCTCATTGCGGAAAGTTTGACATCTTCTCTTTGATCCGCATATACTTCCTTCATAGTCTGTCACCTCTCAGTGCTACTATGATTAGTGATAGTGTCACCAACCACGATGTCTTTCTTGAACACTATACTGTTAGTCCTAACCAGAAGACCGGCCATGACGATACATTTCAAGCCCAAGATGCTTTCTTCCATCGAACAATCAAGAAAGCTAAGAAGCCTGCAGACATACTCTCAGATGAAGAGCTCATTGCACGTCTTCGTTTTTTTCTGTAGAACAAGGCTAATTCCCATAGGCGCGTATCTCGAATCCCACTGAGAAGGAAGCCCAGGCGAACAAAGATATAGTAATTAGTACCTTATCTATTACGCTTGAGTGTTAAATATCTGATCGTTATGTAGGGCGCTATTCTTTCTCTTGCTCCTGCGAACAGGCCATACCCTGATCCGAGAATGTATCTGAGCTATATACCATGGGAAGATTTGAATCACACACCCAAGACAACTCTAGAGGACGTCCTTTTGGGACCTGACAGGTATCCAATCAATGAACAAGTCATTGTGGGATGGGTGACTTGGAAGCCACCTCGTGATGGATTCGCTTGTAACCATCACCTAAATGTTGAGGATGAGACTTTTGCATACACATTGAGGACTGGTTGGAATCTTCCTGGCCACAGTGTTGGCGGCAAAATAGTATTCTCGCTGACTCAACTCGAAGACAGCAAGCTTATCTCAGAGCTAGATAGCTATTGGTCGACCTGGGTAAGCCAAAGGCTTGACTAGCCTGTTATTCGTATTGATGCTGACATTTTCCCTAGAATGACTGTGCAATAACAAGAAGCCCCACCGGTGAAGTTTTCGTTCTAGAGACAGTACCCGGCTTACGATTCAGAGGTAGAGCAGCTAGATTTGATCATGACACTGCTATAGCTCATCTTAGGAACATGATCGAATCTCATGCCTCGGAAACGCTGGATCGAGCCTATGTCAAAGAACTACTTGGACTAGAGCCTGGATACAAACCACTGTTCGAAAACTCTTTAAGAGTCATTCCTGCAGAGCAACTATCCCCAGTTGATTGGAACCGTCCTGTCGGGTCAGGACGCAATGGTAGAGTCTATGCATCGGCTTGGCAACGTCCAGGGGGGGTTCTTTCTACGGCAAGGCCTTGCCAAATTGAGGTTGTTTTGAAAGAGATCACGCCAAATGACCGCCAGGTTTCTTTTTCGTTACAGAAGTTTATGAAAGAGGTCTGTTTTCACGGTAACCAGTCGCTGTTTGTGCGAAAACATTGCTGACTAGCTGATCTTAGTTGGATTCAACGTACGCAGCCCTTGGCTCACAGCCAATGTGCTGTGTCAAGTTTTTTGGGATCACCCAAATGAGCCTTCTGGTAGACGAGAAACCTAGGCTGCTCTTTGTATTTGAGCGTGCCACTCGTGGCCACGTTGAGCCATTCCTGCTATGGCATTTATCGCCCCTTAGATTCTATGACTCTTGGAGAGCACTAGCAGATTGCTTCGTTTGTGTCGCAACTGGCCTAGCATTCATTCATCAACATGGAGTCGTTCACAGGTATGCTACCAACATGAGAAACTTTACAAGATCCACTAGCTAATATTTGTAAACAGGGATTTGCACTTAGAAAATATCCTTGTTATGGATAAATTCTACCCAAACGACGTTGAAATTCCTCACGAGTTCAGTTACCTCATTAGTGACCTCGGTGAAGGAAAACAACTGACCCAACAACTAACAAGTATGATCAGCAGTGAGACTGCTTTTGCTAGCTATGGTGCCATTGACTTTCGAGCACCTGAACAATTACTGGGCCTACCCAACATAGACGCCTTTGCAGCTGAAGTCTTTACTTTCGGCATTGTGGCATGCAAACTTCTGAACTGCAGATCCCTTGTTAGTTCAGTCGAAGTACCAAGCTACATCAGAGCTAGTGCATCAGAAGACATCGCTGAACTCAATCATGGAGAAACTGAGAAGAAGGAGCTTCAAGACGGGCATATTGTTCCGCGAGCAATCCGTAGCATCATATCACGCTGCCTGTCGTACAGAGGTTCTGACCGACCCGATATGAGCCATGTTTTGAGTGAGTTGGAGGACATTACGTCAACGTTCACGGAAGACAACATGGAAAAAGAAGAAGGGCGAACTGTGGACTGGTGTTACTGGGATTGGGAGGCAACCTTCCGTGCTGCACTGACTGACTACGATTCTGACTCGGACTCAGATTCTTCCGAAAGTTCTGGATCTTCCGACTAAAGAACAAAGTGTGGAAGGGTCATGCCAGGTCTCGTTCATTAGGCAGCTTTAAAATTGGCCACAAATCTTTTCTTTAAGTAATTATAATTTTATTTTAAATCGCATATTTATTAATGACTCCATTGTAATGCTTCCTGACAACTTCATCTCGCCATGTCTAACCATCCGCAGACGGATACGCAGTCCACACTATTATTGGTCAGAAAGCTCGGAACAGCCCCACTGCGTGATCGTCATTGCAGGATGCCGATCCACGCGTTCTGTGTCACCGAAACGAACAGGCTCAATGCCTCGGCAAATTATCTTCTCGTCAAAGCCAACAAGCTGCCCGCTCGACTCGATACTTGCCATCAGTTACACACAATCTTACCTTCGGTACAGCCCCACACATGCCTCTACCAAGCGCTCGCCATCACGTCAAGACGGGCTGCCGAACCTGCAAGTACGTTATTTTAACTTGACTCCCGGATGAACTCGGTGCTAACTAAGTACTCAAAAGGGCCCGTAAGATCAAATGCGACGAAGCTAAGCCCTCATGTAAGCGCTGTGTATCGTCGCGCCGCGTCTGCGGCGGTTACCAAGGCACAGCTAGCCTGACGTGCTACCGCCCAAACCAACTATCCGCCCGCGATCCGAGAGAAGGCAGAGCGTTCCAGTTCTTTACAGAGATGGTTGGACCGGTCCTATCCGGTCCTACCGACTCTTACTTCTGGACGCATCTTGTCATGCAGTTCAGCCACTTCGAGCCCACCATGCGCCACGCTGTTCTGTCAATCAGCTCGCTCTATGAAGAATTCGCCAGAGGCTCCCGTATCACGCGGCAGGTCTGTGGCAGCACATTTGCTGTTGATCACTACAACGCGGCTATAAAGCATGTCAAGTCAGCTAGTGATGAGCAAATGATACTAGTTCTCTGCGTGCTCTTTATTTGCATCGAGTATCTACAGGGAGACTTTGATGCTGCTCTGCAGCATTGCCGTCATGGCATCATGATCCTTAACGACTCTTCGCGTCCGGAATGGATGTGTCAGTATCTCGTCCCCATATTCAGACGTCTGAGTATAACGCCATTCTTCTTTGGCGGTGGCGAACCCCCGAAGCGTCTGCCGCAGCTCATTGGATTTGAGACGCCAATGCCTTCAGAGTTCAGTGATGCTCGAGAAGCGCAGACAGTGATTGACGATCTGCTGATTCGGATAATGGGGTGCCTGTACGATGGCAATGATGACAGGATTGCGGTGGCTTCATTGCTAGATGACTGGGCTTCGAAGATGGATCATCTAGAGCGTGCACTTCCCCCATCTGCAACAGCGGATAGATTTGCCATATGTGGAATGCGATTCAAGCACAAAATGGCCAAAATCTACATCCAGAAGCAAAAATCTCATACAGAAATGTGGTGGGATCAGCATCTCGATATCTTTCGCGATGCTGTAAACTTGGCAGAAGAAGCGTTTCTACTTTCAACAGGGCCAGGTCACCAACGCATACCACGATCAAGCTTCAGCTTCGAAATGAGTTGGTTACCAATGCTGTTCTTCATCGTCCTCAAATGTCGACACCTGAAAATTCGGCATGCGGCATTATCCTGGTTGGCGCAACTTGGACCAGCCAAAGAGGGTCTGTTTGACGTGGGGACTCTGTATAGAGTTGGAAGACGTCTTATTAAGCTGGAACATGATGTATCACTTGATGATGATGCCGTTGGGCTTGAAAGTGCGGTTGTACCGCCGGAGGAGAAACGCTATTTCGCTTTTACGATAAATCACGAGTTGGAAGTCATTTCCGAGAAGGACGGCACAGTCACTTACAGAAGACAGGCCAAGTTCCTCACAAAAGACACGGAGGGCAATGTAATCGCTCGAGAGGAATATATCTATGATGATAATCCTCGTGGACGCAACATTAGGATTCCGCCTATGAGGTGTGCATATCGCCCGTAGGAGGGTAGATTCTGAAGATTTTGGAGTGTAATGTATGTACCAAATTACTCACTTTGAAGAGTTCTACTTGCTACCTGTCACATATTTCAGCCCTGATCTGTTTTGAGATACCTGGAATCTGTTGGTCAGTTTATGCCAAGAGGGCTGCCCCGAAAGTTGTTTGAGCCTTAATTATAAATAAGTTGCATGCTTGCTCAATAATGGGGTCTCGATCTCGACTATTTAATGGCTTTCGATCATTGGTCGTTTCGACCAAACCCGATCTGCGTTCAGCGATCTCGCGACCACATATAATGACGAAACCGAAACCTGGAAGTTAAGCATTATTACGTTAAATAAAAAACCCTTGCAATTTTATAATATAATGTACTTAATATTTATAATAAAATAAAAAGTATTTGATTTCTTCTCAATTATCAATAGTATAAAGCTTATATGTATATATAAATATATATATAATATAGTATTTAAAAAGCTAAATAAGCTCAAAAGCATAAGCTGCTATATTATTAGTAGTCACATCAAAAGTCAGCTGGTTATTTTTCGAGGTATACTCCTGGAGCCCAAGATCTACTACAGATACACGATCAAACTTTCCGTTCCCGAAGCCAAACTGGTATTTCTGTATCTTAACCTTTCCATTCTTCGGGTAGCCAGCCTTATCCAGATTCATGATTTGAACACTCCAGGTAGAGGCATGATGTCGTGTCCCACACAATATCTTGGCTGAACGTGACTTGCCGTTCGAGGTTGCATAAACGTCAAACAACGTGTCCGAAGAGCCCGATGTTTGTACTCGACTGCCGGTCATGTTGAGGTTGTAGTACTTGTAAACATTGTACTCTCCGTTTCCCCAGTAGCCAGTAGATGTGGCACAAGAGTTCGATCGACATTTATCAGTTGCACCAGGTTTGCTCAGTAGGTTTGCGAAGTAGTCATGAAGAGAGTATCCCGAGGCCCAGTGCCCTCGTAGGCCGATGACATTATGTCGTTCGAGACGGGAAATATACCACGCCGCTGTAGCTGGGTTTTGCTCGCTCCGGACTGCATACTCGTTGATCATGAAGGGCTTTCGAGGTAGCCCTACATCAGCGATGAGATTCTCAAGATTTCGAACATCTCTGGTGACCTCATCGCCACTTGTCTCCTCGTGCCAAGTGTAATAATCAGGTACACTCCCATTTGTCTTGATGAACTGATAGAACCGTTTAGCCCAGCGATTGGAAGTAGACGGCTGACCGGCGCTTGAGGGACCGACTATAGGCATATCAGGAAAGGCAGCGCGGATCTTTGGGAACGCACGTCCCCACATCTCAAGATACTGAGCCTGAGATGACTGCCAGAAACCAGGTCCGTCAGGCTCGTTCCAGATCTCCAAGTCGAGTCCTTCAATCATATCATTCTCGTCAATCCGTGCAAGCACGGTGTCCAAAAACTCATCGAACGAGGACCAGTCGCCATTGGCCCCGGGCATGGCGAGGCGGATGGTAGCATCGGCCCCCCATAGATCAGCCAACAACAGCTGGACACGTGCTCCATACTTGCGAGCCGTCTTGTAGTTACTCAAGGATGAGTCGAAGCGTTGCTTGAGCGCATTGTCAGTTCGCCACACTTGTCCAAATTTTGTCCAACTCAGATATGTAGTTGACTTACCTCGAATTCATCTTTTCCAAATGCCCAACCTCTGGCAGGAATCTGAGCCCCTCCCGCTCTAGTGTACCTGAATCCCATGTCTGTGTAGAACTGGTCCGGGATCTGATTCGGGGTATCAGGAATACCGTAGATAAAGCCTGACGCGAGATGGCTCGGGGTGCCTTGTGGTACTGCAAGATTGACAGTGGCAGTACCTGAGCTTGCGCGTTTATCCACGACCGCGCCATGGACGGCGGCAACGAAGAGACTAGCTCCTGAGACAAGTGCGTTTTTCATAATGTTTTGCTTTTAGCTGAAGGGTTGTATACTTGTAAGAAGACAATTGTGAGTTGATGATCGAAAACATGTTCGAGTTCTTACACTGCCTTATATAGTCTCTTGAGAATGTCTCTGCTTTCCTGGTGTAAGGTCAAACATGCCGGAGATGTTTGAAGAAGCTCAAGTCAATTCGAGGCAATGTCTGGAACGAACAAGCTTTGCGGGGTTCCCCGTGGGTCAGGCCTGGTTTCAGTACCGCTCCGGTGTTCTGCAAACCGGCAGACCGACGGGTCAGTATTCCGGCGGGTCAGTAGTCCGATGGGTCAGTAGTCTGGCGGGTCAGTAGTCCGGCGGGTCAGTAGTCCGGCGGATTCCATTCGCGCGCTCAAGTTTATCGTGCTACTATTGAGCCGGCTAGCTTGAGCAAAATGTCGTTTTAAATGGCCTTGAAATCCTCTCAGTAGCTTGCCATACTGACTGTCAATTCGACCCCAATCTTCCTATTCTTAAGTCGTTTTCCTTTCTTCGCCATGGCTGTTCCTAAAGACGTCACCCCTGCACTGCGTGTAGCGGTAGTTGGTATAGGCTTTGGTGCCGAGTTTGTTCCAATTTATCAAGCCCATCCAAGAGTTGCGTCGGTAGCTCTATGCGACACAGACCCCATTGTACTGGAAAATGCTTCGGAGAACTTCAAGATAGCGGAGGTCTACACAAGCCTTGACGATGTTTTGGCTGAGCAACATATCGATGCCGTACACCTCGTCACGCCGATCCCACAGCACGCGAAGCAAACTATCCAAGTCCTGCGATCAGGCAAGCACTGCGCTTGTACGGTACCAATGGCGACCTCAATCGAAGATTTGGAGGCTATAATTGCAGCCCAGAAAGAGTCGGGAAAGACCTACATGATGATGGAGACTGCCGTCTACACGCGAGAATTCCTCATGGTTCGAGATCGTTACCAGCGCGGTGACTTCGGTTCCATCTCCTTCGCCCGTGGTGGCCATATGCAAGACATGGAAAACTGGCCCAGCTACTGGAAGGGACTGCCTCCTCATCACTACATGACTCACGCTATCTCTCCAATTCTATGCCTCCTGGGCAAGCAGGTCGATAAAGTCCACTGTTTTGGGTCTGGCCAACTCCCGCTATCTCATCAGGCACAGTACAGTAATGCCTTCCCCGTCGAAACTGCTATCTTTCGGCTGGATGATAGCCCAGTTGCAGTCGAGGTCACCCGGGCATTGTTCAATACTGTACGCCCATATAGCGAGTCCTTTGCAATATACGGGGACAAACTAGGCTTTGAGTGGCAGCAGATCGAGGAAGAGAAGCCCCTCATCTTCTGTTTGCCTCCTTCCATTAATCGTCGTAACCGGGATATTGAGCATGAAGCAGTTGAGCCGGCAGACCGGGCCGATTTACTTCCTCCTGAGCTTGGTCGCTTCACCCAGTCGGCGGTCTTTGAGGACGGAAACCATCTTTCATTTGTGCAAGGAAGTGGCCATGGGGGATCTCATCCTCACCTCGTACACGAATTTGTGACCAGTATCCTCCAGGGGCGCAAGCCAGTCATCGACGCCATTGTTGGTGCCCAATGGACAGCACCGGGTATTGCAGCACATCAGTCGGCCATGGAAGATGGTAAGGCTGTAAAAGTGGCCAAGTTCACTTAGCAGCATGAGAGTGCGGGCCTGTACAAGTCAAATCAGGGTTAAGTTTGGGTGGTGGTGACACAACGAAGTGCGCGGTCATGGAGTGCGATGTACGGAGTTTAACTGTATATGGTGGCCAGCGTGTACTTTCAGCAAGTTTATATAGAAAGAAATTGACCCTCATTTCAAGGAGCCCCATACATCTAGGGCAATTGACGTAAAGGATCTGCCAGAATTAACAGCCGCTCATAATAAAATTTCGAAATTGGCCAAATCGAGCATCGCAGCTCCATCAATCTCGCGGCTTCGTTGAGTACCTTCACTGGGGCTTCCGGCATATTCAGATCTCCAATACGGCTCATGTACATCTCTACAGGTCCCCTCCCCAGTACCAATGTCTGGACGAGTTCGTCGTCCAGGACACGATCTATATATACTCTCGATATATCAGACGATGCCTCGTGTTCGACGCTTTCGGCATCATCGCCGGGGCTGATATGTGGCATGAGGTGTGATCCCTCTGGTTGTAGATGTGGATCTGTGGGTAGAAGACACAGAAACTTGGTTCGTAGGCAGAAAGACCATATTGTGAGTGCGGCCAAGAACAGAGCAGCAGGTTCGTGAAAGCTCTGCACAGAATAGCGCCGGATGTGCCAAAAGATACCGGCAGCATGAATGACAGCCAACCTCATCTTGTACTTGTCATGGCTAAGCCATACACGGAGAGCTGTGAGCAATTTGGTATATTGGACGTCTGTCATATTGTCCTTACCGTATTGGCGATGTTGCTCAGGCTTTCCACAAGATAAGAAGCGGGCTACTGACTGAATCTCGCTACAAGGTGATAGCAGTATAACACGTGCTAAATGCAGATGTAGAACGAGAGGTTCCTCGAATCCTCCCGCATGGCCAGTGACTCCGTTGGCGTGGCGATGGAGAACATCTAAGCAATCACACATTTGGTTGCGCCACGACACCCATGAAGACAAATCTAATAAGTCATGAAAGCTGAAGTGCTTCTCTGGAGCGATTTCAAGAGCTTCCGTAGATCCATGGTTGCATGAGCGCGCGAGATGCTGGAGATGCTCTTTCATCTGACGACTCTGGTAAAACAGCCCGTAGACCAAAAGCGTATGACCAAGCTGAGTCAGTCCAGAGAATAGGTGACGATCAGATGTCAGATTCTTCAGACATTCTAGAAGCGTAGGGTTGGGTCGAGTTCCCTTAACCAACTGGGACCACTCCTCCACGGATGTCGTCATGAAGAGCTGATCTGAAGATGGTAGCTCCAGCTGTATTTCTACCAGATCTAGGCCAATAACGGTCTGTTGCTGCGTGTCAAGCATTTCCCCAAATAGCCAGAAACAGTAGACGGTACGACGTAGTTCTTCCTTTTCTATCCAGGTGGCCCAGTTCTCCAAATGGTCAAGTCCTGATCCGCCCGGGTCGTCATGCATACACAGCTCTCTTTCTCGACAGAATTCTGCAAGAGAACGTATCCCCTTTACCGCTTCGGACTGCATGGAGTCTTTGTGGTGATGATACATACCCACGATACTCAACAGACTTGCTTGCACAAAATGGAGACAGCTTGGTTTGTCAAAATTGCTTCTTAGCGCCTCGACGCGGACAATAAGTGTTCTTCGTAGAAACTCTAGGAACGCCGCCGACAGCTCTGTTGACTCTTCGCAGTCCAAGAAAAAGGATCCAATAGCCGCAACCGCGAGAGTCAGTGTGCTGTCTTGCCCTTTCAGGAATGAAATCTCATGGATGAGCGGGAAAAATGCATGGAAGTGTTCGAAATATTCAGATACGCAGCGATCCAGGAGATTCTGCTGTATAAATGTTGAGGAAGAGTATTTAGCGAATAGAAAGGTTTCTGATAGACAGAGGCGTCGGAACAGGTGGCATAGGTTGTCATACGTCACGCCTGAAACTTGCAGACGGCCTGGGTTGTCCTCATCATTAAGCAGGAGTGGAAATGCGACTCTTGCGGGAACGGGCGTATGACCGATCTTTGGACTCTTTGGCAAGGATAGTCTATACAGGCGAGGAAGCTCCTTGAAAAGGGTATCTCTTGCTCCACTTCCCGCAGAGTAGCCTCTGGCTGACTTTGTGTCGGTATTTGATGTTGAAGACTGTTTGGTGGCAACTGAGGCTGCCGGTGATGAGGCCTGACTTGTTGTGGACTGACTTGAGCCCCTCCGACGCTCAAGTGTTTGGTCCCTTGAAAGGCTTTTGGTACCGCAGTACGGCGGCTGAAAGGCAATTGGCGAATTAGGCCAATTTCCTTGCGCTATTGAAGATACGGGGGGGATGAACGGCTGGCGACCATCAGCAAAATGTGTCTAACCAGCATTGCTTCTACTCACTGCATCGGGAAGCTCCCCTTCAATTACAAGGCGGCCACAAGCTATCGGGTCAAGCATTTCAACATCTTGGTAACCCTCAGACGGGCCAGAAGTCACTGAGCTTGTTGCGATGGCCAATGGGGCAGGCGATGAATCTCGATCTGGGGGGCGACCTCGAGCTTCCGTTAAAACGCTATAAGCCCAGTCCATCGAGCCAGCCCCAGGCGGGTAAACGCATTCAAGGCCCTTATCCTGGCAGCGGGCGCACCGCGCGGCGTGGGAGCACCTTTGACGAGCCCTTGCGCAGTTCAAGCAGGCGCGGGATGAAGCCCTGGGAGGGTCAACGGCTGTAAACATGTGTCGTGCTTCGGGACATATCCTGACGTGGCGACGCAATGAATCTCTAGAATCATGTCAGGATGAGTCACTCAGTGGGGTTCCTTTGACCTGCGACCTGTCGCATGTACGATAGTGACATACATGCGTGTAAAGCTTCGTTGGCACGTATCGCAGACGTGTCCATTGATCGCCGAGTGGTTTTGCATGTGTCGGCGAAGATGGCTCATGCGAGCATAGGAACGGCCGCACACCAGACAAGACACACGTCCATCTTGTTGCGGCCCTGTCATGGCGATTTGGGGCAGCCGAGAGCGCTTGAGCATACGTGATAGTCACCGGATTGGAGTTTACATTGAGAAGCTCCAAGTTATACTCCGGTGGCTCGTCAACCCCGCAGTTGACACCAACGTCACTGGCGTGTTAGCTTGGGGCATGACTGGGAACAAGAGGCATATGACCCAGACGCCACCCCCGCAAGGAAATTCTTTCGGGATTCGTCTGGTGTTTGTGCCTGTGTTAATCCGGGGTAAGATAACCGTGAACTACAGTAATAGTTGCCATTTCAAGATTGGCAATCACAATCGGTCTCGAGATTCAGGCTGAAGTGATGTTTCGAGGTTAGCGCCTGTAGAAGACACCTGAAATACGAGGGGGCGCCACGCTAGACCAGGGCAGTAGCCTGGTCTTCAAGTTAGCCCGCTGGGCTGGGCTGTTGACCCGCCGGACTTTTGACCCACTGGATTGTTGACCCGCTGGACTGTTAGCTGGCCAGGCTGTTCGGCCTCAGCCGTATCACGAGACGCAATTCATATCCAGGTCTACAAGTACTGTTGCTTCTCTCGGCCATGACACGAACAAATCTTCTCATTACCACCACATCACAAGCTTCTTAACTCAATTCCTATTAACAATTTTCTCTCATTATGTTGGCAAAGTCGGGTAGTCATGACGCTGCCAAGTCGCAGCATGTTGACAGCGCTGTTCAGTGTTCCAAAGACCCAGCCGATGAGCACACAGACCACTTGTACTCTGGAAACGCGACTCTAGCCCAAGCAGGCAGTGAACATGAGCACTCTCTGACAGTCTTGGAAGCCCTTCGAGGATATCCCAAGGCTATTTTTTGGTCGCTGGTAATCTCGATGGCCATCATCATGGAAGGTTATGCAACGGCATTGGTTGGTAACTTATATGCTTATCCTACCTATGCTAAGCAATTTGGAACACGAATCAGCGGCTCGGACAATTATCAAATTGAAGCACGCTGGCAAAGCGCTATGGGCAGTGGACCTCAGGGCGGCGCTTTTGTCGGTGCTTTCTTGAATGGCTGGATCGTCCACCGATACGGTTACAAGCCTGCGTTCAGCTTGGCGATTCTGTTGATGACATGCTTTATTTGCATCTCCTTTTTTGGCTTCTCAATCGAGAAGCAAGCGGTTGGCCAAGTCCTGTGCGGGTAAGTGAAGAAGCATTACCAGCATACTGCTCAAAAAGCTGACTTTTGTTACTCCCAGCATTCCTTGGGGCATGATAGCCACCATCGGTCCAGCTTATGCATCTGAGATCTGCCCACTGAAAATCCGACCTTTCCTGACTGCCTACGTGAACATGTGTTGGACAATTGGTCAATTTATCAGTGCTGGTGTGCTCAAAAGCTTTATCGATCGTACCGATGAATGGGCGTGGCGAATTCCCTTTGGACTCCAGTGGATGTGGATGCCTGCTCTTGCAGTTGCAGCAGTCTTCATGCCCGAGTCTCCATGGCATCTGATCAGAAAAGGCAGATACTCGGAAGCCGAACAGGTCGTGCAGAAAAGACTAATGTCAAAACAAGAACAGTCGCACGCGCCAGCACTCGTTGCCCTCATGATACATACGAACAAGCTCGAAGAGGACATCTCCGCCGGGACATCCTATCTAGACTGCTTCCGCGGAACTGACCTTCGCCGGACTGAGGTCGCTTGTGTTGTCTTCATAGGTCAAGTCACATGTGGCGCTCAGTTCGCCTATTCGGCTACATACTTCTTCCAGCAGGCCGGTTTGAACCCGGATAATGCCTATGCACTAAACCTAGGCGCCACTGCCATAGGTTTTGTCTGCAGTGGGGTTGTCTGGTTTCTTCTGAATCGCGTGGGCCGCCGCAGACTCTATATCACGGGCATGTCACTGGAAGCCTTGTGGCTTTTCATCATCGGCATGCTCACCTTTTCCAAGAGTCCTAGCGCCAAATGGGTGCAGGCAGCCCTCTGTCTGGTATGGCTAGGAACGTTTCATCTTTCGCTTGGTCCTGTCGGTTGGGTAATACCCGCCGAAGTATCTTCAACGCGGCTCCGATCAAAGACTGTTGTTTTGGCAAGGAATGCGTACTACCTCGTCATTTGTGTCGCCAACACAATTCAGCCTTATATGATGAATCCCGCTGCATGGAATTGGAAGGGGAAAGCAGGATTCTTCTGGTTTGGGTTTGCTTTCCTCACTGCAGTATGGGCTTTCTTTCGTATGCCTGAGACAAGGCTTAGAACATACAACGAACTCGACCTGATGTTTGAAGCCAAGTTGCCAACTAGGAAGTTCCGCAATCATGTTATTAATCGTTTGGAGATTGAAGATAGTCCGGATGTTAAAGCTTGAGGTTTAGGGAGTTATTTAGAAGTGAAGACTTCAATTACTAAACTTCTAATGAATAACTATCTTAAAAAAAGAATATTAATTTATTTTTTAAACACAAATATAAAAAGCTAATTTTTAAGGAATATCTATATCTATATTAATAACTAAAGCCTTAAGTCAAATTAATTAATAGTAAGATTATTATTTAGCAGCTTTCCTTTTATAATATATTACTTTATATTTCGGTTACATAGGCAGTTTTGTATTATTAATTAGTAACCGGAACCTTTCCGCTACGCCGTAATCAATCCACTAACGCACAAACCCTGCCCAGGCACGTTTTGCCCACCGTGAGAAGCGCCATGACCCTAACTTGTTCTCGACTTACTCCTGATACCTACACCGCATTGCTCATCAACCATGATTCCGCAGACGGAGTCACCACACGCTGTTTCAATCAACAGTACACCCCCAGAACTTCTCAAGCGCATCTTCAATTATCTACTCTATGCCAGAGACCTAGATGAACCGACGAGTGCTCGCGTTGACGACATCCGCTCTCTCCGACTGACATGCCGACGTTTCTGTCAATTGGCCTCGCCGCTACTCATCTCCGAACTAAGCGTCTCGATGACCGAGGCGTCCCTGGAACGCTTGAGGAATGTCTCTAGTCACCAATTGATCGGATCTGGAGTGCGCAGGCTCCACGTCAAGCTCCCATACTACGATCGCTACATGGCTGACAATCTCACCCACTTTGCGTATTTTCACATCTACGGTATGGGTCGCCATCTCAGTCATCTTAAAGCTGCAATCACGTCTCCAGACTCTCCGCTGAGGCCGTCATACGAGGTGCCTGCTTGGGTCAATGCCGAGGTGCTTGAACTGGGCGAGGAGATGATTTCTGCCTGGGAGTCAATTTACACCGAAGATCCAGATGACCCGGAACGGGATTCAGACGAGTGTATCAAATATCGAAATATCCTCAGAGAAACTCATCGTGAATATCAACTTTTATTTAAAGCGCAGCAACAAATGCGAGAGAACGGTGTTTTCCTCTCTAGCATCGCATCCGCCATGGCAAAAATGCCTCATGCGGATAGATTAGAAATCACCGATGGCCAAGATCCTCATCACAAGAAAGACGCCTATCTCGTCGACCGAGACTACCGCACGTCTCTGAAAGCTATCATGCTGGAACCTCACACTTGGTCCGATGCTTCATTTCTCTACACAAATCCCGATTTCGAACCACCAACCGAGTTATTACACAAGCTACCAGTCGAAATACAGAGAGCAGGCGCAGCCTTGCGAGTAGTCGAAGTTCAGTGCTCTGGGCCTTGGACATACGCGCAACTATCTATGTCCCCTTCGGAGCGAGATTCATTAATCGAATTGCTCCAGAACTTGCAAACTCTCATCTTTGACACAGCCGGGAAGAAGAGAGGAACAGGCTGGTATTTCACCCGCCAAGAGGACGCGAGGGATATCGTATTCGATTTTCTGTCAACCTTCCTCCAGGCTCCCAATCTCGAACACCTCACCATCGCATTTTCAGAATTTGCACTAGGTTCACAAAGCCTGATTCAAGTCCTTGCCGGAGCACAAAACAAGTGTTTGAGACAGCTACGCTTAAAGGGTGCTGCGTTGAGAAAAGGCGAACTTGGGCAGTATCTGGCGCATATTAAAGGTTCATGCAATGTTGTGTTGGAATCTGCGGAATTGCTTGATGGGGAGTGGGCAGATGAAGCTGATGAACTGAGGGGTCTGTCAGGAGTCTCGATTACTGTTATTGACCCTTTTGGCGCTGAGTTTCGAAGTGGACAGTTCCGCGATATGTGGAATGCCGAGGAGGAGGGGATGCTTAACAAATACCTGCAGGGATCCAGTTCTATGAACCCTTTCAGAAACAAGAACATCTCGTAGGGCGCTGTACAGTTGCGATATTTTATCTTATCTCCCAGACAGACCAAATGCCACGTACGACTCCGCCCAAACTAAGCCTCATAGACTAAACTTAGCTCTCAAGGCTCTCTCTCTGCCTCCTATCGCTGCTCGTCGCACCATGCAAGGCACGTTTATCACATGCAGATCAAGCTTGAGATTTCATTGCACTGCAACTTGGCAAGGACTGCTGGGGAGTGCGTGCTTCATACCGACGCAGGGGCGGAATGAGGGTCCGAGGCACAGATCCATAGTGTGACGCTACCGTGCCGAAGCCGAGATTAGCGCCGGCCTCCAGTCAGCCCAAGGCTTTTAGCTGTTTAGATTGGAGGCATGCTGCCAATGGAAATGAGCTGAGCTTTTTTATCGTCTCCTGCATCGTTAGGCATTAATTACATCTTCCAAGGTATGAGGCCGCCCATCACGGTTTCCGACACACTGTCGTAAAGCATGGTAGCGCCATCATCTCTTTATTCCTCGATCACCCGTATGTCGCCAACGTGCAGTGACAACATAAGAACAGACGATCCCATATCCTCATTACTTACTTGCAAACTACGCCGGGGTGACAAAGCCTCTTCCTAACCCAATTCATATTAAGGACTATTATATACCACTACGCTACCATGAACTTTCTCAATCGCTTATTCGGAAGAAGCACTGATACTAAGTACAAGTATCGCAGCGCCAAACTCCCGAAGGAACCTCTTACGCCGCGCGAGATTGAGGAGATGCACAGGAAGCTACATCCCGATACACACATATATAACGCGGCTTCACCAAAGCCCGTATTCGACCCCGGCGACTGGAGTGTGCCTTATACGCAATCATTAGAAGAAAAACTCCCTGCTATCGGCTCGCTTCACCAGGCGCAATCAAAATCATTGCTGTTTAGCAGATTACCGGTGGAGGTTCGCATGCAGATCTGGCGCCTTGTTGTCGGCAATCACAAGGTTCACCTGACTGTGCATCGTGGCAGACTTATACAATCTGTGTTCGAATCAGAAAATTATCAGTGGTTGCCGCAGAGAGGACTCCTCAAGATCCCACTGGTTTGTCGCGCAGCGTGTGTATGCCCCCAGTTTAAGAAAGGAGAAAATTTGACTTAATGTCTTAGCTACATGGAGTCCATCTCGTACCTCTATTCCGACAACACCTTCTGCTTCGGCTTCGGCCAGGCCAGCTCGAAGTCAGCACTCACGTTGCTGGACACTATGCTTCCCAAGCAGCACATCGCTTCTATACAACACATCGAAGTCGGTTGGCATCTGTATGCCGGTGTTAGTCAGTACTACGACAGCCACCCTCAAGCCTGGGACATCACCCTGGATGTCCCAGCGCCCGAGACTGAAACGCTCTGGAATAATGTCTGCGCTGAGCTCGTCAAGCTATCGCATCTGCGGACGCTACTGATTGTGGTCTGGCTGTCTGGTGATGGGAGAGGACAGTTTGTGGAGAGGGAGAGAGACATGCTTGCACCACTGTCGGTGATGGAACATCTGGATCGGTTTAACATCCATTTGCCATGGAAGCAGGACGATCCTGAATTGTGGAATGATGCGCCGTTTTCAATCTCTAGACGTTTCAGGGTCAAGGACATGTATGGTGTGAGCATTCCGTTACCCGATGATGACTTTTACTGGTCGGGTTCAGCTGCTCAACGTAGAATCTATAGGTAAGATTGAGGTAGAACTTAATATAAAAGATATTTTAGAAGGAGAATATTAACAATACTTACTTATTTATAATACTTATTTATTAAATTCATTATAGGTAACTTCCTTAATGTAAGCTTTTATAAAAGTAGATTATAATATATAGTGATGGAATAAATTGTTTAAAGCAATCTTTACCTTCCTACTATTAGGAATAAGGACCTGCAAGCCACATTCAATTATCTAAACTTTTCGGTATCGATCTAGTGGTTATCCCACTATACCCTATAATCATCAAGTACTAGTTGTAACTGTAGTAGTGATCGTCCTGACGATGCCCACCTGACTTGTATTTGAGCCGCTGTCAGTGTTGATATATCTCGGTTCTGTCGAGGATGATGGCGTCCAATTCCGGGTAGTGAAACGCGTGATTTCCTTAGATTGAGCGTTATTCTGATGCTCAAGATCTACAACGCGTGACACGGACGTATTATCAACTGATGGGAGTCGCTCTCTACCAACAGTCCTTCTCTGCGTCAGGCGGTACGACTCGTTTTGAGAACCGTGAGTGAATGTCAATTTCGAGGCCAGCAGGTCGATACTGTTGCCATGAGTAATTAGCACCCAGTAGCTGCCATGGATATCAGTGGGTACTCACAATAGAATTACAGGAAAGAGGCATTCAAGTGTATATAAGAATACGTCGACCTGACTCGAGATACTTGCCGCTCCGCTAATTGGAGGGTTGAAAAGAAAGGTAATTGCCCTTGAAACACCGATCAACGCCAGACAAGCCAGTCGTAACTCGGTGCTTCGGATAAGATATCTAGAGAAATCTGACCTAAGTGAAAACTGCTCGGACGTCTTCTTGGCCTTCACAAATACTTGTAGCAGGAAGAAGGCGCTGAGGCACTCAACACAAGCTAGCGAGAAGAAGTAACCAACGTGGGCTCCGTTCACCACGTTCGTAAATGCTTCCTCACCCGTGAAAATAGACTTAATTCTATAAATCAGAAGCAGTATTCTGGCCATGCAGATACATAGCATGAAGAACCAGAACAGGACCAAAAATATTCGTCGAACCTTGTTCTGCAGAACTTGCTTGAGTATGATATAGCTGTAAAAGGACAACCCCGCTTCTTGGATCTTAGACTAGTCAGCCAAATCATTCAACCTGACGCGTGAAGATGTCAAGTCGTCAACTTACCATCCAGAGGATATCCGCGACGGCGTAAGCAGTAGCTGTCTTCGTCTTGCCAGAGTCCATGTACCATGCGTAGTAGCAGAGGCCATTTGCGACTGCACCGGCCGCAGACACAATCGCAGGGATAGCCGACAGCCATGAGAGCCGAGTGATACCAATCACAATCCAGGCGAAGAAGAAGTTTACCAAGCCGATGGTACTTAAAATGGACCAGCTGCTCTCGTAGTAAACTGCCATGGTGGTCGCTTCATTATTTCAGACCTGACTATAAAGAGGAGTAAAATCACGCTGATTAAGAGAGGGTAAATGTCTGGTTATATATAACAAAAGTGAAGAGCTTTCAATCTCCGCAACCCCAGATTTCAGCCTGAGCGCTAACATCCCCGGAAGATCATTACTGAGCCCTTCCCTAAAACAAGCTAAGTGAAAGACGCAAGGATGACATTAGTGCTTATCAGAATGGAGCCTAACAATCGACTGTAGGAGAGACGCATCTCATAGGGGTAGCACATTAAGAAAGGTTAGGTCGAGCTAACCACTGACTATTATCTATATATCAATTGGCTCGGCTAGCGAAGGGTGTGTGGTTGGTGGCTTGAAGTGAGGCATTTAGACAATTGTAGATTGAACTTAGTAGACTTGTAGACAGTAGAGAATCAGGATGTCAAGTATTGTTGGCCATTAAATTTCGGGCATGCATAAGCCTCAAAGTTAAAAATGGAGAAATCACATTCAGCGTGCTCGCGTCGCGCGCTCTGGTGTTCCTCTTACTCTAGGCCTTGAAGAACTTGTTACGACTTTTCATCAATGCAAATTTACCGCAAAGTCCTAGAAGGCGTCATTTTATTGAAGACTGGCCTAAAATTACACGTTGCGGCGAAAACTCTCACTATTGAATAGCTTGATTAAACCTCTAAGAGCTCACGCGACAGTCGCTGCTAAGCTCACCATGTGTTTCAAAGAAAAGGGGATGATTTTAGAGTCTTATGCATGCGTACGGTATATACAGGGAAGGTTGTCGTAATGTGGGAGGTGGCCCTAATCAGAGGCTGGCATCCCATCGAGTTCATAACAATCTATTGGCGCGCTTTGAATTCAGTGGCTTTTTCGGATAGAGTTTTGCCTCACAGTGACAAAACCGTAGTGCTTTCGTTGTTGGATGATGAGCCAATCAAATCTTATTAAGGCCGATACTTCGCCCGTATCTAAACCCTGCATCGATCCTGGGAAATAAAATCCAAGAACCTCGTATTCTCATCCGCCACAAAAGTGTATTAGTATTCTCAGAGCGATACTGATTATCGTGATTTAAATAGAGCTTTTAATAAGAGATAAAGCCTAGTTATACTTCATACTCTCTATAATAGATCTAGACAATTTGCCCTACTGCTTTGCGCCACTTCATTTCGATACACGACATTTACATATCGAACTTGCCTTCTTGCAGGGATTTGATCACAGGACTGAAGGAGGTGTTAGAGTCAACGATAGGGGCGTGAGCATAGTTTGTGTGGGGGAAGCCGTAGACCTGGCATTGTCTAGGTTATTAGAAGAAAGAGAAAGTCTATATACGGCCCGGGTCACCGGTAGCCACGGGTACATCAGCTGGGCTCTGCGAAATAGCCTGCTGGAACAACTTCCTTGTCTGCTTACATAAACCCTCCAGCCGATTCTTGGATGCACAAGCAGCGATCAGGTAATGAAGAACCGAACCACCACCACTGGACTCCCCTATAATCGTCATATAGTCCTTCAACCCGCCTAAGAGGTGGATGTTATCCTGGGCCCACGAATAAAAGAGTATATATTAATATTCACTTCCTATATTAATTTATTTTATATATGTATTTTAAAAACAGCAATAGGTAAAGATTAATAGATAGAAAAATTAGATTGAAAAATTAGATTAACTATTAGTTTTATTAAAAGGAACTTGACCTATCCTCTAGCAGTTCGGTTATTTAAAGAGCTATAAATAATAATAGAAACCATTTAAATCCTGAGCTATCATCGCAAATACTGCTCTTGATCGTGATAGAAACCATGAAATCAAGTATGTTCTCCCCCATGGGCTTCTATTCCATGCACATCCTTACAGAATTGACAGTAAAACTGCCATCTCGTCGCGCCATAAATCCACCCCATCCCATCAACATACAGCGGATAGAGACCATCATGAGACTGTGGCCGAATATCTGAACACATACAACACACCCCGTATCCGCTACAAAGCCCTTTTCTCCAGTGTTCACAAAGCACGATCGCTGATCGAAGTATATCGTACTCTTTCTCTGCCTTCTGGCATCCCTCACAATACTCTGCCCACCGCGGCGCATGGCGGTCCCAGCCCGTGCCGTCGATGTACCGTGGGTAGCGACCATCCGGGCGCAGTGGTCGTGAGTCCGCGCAGGTGCAGCACTGCCTTGGTGTTCGGTATCTGGTACAGTAACGCTGTTTATAGTGGTCGCAGGGGCGATGATATGAGTAGAATGTGCATTTTTGTATCTTTGCAGGTTCGCCGCTGGCTTGTTTCTGAAGACGATAGGGCATACTGTGGTGATACAAGGACACACTAAGTTCTTCAATTTCAGGGGGGCTTGTGGCGCTGAGGAAGAGACGTTGTACTTCTGGGGCTGCAGAGAAGATTATTCAAAGGATCTGGCATTGCATCTACAAGCTCACAGACTGTATTTGAAGTTGGAGTCATCTTTTGTCCATGGTTGACAGCTCCGCGGGGATTAAGTCTTGGTGACTCATGCGCAAAGGCTGCCTGCCTAGCATCAATTGAGTAGCCTTACCAGTGGCTGTGCTCGACTAGTGCAGGCCTAGCGGCACCAAACCCATAGCCATGAGATGAGCAGTGGATTCCATTCCGCCCAACTTCCGAGTCGCTCTTCATTCTTTACCCCTAATTTCCAACATACATCTTATTTAGTTTCATTACTCACTCACAGAATGACGCATCTTCCACAGCATCCAAGCCATGTGCAGGACACCTGGTGGCAAAGCTATGAAAGAAGAATTGATGACAAATTTGAGTTTTATTCAATGCCATTGACCTTTTTGTTATGCTGCTGTGGTTGCGGGATACCGCTCAAGGATATTTGGAACTACTCACGCCAGCTTCCGCAGGATATCGCGCACGGCATTCGTCGCAAAGCCAAGGCTAGAAAAGACCGCAAATACTATCGGGATCTGGTAGCTGGCCTCAATACTCCCATTCGAAGGCCGACTGCGGGTATTCAATCAAGAGACAACGAGCAGCTTCAATCGTGTCTATTCCGACTGCCACTGCAAGTCCGTCTGCAAATATGGGAGTACTGCATTGGTCAGAGGTTTATCTATGCGCCCATCTACAACCGCAGCCGTCCTCATTTTGTGGCACGTGTTGCTTCCTATCGAGAGCCTTGGCCTTTGGAAATATACACACGTCCTCACTCAGAATTTGCCGATACTTTGAGCTCTGCTTGGCGACCTCTGGACATGATCTTGCTACCTGATATACCGACAGAGCCGGAGTTGATAGAACCGAAACAATCAGTGGCATTTGGTAGCGTTGGAGCCTTTCTTACAGAGGAGCAAACAACTAGTTTGAGCAGAAAGTGGAAAAGCTCAGAGCTCCTCTTGAGTTGCAAGGCTGTACATGCTGAGGCCGCCCATGTACTGTTTTCGCATAATGCCTTTTCGTTTACATACCTACCACATTTATCTGCGTTCAGATTACATCAAGGTCCATGTTGGCGCTACTTACGCTTTCTGCACCTAGATCTCATCCTCGGCCCATCCGTCAACATTCCAGGTGTTGTCGATCGGGCTGCCTGGAGAGCATTATGGACCATGATGTCGAGGGAGAGTACTGGTCTACAGATGCTAGGTGTTGGCATCCATGTTCCCATGAATCATACTATTGAACGATGGCTTACCTATCGCGGCGAAGGCTGGTCAGCTCGTGATCGATTCTTTCAGGGCCTTCCGACTTGGGCGGATGACTTGACGGTGGTTCAGGATATTCGACACGCCCGATTTGAAGTGGATGCTGAGCGACTGGGTGAATTTCGTGACTACACCTCTTGGCCATATGCTTCAAGTGTCTTGAAATTTCGTGAACGAGTGGCTCATGAACAACAAAGGATGACTGGGGCATCTGATTCTCTTCTCTCAATTTGATGACTTGCTACGTCTTACCGGCATTGATAACGCAATTATTTGTTACTAGAATGAATATGATCACAACTAGCAGAGTTTCTGCAGCCGGGCATAAGTAATTTGATCAGTGTGTTTTAAATTTGAACTCTTTATAAGATTGAAGCTACAGAGCGAGTGGTAGATGCATGCGATTGCTGGTCACTGGTGCTAAGCTGAGTTAGATCGAAGGGCTAGATCGGAAGAGCGACCAATTGAGATGCACCCTGATCAATAGAAGCGATACCCAAGCTCCGGAAATTGAATTGCGATCAATAGTTCCCAAAAATCCCCAGGGCTGAGCCTTGGCAAACCCCAACTTTTGTCGCTATCTACTCCCCAAAACCCGCCTTATGAAGAACCCGAGATCTTGTCTTCTCATCATCAGCACTTTGGTCATCATGTACGTCTCCAAGGTATCTGCAGCCCTTCTGTGCTTGGCTGTTGGGGTTTCAGATGTAGCTGCTGGTCCCTGCAAGCCTGAGTCAAGCCAGACACTAACTGGAAGCTCTTTGGGGGCAACAAGCTCGGTGCTCGATGTTGCCTCAACGTCTACTTCGATTGTATCCTCAGCCGAGACTACGCATGTGCGTCCCGATAATGAGCTTTCTTCGACAGTCTCCCTTGGCTCCTCTTCAGTTGAAGTCACCTCCGCCACGACGACCAATACCGAAAGTGTCTTGATAGCAACAGAGTTCTCGGAAACCACCAAGCACCTCTACAGCGCCAGGCAACGAACAACCTAAAATCTTCACCGGCTTCGCAACATGGGTTGACCAAAACGGCGCCATGGGTGATTGCGGATGGGTCAGCCAGAACACCGACTTTGCCATCGCCCTAGATTACCGAAAGTATGATCGGAGCATGTGCGGTCAAAAGATTCGCGTCACTGCGACTTCTGGTCGACGTATCGGGCTTCTATCGACGTCACCATTGTCGACTCTTGTTTTTCCTGTAGGAAACGAAACTCATTGGATCTGTCGACGGCTGCGTTCGCGTATTTTCGGCCACTGGAGGATCCGGTGTTAGATATAGAATGGCAGTACTTGCCATGATCTAAGATTGAAGCGGAGGAGAAGGACGAGCCTATGATATCAAGCACATAGATTCGTGCGTAATGGAACTTACCTCGTCTATTATTGAAGGGAATGTATCCACAGCGTGAGTTGGGTCTACATGGCGCTAGAGCTATGGGATTTGACTGCTGTATATGAGGTTAAGCCTTGGAGCAGTAATAGAAGGAGTGGAGGAAGAATGAGGTTAGGAGATTCAGGGATATATACCAATGCGTAATACAAGATTGTTACTGGCGGTATTAAGCACTGAAATTGATACATTATTTGAGCAAGTGCAAGCAATAGGAATAAATTAACGACATCTGCAACTCGATACAAAGCCACGGGAACCTTGCTCTTTAGCCAACATTCGTAGCCTGAGATGTATGCCCCAAAGTGCTATAAATGATTCTTTTTAACTTGCCATCCCATTCATTAACTACCTTCCTGACGTCGAACCAAAAGTGACCTTCGCCGTTGACGGATCAGAGTGCTTTAATAGTACCGAGCTCTAGGTTCTCTATGCGGAACCCATCTGGTCAGCATCACCAGTCATGGCTTTCATGCCCTGCGTTGCCAGGCTGCTAGACGCCACGCTAGCAAGACCCCTCTCGGCAGCCTGCATTGCAACCATACCAGTATGAAATCCGACAGCCTCTTCAATAGACGTCTGAGGAACCGATATGGCGACCCTCGCAAGATTTTGAGCTGCTGAACTCCCGTTGTCCAGGCTCATTATGGCGTGGCCCATCTCGTGGAGTTGTTGTGTAGCCCCATGCGCTGCCCCGCCGATGGAATCACCAGGATTCATACAGAACGCATGTGCGACAGAGTCACTTGGAAACAGTCCTGGAGCGCAGGTGTGAGTGGCATGAACAGCGGCGTGATCAAACACATGACCAACGCCCATTCCCGCCGCGCATGCTCCCAAGGGAATCAAGATATCTCGTTTCTGTAGTTTATGCAGAGGAACATCTCGTTTCTTAAGCTCGGCACGGATGAGTTTCAGCTTCGACTCTGCTACGTGAACACGACGGATTGCGATCGCACTGAGCACGAGGGTGCCTCCAGAGGATGCGACGGCGCCCCAGCCCCCGATGTGCGAACTGATTATCCCAGCTGTAATCTGACGTGTTTTGACGATCTCCTGCTTACGGAGTCGGTCTGTCTCGTAGTAGGATATACGATGTGCATATTCAGCCTTGTCAAAGTCGAAGAAATCCCGGATAGTCATGTTTTGAAAGAGAAAGCGCGTATAATTGAAGTATGAGACAAGATCATGAAGGAGATTGATGGTTGGGGGTAGATAAGAAGATGATATTGGAATTGGGGCAAGAGCAGTGGTTCTAGATACTTAAATAGCTCTCTTAGTAAAGGATATGGTACTGGCTAGGATGTACGTATAGCGTGCATACACGGCCGCAGGGGATAGATGAGATCGCAGACAGCCAGGATCTGTGTGACTTGACAGGACTTGATTGCAATAATAGTAACTTATCTGACGCGATTATGCAGATGCATAACCTTTGTCTCTTCCTCTTTCTGAAACATGTGCTACCAGGCTGTGTCTATCACAAATCCGGAGAATTGTCCAGATTTGTTGCATCACATGGCGTTGAGGGACTTTGTCCAACACTTCGACTTGAAGGAGCACCGTGTTGACGAAGGAACCTGTGCTACCATCACACTGGACTCCTCAAGGCATTCTTGTGGTTTTCTATCGGCTGGCACTGTAGACTGGAACACTTGGTTGTGTTAGGTTTCACAGCATCTTCAATTCGCAACGTCTGCCACAAATAGTATCCACAGCCTAGTTGCACAAACAACGCACGATTCTCTTAAAACCGCACGAACTTGATCTGTTTCACTGGGTAGAGTCTAATGCTAGTTCGGGATCCAGTGACTTATTGATGTACAAAACTCCTGGATGACTGTTACGCAATAACTAAAATAAGCATTTAGAATTGTCTTACCAGTGATTGAGTTCTTATAGCCCCCATAAGCAGCGCGTTCTTGTAATGCCTCAAAGCTTTGTGCAACGCTCCGAAAGACGCCTTGTTGAAAGCCTTGGCCACAACAACACAATATGTTCTCCCCCCCTGTTCATTATGCAGTTCCAACCTTATGCCAGCCGCTTGTCATGGACTGATCGGGCCACCCATAGGCAAACCTAGCAACGGCATTCACGTCAGTTAATAAACCTAAGAAATCGCCTTGCGAAATAGTGAACCTGTATAATGGAGAAGTCTCAAGGGCTGTTCACTGAAGGCATAAGTTTAGTATAGTGCAAGGCGATGAGATACAGTAAGCAAAGACACGGGAATAGTGGCTCGGAACTCGGCAAAGCGTCATAATCAAGACGTCACTAATCCACTTTGGCCCAAGCGACCCAGAGTTCACCTGCTTTTATTTCTAGTAACATAGATCTTTCATAATCTCAAAAAGTCCTCTCTCAATTGCGTGAATCAACATGACAGATACACTCAAGCCATATCGAATGTCTCAACTCGAGGGCGGACATCGTCCGGGCTCCGACGCAATCTTCAACTCTCACAGCAGAGATGGCATCCTCTCCGCCCTCAAAGAATGGAACTCTCGGTGCATTCTTCTAGTCCACAGCAAAGCGCTGGCCAAAAACACACCTGTTATCTCCGATCTAAAAGAAGCTCTTGGCGACCGCCTTACCAACGTCAAAGAAGGCGTCGGCTCTCACTCGCCATACTCAGATGTCATCGACATTGCCCATCGCATCACTGAACATAAGATAGACTGTGTCATCAGCGTCGGCAGCGGCTCCTACTCTGATGCTTGTAAAGTTGCGCGTCTAATGTCCGCTACTCTACCCAATGGATTCCGCGAGCAAGACATGGAAGATCTGCTGGATCAAGAGAAAGGCGTTGCGCCACAGGACAAAATGAGAAAGGCGCAGGGCGTGAAGCTCATTCTCGTTCCGACGAGTTTATCAGCGGGAGAATGGAATCACACAGCGAGTTGCACGAACAGCGTGGGTAAGAAGCAGCATTTCTCACTTGAGGATGGTGGCGCGCCGGATTTAATCCTCATGGATCCATGGGTTGCCAGAACATCACCTGAAAAACTGTGGTTGAGCTCTGGGATACGAGCTGTGGATCACTGCATTGAAACGCTGTGCAATCCCGAATGCAAAAAGTATCCAGATGTACAAGAATGGTGCGAAAAAGCACTGCGAGATTTGGCCAAGGGGTTGGTCGAGTATAAAGAGGGATTGGGCAGAGGAAAAGGAGGTGAAGACGAGCTTCTTCACGGCGTGAGCAAGTGTCAAGCTGGAAGTCGCATGGCGCTCATGGGCTTCATCATTTATAGAGTGAACATGGGTGCCAGTCATGCAATTGGCCATCAACTGGGTAGTGTTGGGAAGGTCATGCATGGTATTACGAGCTGCATTATGCTTCCTCCTGTGTTACGATACACCAAGGCGCGAAACCCCGAGGCACAGAGCAAGATCGTGAGAATCTTTAATGAGACGTTGGGATGGGAAGAGGCCGATGCGGGTGATTGCGTTGCGCGGCTTGTCAAGGTTACAGGGCTGCCAAGTACACTAAAAGAGGTCGGGGTTACAAGCGACGAACAGATTGAGCAGATCATCGACAAGACCATGACGGATGTAATGTTCTCGTTCGGCAAGGTCTTGACGAGAAAAGAAGTATCTGAGATTGTGTACTCGACTAAATAGACCTTACGCCAATGCTATATTAATTAAAGAAAAAAAAGTACAATACAAAATGGGTATCCTGCCAATCTCGGGGTATCACTAAAAACATTACTACATCATAGGCATTCCATTCATATCCAAAGGCCAGCCCAGAAGAAGCCTTTGCATCCAAGGCCAATACTCCTTCTTAACCCAATTCTGGAGAACTTGCAGCGAATAAATGATCTTGAAAACACCAATCGAAGTCGCCGTATCGCCAATCCCGTAGAACCTCGCGTCACTTTCGCCTTCCTTCCAGATGCTGAGAAACCAATTATGCTTGTAGACGATGACGCCAGGGAGAAACTCAGGAAGCTCAGATATCGAAGGATCCACGACGTCCGGCCAACTGTAGCGATGAACCTCGGCAATCTCTCTCAATTGCACCAGGTCCTTGAGAAAAGCCCAGTGTGCGGCGAGGGCGGTTCGTACGCGTTGAAGCTCGAGGCTCGTGTTGTGCGGTAGATTGTGTATGTGGAAAGCTATCGGTCGCTGGGGTTGGAGGGATGCTACGTGCATGTGGTTGAATATCCTTGTGCGGAGTTTCTTCTGAATGTGCTTGATGAGCTCGGGGATGGCCGGGTCCTTGTCGCGGGATGGTTCTACGTAGACGCAGAAATCGGGAGGTTGAGGGCTATAGAGATTCGAATGGTACTCGCGAAGAATTTGACCACCCGCGCTGAGGACACAATATTAGTATTGGGCTTGCAATGGAGGAAGCTGGAGAGGGTTACTTACCTGGATCTGAAGTCGATGAGCTGAGGTCCAAAGCCATTCTCCTCCCTCAAAGAAATCTCAAGAACCTTGTGAACAACCTCCATATTCCACTCGGACAGTGGTGCGTTGTATTGAGCACATAAAGCTGCCTGGTGCATAATCTTGCCGGCCTGAGCAAGACTAGGCACCCTACCAAAAGAACGTCGCTGGGAAGAGAAAATATCACTAGAACTTCCACATCGGATCCAAGTCCAGTCATTGTAACTAGAAATCTTCCTCGCGACGTCAAGGATCGGTTCGAATTCGTCGGGGAGGATGCCGCGGCCGGCATAGATGTCGTTGATTCGATTGAGGAGGGTCGTTAATGTTGTCTGTGGGAGTTCAATGACAGGCTCGACTCTTGTATCTCGTGGTAATTGCACAGGAGGCGTCGGTTCGAGATCGGGTTCGGTTTTGATTTGTCGTGGCCACGATACAAGTTCGGTGTCTGGTTCGACCTTGACTTCTTCCGATCGGAGTGGCCGTGCCGAGATGTAGGAGCCAAAACCCGTCGCGGAGGTTACGCGAGATGGTGTTGTTACAGGTTGCGAAACCGACTCGACTCTTCTGCTGATGAGCCGCCGTTCAACCTTGCCTGTACTGTAGCTAACAAAGTTACAGTATTGCTGCTGCAATTGAGAGGACACTTGGTTGTTGGCGGTCGCTCGTTTCTTGAGCGGTTGAAAGGCATCTCTGTTCATTTCTTCCTTGAGCCTGTCGAGTTTAACCTGCTGTTGGAGGCATCTCTTCTTGATATCGTATAGCGGATCGTTGTGTGACAGCTTGAGTGGCCAGGTGGTCTCGCGAGGTGGTGAATCGACTCGACGGCGTTTCAAGGCATTAGGCGGGACATCAGGATATGGCTCGGGAGTAGGCGATGGGTCGTCGGTGGATTGTTGGATATTGCTGAGCCAAATCTGAACTCTCTGATCGAGAGACATTTTGGCGCTGCGACACGAGCGCCAAGGGACGTTCAGTTGCTGTCGATGTTCCGTTCAAGATTGTCCTTCTGGCTTGATCTGACCAGGCAACCCAACCCCCCCCGGGTCAGCATAATTCCGCCCGCCACCTCACGGCATTACCGTTATTGGTCCGACTGAACACCGTCTAAGCATCGATTGCCGAGGATGAAAAGATAACAAGAACCGAATCACAATATAGAGCGGTCCATTATCGTAGCGTCGTCGTTATCTCGATTTTAATGATTTCTCAATATCCTGCTAGGATTGATCAGGGTCAAGGTCGTGGAATACTCTACTGTAGGGTATTATGTAGGGTATTACATGTCACTGCGTGAAACACCGCCCCAGTTGGTGTACCCCACTGAGGGTCAGTAGTGTCTCACTCAACTTCCAGGGCCTGGCTCACCTGGTTGGGGCATCAAACGTTGCTGAGGCACAGAGTGTACGCTTGAGCATACCCTTCGTCTCTGGTGGATGGCAAAACTTGTCGACTTCAAAGCCTACGTCGATTGTGAACAGCCGCCTCATCGAATTCGTTCTGCTTACGCACCACTCTGTACGATTCGCGGCCGAGATGAAGCAGTCAGATCCAAGATCAGTAGCCTTCGCAGTTCCATCAATCAGGACACTCCATCTTCCCCCAAACCACGTCATGAAGCTATTTAGCCGGTGCAAGATGGTGTAAGCTTGAACGCGTGCGTCAGCAATAAGTGCATCTCTACATCGCAGATCCCTCAGTTCACAGTGTGATATAAAGCCTTGATCGCCGTATCTTCCAACTGCTTTTTTTGGTCCCGCTGGCCAACAATTGAAGCTTTATCGTCTTGCAGCTTATGGCCATGGCTTCTGAAGTCCTGACTGAACGTCCGCTGGCCAGCACTGGCGCCAGTGAAGTAAATGGAGATACTACTGCTCAATCCAGGCCAACCTCCACTTTGGAAATCGAAGAACCTCGCGATGATGAGGAGAATATTGTCTATCCGACTGGACCGAAGCTATGGTCGACCATGGCTTCGATGGCAATCGTATGCTTTCTCAGTGGACTTGTAACTTGCCCTATATCCCTACAAACAACGCCCCATTGACGTGTTTGACAGGATCTCACTATTGTCGCTGTGGCTGTCCCAAGCATCACAGACGAGTTTCAGACCATTGCAGATATCGGGTGGTACTCAGCTGCATAGTAAACCCTACACCCTTCCCTCTCCAACATCTCTTGTCTAACAATACTCCAGCGGCATGACCCTCAGCGCCTTCGTCTTCTTGTAAGCCCCCAAACGCTCATCACTACTTCACTAACCTCCCCAGCTTCGGCCAAATCTACACCCTCTTCTCAATCAAAGCCGTCTTCCTAATCGGCATCGCCACATTCGAAATCGGCTCTCTAATCTGCACCCTCGCACCCTCTTCAGCAATCTTCATCCTCGGCCGTGCAGTCAGCGGTTTAGGCCGTGGTGCCATCAACGGCGGGCTGTTTAAACTTCTCCGTCAATGTTTCCCACTCTCAAAACAAGCTATCACCAATAGTTTCTTTGGCTCGATCCAGAGCGTTGGTCTCATCACTGCACCTACGATTGGCGGTGTTTTGATAGATGCGTTTTCGTGGAGGGCTTGTTTCGGTGTAAATTTGCCGCTGGGCGTCATGTGTCTTGTCTTGACGGCTTATGGAGTCCATGAACAACCTCCGCGTCATGAGGCGCCTGTTCTGACTCTCAAGGAGAAGGTTAAGAAAGTTGACTTCTTTGGCACGCTATTGGCTGTACCAGCTATCACGTTTCTTCTCATGGCACTGCAATGGGGAGGCACGAAGTTTGGATGGGGAACTTGGCAGATTATTGTTCCTCTCGTTGTTTGCGCTCTTCTGTTCGTGGCATTTGGATACTTGCAGTATCGTCAAGGTGACAATGCTCTCTTACCACCCAGGATCTTGAAGCAGAGGAGTATCATCGCAGGAATGTGGTACGGTGCATGCTGCGAGGGAGTCTTGGCTGTGACGGAGTACTACATGTCTATATACTTCCAAGGCGTACGTGGGTATTCACCTACCAAGGCAGGTCTGCTGGCACTACCAATGGTTGGTGGTTTGGCAATTGCATTCATCGTCTCTGGTGTTGGAACTACATGGATCGGATACTATTACCGTAAGTCCCCTCCGAGCTCTTACAGCTAGTACTGACAGCCTCAGCATTTATGTTGGCCACGAGTGTCCTAACACCTATCGCCTCTGGTCTTCTCACAACCCTCGATCTCGAAGAACAAATCGCCAAAGCCGTTGGCCTTCTCACGTTTCTCGGCTTAGCAGTCGGTCTCGGTCTTCAAGGTCCACAGGTAGCCTTGCAAGCAGTTCTCCCTATTGAGGACGTATCCCTTGGAGGTGCAGTCATCACTTTCGGCGCAGGAATGGGCTCTGCCTTGTGGATCTGCGCCTCTGCAACATTATTCCAAGACCGCTTGTCAAAGGAGATCCAACATGCCGCCCCCGGGACAAACACTACTCATATTCAAGAAGCGGGGTTGTCTAGGTTGAGGGAGTCAATTGGTCCTGAGAGATTGAAGGGCGTATTATCTGGCTACGAGAATGCGGTTGTCCAGACGCTATACATCCCATTGGCATTGGCGCTTCTGAGTATTATTGGCGCTGTAGCCATGGAGAGAAAGTCAATCAAGAAAAAACGGTCTTAAGCAAGGGATGAAAGGAAGGTCTCTTTTTGACAAGTTTGTAGGCAAGCAAGGTTATTCCCGAAGCTCCAGTCAGAACCACTCTTTTTGTCTGGCATTATCACGTCATAGTCCCGCAAGTGTTGGACGGAGGGCAGGCCGATACTTTCTCGCCCAATCACCAACTTCGGAAATAACTCCTAGTATCTATATCCGTCCCAATTCGTGACATCATAATCATTCAATAATTCGTTGGACCCTTATTTTGAACCCCTAAATTCTCCCTGGTGTGGTTGTCCTCTTCATATGTACAATCGATCACCACGAAGTGTAACCGAGTAGTCCAGCAATTACTTGGCGACCTCTCGAGATAAGCAACGACGCGTGCTCATGGCATTGCCATACAGACCTATCAGGGCTGCCCCTGCAAAGGAGGGTACAACTCCCCCGAGGACTCTCGTCGAGCGAGCCGTGGCGAAGCGATCAGGCATCATAAAGTCAGCATGCTTGGAATGTCGGAAACGAAAAGCCAAGGTGAACAAGCTTAATGGCTTTGGAATCTCTACAAACTAACAGGCGGAAGTGCAATGGACAAAAACCAATCTGCGTCAACTGCTCGAAATACGACCGGACATGCGTATACGACTCCGACATCAGGGAATCGCGAGTCAAGGGTTTGCAGGAGGAGAACCAAAAGCTCCAAGACGAACTGGCAGCTGCAAAACTTTTGATGAGACAGATGGCCGGTGGCTCTGCTCAATTGAGAGGTGCCGTGTCGGAGTTACTGGAGGAAGACAGACAGCCTTCCGAGATAACACGTTTACTGAAATACGACGAGAGCCTGAATGGCGAGGCGGATGGTAGCCGATGTTCGAAGACATTGGGCGATGTGATACTACACGATGTTGCCAATGACTACTTATTCCCAGTGGAGGAAACCGAGTCTTTCAGTGCGGACAGCTCCAGCTTGAAGCAAGAATCGTCACCAGATACTGACTCGTGCGTTGCCATTGAGTCAGCAGCAGAACCTACTTACACAGCAAACCCCTACACGATCTCTACGCCTGATTACACATCTACAGAGATGCTAATCGATTACAATAAACCAAGCACTCGAGTAAGAATCAAGCTGCCGACAGGACATCCCTGTGCTCAGTACTAACAACTCTCATAGCCGGTTACAGATAGTGCCGAGAGCATTCCCTTGTACCCGTCACAGTTGCCATACTCCCAATCATCAATTATCTCGACGAATAATTCCCCACCGGATGAGCTACCAACGTTGACTGATCAGAACGACAACGGAGGAACAATCGCCCAGCAGAGAGAAAACACGAGTTTATTTTTTCAGCCCCTGTTTAACCATAACGATTATTATCTCTCAACCTCGATAACCAGACCCATGCTGCAAGAAACACAGTACAGGCACTCCGCAACCTTGAGTGTTTGTGGCGAATATCCAAAGAGCACAAACGCCAATTACCCTACGGAACTGACTGGTCGAGCCCGTGTAGGAGAGGAGGAGCTGCAGGACAGAGAAGTCAGAATTTACCCTAATTACGATAACAACTTTGGAAACCTTGCGCTTTCGGATAGCATCAGAGCCAACGGATATCCTCGACATATACAGGATGCGCAAATACGCAACATCTTCGTGCCGAGTTGGGCTGCCACAACACTCAACACTGAGCTGGACCCCGGGGACATAAGCAATGCATTCGGCGATATATATCAAAAGGCCACCAGCCTGCTCAAGAAAGGGGAACACGTCAGCCGCGTGATTGGAGACCATCCTAATATTGCAGCGCTGTACGACCAGGCTCAGTTTGACAGGTCGTGTTTGTTGTCACAATGGGCTGCTCGCATGGTTCATAGTGTGAAATGTCAGGGTAACTAACACGCCCTTCAGAAGACTGCGATGGAGGCTGATTGTCCTAGGATATGATTTTACATGCTTTGCATCTATGAATGTTTTCTGGTACATGATGCGATGGATGATCGACCCGTCGCCAGAAACATACGCCGCGATGCCGGAATGGATCAGACCAACGCAAGTCAACCAGAATAGATCAATACTTGGTATGCTAATATATTGCAGCGCTAACCAGCTGTTCACGCCCCATATAAGTATGGCTGATTTCGTTCTCTGGCCTGCGTTCCGCGATCTCGTGGTGCAGTTTCCGCAGCTTCAGGAGCGCATGGCGTGGCTTGCTGATATGTCTATGTACATCCGGTGTGATTGGCCATACGCGCTTGAGGATGCACTGAAACCAGACCCAGTTAATGGAACAATTGATCTTGTTGATTTGGCCAAGGTACGTTCTTCATCATGATGACTGGGTTGACTATACTGACTCTTGCAGGAGCATATCTGGAACCTGGGATCTTGGTCTGTTGGACCGTCGTTTAGAAGCTTTGTCATGAATGCGGATGTATACCTCCGGATTAGAAATGGACCATAAGTCAAGATTTGATGGCTGTTAGTAGGGGCGGATGAACAGCAAAGCGTAACTGTGTGTTTTTCATTGAAGTCACTAGACACTGTATGTACCTTAGTTGCTGACGGTCTCCCATCGAATCCTCTCACTACAGCAGGTAAAGCCTGTTTCGTCTTCCGTAGTATAGTGGTCAGTATGCAAGCTTGTCACGCTTGAGACCCGGGTTCAATTCCCGGCGGGAGAGTCGCCACCTGCTACACGCAGGATTTCTTTTTTTGACATTCTGACCGAATGCAAATAACTCATGACATACCATTTACTTTTTCCCTTTTGCTTCAAGTCTCATTTTGCTTGACGCTTTCTGAGTTTCATCGCTGTGTCGCGACCATCTTTATGCTGGCCACTAAGCGCTTAGCGTGGAGTTGTTTATGCGTCACTATGACGAATATCACATCACTGAAAGCTTAGTATCCGGCCAACACGATCTTGCGTGCGACAAGACAACTTCATCAGAATATTCGACAGAATGGATATCGCTGAGCCCTCACGTAAGGGCGCTGCACATCCCACAACCTCTAAGCCAGCCCGAGGAGTGAGTTTGAGCATAAATCAAGCCCCAAATGCCATTCGACAGCTCATCCACCGGTGGCTTACTGATAAAGAGGCCGACAAGATCTTGTCGAGATTCCAGGAAGCCTGTATCCCCAATCATCAGCTATTTTGGAGCGGCATGCATCGTCAAGAAGCCCAGAAATGGGCTGATTCTCATGGTCTACAAACATTGACAACTGCACTTGGTCCACTGTTGTATCATGGTGACCCGAGTCCCCAGACTCAAGCCCCTCCGAGATTCATTCATGGCGCCTCTATCATTTTCGCATGGTTTGTCTCTCAAGGCGATCTAGTGACTGTGCTTTCTCATCCACCGCCCCAGTTCTTTCTAACCCTAACCCTAACCCTAACTCTGGGCAAACCTTTTACCAACTCTATGAAGAGCCTATTATCAAGGGCAAGTTGGGGAACAGGCCTGTGAGAATGATTCACACAGCTCACCCGGCCGTCGAGGCAGCCGTCCACTTCATATATCAAATATGGCCATGCGATATCTCATGGTTTTGGACAAAGATATTTGGAATCCCAGATATCGAGTTCGAGTGGCGCAAAACCAAGATACCCAAGTCTATTGCACGGGTAGAATTTACTACGACGAGAAGCACAACTCCTATAGTGACTTCTCAACAGCTAAGGCCAAACTTGAGCTCAGCATCATTATCGACTTCAAAAAGAGCAGAAACTCAGAGCCCTGCCAATAAGTCAGTGGCTGATACAAAGAACAAGATAACAAAAGGCGGACAACAGAAGACAAAGAAAAACAAGAAGAAGAAAGTGTCAAGTACGGTAGCTGACCAAGGGAAGAACCCAATTACTAAGAAATCACTAAAATCTGGCACTTCTAGCAACAAACAGCAATTGGTCAAAACGGCGGTGATAAGTAAGAAACAAAACGTGGAGACCAACATCAAAAAGAAGGCAGAGAAGAGGAAGAAGAAGAAGAAGAAGAAGAAGAAGAAGAAGAAGAAGAAGAAGAAGAAGAAGAAGAAGAAGAAGAAGAAGAAGAAGAAGAAGAAGAAGAAGGAGCAGAAACTGTCTATAAAACACGCTCAAGCTCAACCTAACGCAAAGCAGGGCCAGAAGAAGCTCGCGACAACAGCAAAAACCAAGGGTAGTAAAACGGGAGCAAAGGCGAAGGCGACAACTAAGTCTGTAATAAAGAACGGCAAGTGAATGGGTTATGACGCGGCCTGTACGCCGACTTGGGATTTAAAGGGCTGTAGTTAAGAATGTCTATCATACGTGAGTAAATGCTTGTACTATCTGCAAGAATGTCAGAAATCAAGTATTATTTTTGCTGTTTTGCCCCCCCGTTGCTGAAATATTGGTAGCTAATATCTAGATGGAGGCTTTTCTATCACCGATATCTGCTCAAACTCTTTTGTGACTCTGATTATCTGCCTTGTGCTCTCATCATCCCTGTCGCTCTCTCGGTCGTCTCCCGCCGCAACAGTAGCTCTAACATCTCCACCGTAAATCGGATGATGCTTCCCACGAACCTGGCCAATAGTGACGAGATTGATATCGTCTGTCCCTCTGGCGTATGAGCTGTCGTCTTTTCGTAATGCCTTGAAGAGCTTCCGAAGCATGGGCATTGATCCGGCGAGGATGCCGAGGCTGCATTCGACTACTGTCCAGAGAATGATGTTTCCGATGCCGTCTAAAAAGTCAGCCAAAGCATAGATTGTAGGCGCAAGAACTTACGGAGTTGATTAGAAGGCTGGGAATATGCAGGGGAGTATGGAAGTCGAACAATAGTTGCCACCGATGCCCTACAATGTGTCAGTGAGAATCGTCATGCATCGGCTGAAGACCTACAAAGCGCCAATACCCATAACAACGTTTGCCATAATCTTCAGAGGCCTGTGCATCTGAACGTTCCACAGAATGATCACTGGTAATATTGCAACAGACCAATCGACTACAATGTTGATCCCCGATACAACGTATGTCAGTACTGAAAGTATACCCTGATCCATACATGTTCCTGTGCTTGGGTCCCACGATGCACTGAGCGGTCTGCACCTGACTAGTCCGATAATTCCTGCTACCAGTGTAATGAGGACTGTTAAACCTATCAAGCCCCAGAGAAACATATTGATTCTCTTATTATCTGTAACGCGCAGTAGCTGAGCGCAGATGGATATCTTGATGAACATGGAGCTGCTGATATAGAAGATCTGCCAAAAGGTCACAGCCTGAAGTATGGTTAGAAGCAATAATGAAAATACTGGAAAACGTACCTTAAAGCCTTCCATAATTATGGCCGTATTGAGCTTGGAATCTGCTGTGCCAATGCCGGTAAAACTGCCCCAGATGACAACTCCATTGTGAACCAAGTTGAGGGTCGCGCCAATGCACATGAGCCAATCCTCTAGTCCAAAGCAGTGATGCGTCACTCTAACCCATATTCTCAAGCCGACAACGACGAGAATCATCGGCGTGAAGACGATAGTGATTGCGAGAAGTGCTGCAGCAAGACCAGTTGGTTTGACTGCGTGCCATGCTTCTGAAGCCTCTGCCATAATAGGCAGGTGAATTATCGCGAAAACAATACGAACCGAGAGTCGTTGAATGTCGAGTAAGATGGGATACAAGAGTACTTAGTCAGATGGCTCATGTCCGCGAGTAATTACCGTGGTCGGTTGGATGACCAACCCTGTTGATCTGTCCAGCTTTAGCCAAAAGCTGACCATTATGGACCGGAAGACCAGCATCAGCTTCCGGCGTCAGGAATTAAAGTTCACTAGCTTGCAGAACCAACACAACAAGAATGGGAGAAGAGGCAACATTACAAGTGATTCGAATCTGGCTATGGATTCAGCATAGCCCCTTCTCTGATACGTCTGAATGACCATGCGCTCGTAGAAACTACTAGATAATCCTTAAAATAAGGGCATTCAACCTCTAAGGGATTGTTACGATCCCCAGACGGAACCGAAACAGATCTGGAACCCTTGCAAGCCACGAATCCTTGGCCCCTGCATTGGGGTTAGCTGTTTCCCGGAACCAACACGAGGGAGTATCCGAAGTGGGCTAATCTAATCTGAGCAGGTTTGTGCACGAATTATAGAGGATTTCATAACAGGGAATTTATGCAAACGTCAGGGGAGTGCATCAGAGACTGCGTGTGGCCTGATGATCTGATCTGGTTGACAGGTCAGATACAAGTAATTAGCCGGTCTTCCATGAGCGCTGAGAAGCTCATCTAGGAGAGATCTCGTGAGTTTGAGTCAACGTGGTCGGCCTTCAGGCTCTCGATGAAATTAGCTCCGAAACCCGCGCTGAAGATCGAACCCAAGCAAGTGCCAGACTGAAGCTATCAGCTTCAAATACCAGGGTATAATGCAATGCTCCACGAGCTGAACTCAAGGGCAATGAGGGGTTTAACAAGGATAAAAGTAAAGCACGTCCCTCGATAACAAGGAACGTTCTTTGCTTTTGCCCCTCGTTTACTGTGTTCTCTGTTTCCACCATTCATTGAGCTGATCGATATGTCTGTCTACGACGTCAAGGGCAAGAATGCCATCGTTACTGGCGCAGGTTCTGGTATGCAACCTTTTCTGATTACCTGCATCTAGAATGAAAAATTAACATGGAGCTATAGGTATCTGCCTTGCCTTCGCCCAGCAGCTTCTTGAGAATGGGTGCTCAGTTGTGATAGCTGATCTCAAACTCCGCCCCGAAGCAGAGGATCTGGTCAACAAGTGGACAACCACCGAGGGCGGCAAGCCTATTGTCCACTTCCACAAGACTGATGTTAGCGACTGGGCTCAACTCTCTTCTTTATGGGACGCAGCGCTTGAGAAGCTTGGCCAGATCGACATCGTCTGTAATGGCGCTGGCATTTACGAGCCCCCATCAAGCACCTTCTGGAATCCTCCCGGAGTTTCTTCTTTATCTGAAGATAAGGTCGACGGTAATCCGGGTGTGTACAAGACCTTTGCTGTGAATGCACTAGGTCCTATCAGGTTGGCACAGATTGCGATAGACTACTGGCTGCAAAATCGTAACGTGCAAGGTAACCTCCTCTGGGTCGCGAGTTGTGGAGGGTATTTGCACTCGCTACAGACACCGCTTTATTTCGCTAGCAAAGCAGCCATCGTAAGCTTTGTCAAATCACTATCGACAGTCCGCAAGCGATTCGGCATTCGCAATGCAGCCGTCTGTCCAGGTGCTGTGCACGTAAGTGACCTCACAAACAAAGTTCCCTGTAAGCCCTCGCTAAACCTCCATGCAGACGCCCATCTTTCACCCCGAGTACTGCCGTGACAGAATGCCACCGTCTACTCTGGGACTCACCGCAGAACAATGCGCCAACGTCATGTTCCAGGTCCTCACCGAAGAGAAATACGGTGATGGAAACATCGTTGAGACGATGCTTATCGGCAACAGAGAGAGCAACTCGGTCAATGTGCGGGAGATTCCTATGGAAGCGCTTTACCCTACTGTTGTTGCTGAAGGTTCGCATGATGGTCTTTATGAGGGGGAAGAGAAGTTGGCAAAACAACTTGCGGAGAAGGGAATGAGAGAATAAAGCAAGATAGCCCTGAGATAAATAAGACAGTGGCTTTTGATTTGATCATACATGCTGACAGTCAGTAACCGTGCTTACTGTTAACAACTGATCATGCTTACGCTTGGCTTTGGCGTATTGCGGATAGGAAGCGGGTTCTGTGCGGACTTTATGCGGATCCAAGGGTCATGTTACCAGAGTTTGTCAGCAATGATATTCCGAGATGATTATCTCGTTACATTCGATAGATCCTTTGATGAGGATATGACGTTGCTGATTTGTCACGCCAGAATGGAGATGATATGATAAAGCCCTTGCTTCTACTCGATACGTCGATCACTCCTCCTGCCTCCTTCAGAAATTGGTCTGCTTGTGAAATCACGAAGCAAATTATTAAAATGAAGTACTCATCTTGGTCGCTATTCCTTTCAGCCTCACTCTTGGGGGGTACTGAAGCCCAGAACCTGGCTCCAGCTTTGCCTTTCTCTACAGGCTTCAACTCATCTTTCTCTCTTTCACCTGCCCAGATCAAAGGAGCCAATCTTTCAGACACTGTAGCCAGCAGTATCGATACTGTCATCAATTTTCATCAATCCAGTCTTGCCAACGGCGGTCCAAAACAAGATGACTTCTACACTCTCCCTAATAAACCCACCGACCTTCGACCTGGTCAGGTCCTCAAGGTGCAGGAAGTAACAGACCCAGAACCGTTCTCGATCGCACCTGGATCGTCCTTGAGCAGAATTCTTTATACAACTCGTAACTTCAACGGAACAATTATTCCTGCAAGTGCGTTTATCCTCTGGCCGTTTCTGCCCCGTCAATTCAACACCAAGTCGAACGGCAAAGCTCCCGCGATTCTTTGGGCTCATGGAACTTCTGGCTTCTTCATTGACTCTGCACCTTCTGCTCATCGTGGTCTCTACTACGAGGACGTGGTCCCTCTGGTCCTCGCACAAGAAGGCTATGCAGTTGTTGCGCCTGACTATGCGGGTCTTGGAGTAGACAAGTCATGGGACGGCAGTGATATTCCGCATCAGTACTTTGCTACACCTGCTGGTGCACAAGACACTCTCTTTGCCATGGAAGCTGCCCTTGGGGCTTTCAGCAACCGACTTAGTGGGAAGTTCGCCATTATGGGCCACAGTCAGGGCGGTGGAATTGCCTGGGGTGCAGCCGAGGCGCTCGCCAAAGGAAAGGATACCAGTGGAAGGAAAGCTTTCGTAGAGCTCTTGAAGGGTTACATTGGCACCATTTCGATTGCACCCGTCATGAAGCCTTTATCCACTCCTAGGCTCTTCAGTAGCTACAGTGCATCTATAGCGCTGTCGAGTATCTTTCATGACTTCAAGCCCAGCCAATGGTTGACCCCTCTGGGTGTCGCGAGACAAAAGCTGATGAAGCAGATCGGAGGGAGTGTTGCAGCCGGGCAACAGTTATTCTTCACTGAATCGCAAAGCGTATTCGAGAAAAGCGATTGGTACAACTCTTCTTATCACGCTGCTGCCTTTGACAAGCTCGGGACTGTCGGCGATAAGCCATTTGCAGGTCCTCTTTTGGTGATTCAGGGTTCCGAGGATGTCTTCATCGCGGCTACGACTACCAATGAAACTGTCACGAATACCGCGAATCTATATCCGAATGGCTCGTTGAGTTATATGTATGTCGATCAGTTCGGTCATACTCCAATCATCTCAGGCGTCCGAAGTCTCTGGATGGCTTGGCTAGAGGACAGATTCCAGGGCAAGAAACAGCAATGTGGACTTCAAAGAACATATGTCAAGGGATGGCTAGGCAATGATAAGCACTTCTTTGGAAGCAATGGCTATCTTCAGTGGAGTGGAGCTGCAGAGTATACTTATCAGAACCCTGGCGCGGTCTAGCTTCAATGATAGCTCAAGTGGATATTGAAGGCTGCTCACCACATCATCAATGTTGGCGAGCAGTCGTCATCTAGTGCTACCTAGAGACTCGTTTAATCACATACGACCACACTTATCGGAACATTCGGGATCCCATCCAGGAACTATAACAGCCTTCTGTGACTGTATCACACTTTTATGCCCAACCAAGAAAAACAGCCCCCTTCCCCCGACTATTTTCATCAGCAGACGCTGTACGAAGTTTTATTAACTGAAAGCATGAGAGATCCCGGAATGCCCCGAATATGTGATTTTTAAATAAATGCTTATGACCCATAATCCGGACCTTATTAATATGTGTCAAGATTGAAATAATGCCATTTGACCAACGATCTTCTAATCTGTGGAACCTCTATGACTACATGGTGTCTGTCTCGCTAAGCCCAAGGTTACAAAGCACCTTCCTGGCTGTCTCTTGTCAAATCAATGTAGTCGCTCTCGTCTTGACCTGCGTCCTGACATTGACTCTTCTCGCTAGAACCTTCCAGGGGAGCATGGGTATGTAGAGGCTTCGGCTGGCCAGGTCGCCGTCCGGGAGACCATTCTCGCCTTTCAAGTGATAATGGACCAGTGATGACCGGTAACCCATAAGGTGTTTTTCCCTTAGATATCCCTCGAGATACATTTCCATCTGGCGAACCTGAAAGCGTAGACGAAAGCCTGGAGAACAGTGTTGAGGGACTTGGCTTTGGAGTAGCCTGGCCCCCAGAAATAGATGGAGATTTCCGCCCATCACTGTCGGGACTATCAAGTAGGCGATCTGTGTTTGATCTTAATGGCTGGGCTTCCGGACCTTTTGAGATAACCTGCGCCGAACTATGGAAAGAAAACTCATAGGCTGAAGGCAAGGCGTCTGAAGCATTTGAATGAGGAGCCGCAAGAGCCAGAAACGATGTCGTTTGAACAGAAGCTGAAGAATCTTGTGACGGCCTGTAGTCGGGGTCGTTCGGGTCATCGTTGTCAAGTGGAAAGTATTGACTGGCTTGACGCGACCCAAAAATAGATTCCTGGTCGTCAGAATAGCAGTCAGAGTGTGCTTGAGATCGGGCATTCTCTCCTCCTCGGGAACTATACTGCTTTCCGGCTACCAGTCCCTTCATGGACAGCCCCTCTAATTTCTGAGAAACGACTCTATCAACTTCACTGTTTATTAACTCCTTCTCTAAGGAGCAAATTTGGTGCATCATTAGACCTAAAAGTAGAGGAGTCACCTTCTTATTGGCCATGTAATCAAGCTCCATGGTGGCTTGGTCATCCAACAGGCCTTGGACTATCGGGACAATGGCTCGTCGCTGCTCGACTGTCTTTTCGCGACGTTTCTTTGAAAGAAAGAACGCGTTATGGCCTAAAGTTTGGTCCAGAATTGATTCATCGAATATATGCTGCCACTGTTCGATATACGAAGATATCAAAGGTTTAAAAACTCGTGTGGCCCAGGTATGCGCGTTATCAAGGACCATTTGGAACATAACAACATCAGCAAGCTTGGTCATTTCACCGTTCCAAATGACGCGCATAATCTTAATTCAAGTCAGCTAAGAGAATCCAAACCGATAGATACACTTACATATCCCTCTTTGCGTCTCTTTACTATTACCTCTGTAGTCTCTCGGTGGCAGCACGGGGCGTCGAAATCTGTGGCATAATACATGATCCACACTTTGACACTAGGTCCGATGGTAGTGATGACGGGCATGGGGGGGATGTGCGCTTGTTTGGGTAGCTTTATAGCATACTGAGCTGTGTGTCTGATCAAACTAATCGCGCATGCTGCAGCATTAGCAGCCTGGCAACACACGTCTCTCACGGGCCTATTATCCTGCTTCTCTTTCTTGTGTTCGACCACAAGCCAAGGGTAACATTTGAGATTGGCTTCAAGTGGTGGTTTCTTAAAAAGGTTGAAAGGTGCTGGTTGGAGACCAAATTCATGTAATCTCTTAAGCGTCGACCACGTAAACGGTTCCATGGCGGATATCTCTTGAGCCCTATTCCACTGCCTAGCATTGGGGTCTACCACGGTTGGAATCCCGGTCGGATGGCGGTTGTGATAAATGGGAAGGAAGAAAGCTTGGTCTGGTTTAGGGCTACTGAGGCTCGTAAATGACCCTATTCCGACCTCCTCATCTTTTTTAAACAGGTCCCAGAGCCCATTGGTCTCTCTTGACGACTGCGTTAGCTTTATAGTGTATTAAATATAAATAAAAGTCGTCATACCTCTTGAATGCGTCATGATAATATTTATTGTACGACACACTTGAGTTTAACGTCAGCTTGATGACCAAAGGAATTCACAACAAATTTACCGTCTAGTATCATCTTTATGTAATGAAAGAGAACCGGCAAGTGTTGCAAAAAAGTCTATTGCGTAGAAAGCCTGCCACTCGTCCTCTTTGTAGCCACCGTTGACGAGACTGTGTGCCTTGCTCAAGGTCTTCTGCGCCGCAACTAGGGCAGGATCTGGATCTGGGCCATATAGCAAGGGCTTCAACTTATCATCAGAAATAAGCTCATTTTTATTGATCAAGCCTTCTCCATTGGCGACACAAGAAAGGTCTGTGATTAATCTCCGTACGCGCTCTACGTGCGGAGGGAACACGTTGACTGGGATCAGGGGTTTCTTTTCATCGTAGAAAATGTTCCTTTGGCCAAGTTCATATCGATCCCAAGTCATATTGCGGTAGAAGCGGAGAGGGGGTACTGGTATGAGGGAATATCGACGGTGGAAAAAGTTACGTGGGACAAAGTCACACGGCTATATATAGAGTAGCTAATCAGTCTTGACCCCTCGCGCGTGCAGCAAAAGATTCGGCACTAATTCCGATGTAGAAGTTTTCCCCTAGCTTCCCAGGGTTTGGTATTTTGTGTTATCTCTTTTCTTTGCTCGCTTTGACCATCTGTTGGTTGACCCATGCAATTTATCAACCAACTGCATATTGTTGTGTCTCAGCTGTTGGCAACTGTGGAGGTATTTCCATATGTGGAAGGCCCCTCGGGTGTGGGTCCTTCGGCCAATTTGTATTGCGCAAACTTATGGATACGGCGAAGCAACCCCCATGAAGTTGGCCGAGGCGCAGCTGAGAAACACCTTCTTTCTATGCTTGATCAGGAGAAGGCTATGTGCAGGTATTCAGGCAGCTTTAGGACGCTGGGTAAGTCAGGGGCCACCAAGCTACTTAACCTGACCAGTGATGTTCGGCCCCAAAGCACCAGGTTTTCATTCAGCAGCTTGAACCGACCTTATCTCATGGGGGATGTAAATACTGAGAATAGCGACTAGTTATATGTTGTAGAATCGAAACGCCGAAGTATATGCCCAGAACTTTATTGAGTGTTATTTGCAGTTGAGACTTGTGGCTGAGAGCTTTAGTCATCAGAGAGAACTTGAAGTTTCTCAGCCCGGTCTCAGCATCAGTCCATCATCTCGAAGCGGAACAACCTCATTCCCCGGGATGGAAATAGGTTTTAGTACCCTTTTGCCCCCACAACCCGGCTGATAAGGGCCGATCAGTAGTTAGGACAGTGACGACTAGCAAACACCCATTGTTGTAAATCTTGTACCAGTGCACTTCATTTGTATTTACAAAACTCTTATTACGCTCTCCGAAGTAACGATTTTATCCATAAGGCGCTACGCCTTTGCCAGCTTGACGTGAACATTCTTTGGTGACCGGGTCAACGCGAGCATCTCATCCTCCGTCGCCAACTCAGGCTTAATCGACCCCAGCTTGAACGTCCAGAAGAACAAGGTAAGAAATATCTTTATCTCAATGTAAGCGAGCTTCTTGCCAAAGCAACCGCAAGGTCCAAGTCCAAATGCCTGAGACGGTCTCTTTTGTGGATCAAACGCCGTCTCTTCCTCGCCTTCCCCATTAACAGTGGTCGTGAGCCACCTTTCGGGTACGAATTGAGCGAGGTCTTGTTCATCAAATAGCTGAGTCCTTTCCATGTGTGCCAAAGCAGCTTCGGATCGCTTTTCTGTGTTGACTGGGATGCTGGGCATCATGACGCCTGGGCCGTTGCCGAGGAAGCCCACTGTTGTTCCCTTGGGGATGAAGCGACCGAGGATCTGAGTATCGGTGGTGGCTTGGCGAAGGGTGACTGGGGCGACGCGTGAGTGCCTGAGCATCTCTTCGATGACAGCGTCGAGGTATGGAATGTGAGCTTTGAGAATCTCCTCAGCGGTTGGGACGCGATTGTCATTTGTGGCTTGAGTATGTGCATTCCAGATGGCTTCACGGAGGAGTAATTGTACGCGCTGGTTGGCAGTCAAATACTTCATTCCCCATCGGAGAACAGCTGAGGTTGTTTCATGTCCGGCAACCAAGTATCCCATCAGCTTCGAACTGTCAACCAAATCACTCACAGCACATACCCATCCAGGTGGCAACATACCTCGCTCATGATTGTTTGACTTCGATAGTTGGGCTTCCGCCCTTCTTTCTCAGCAATGGCATCCTCTCTCGCAAGCATATTGTCCAAAGCACAGCGTTGAGGCTGACCTGACTCTCTTCGTTCAATGCTCTTGGCAATCTCACGATCTCTCAATCTATCACGCCCCGCCCTTGCCCTTCGCATCTTTGGCGAGAGATTTCGGTAGAGAAAGTGATGGATGGTGGGAAGAGGCGACCTCATAGATAGACCGACACTGTCTGCAAGAGTGGTGAAGCAACTCTGTTCCTCGTCGACAGAAACGTCCTCAAACTCGAATAGGTCATCCTTCCCACCTGGAACGGTTCTGGCCTTGAGCTCTTCGAGTTGTCTGCCGATCTGACCATCTCCAGATTCGATGCCAAAAGAAGCACTGAGAATGATATCAAGTGCTGAGTTATGGATGTCCTGAGCTATGTCGAATGGCCTGCCGCCTGATAGGTCTAGCTTGCGATCCCAAAGCTTGAGAAGACTACTGAACTTGTCGTGGATCTCTGGAGCCGAGGCCTATCAAAATCAGCAAACGCTCTCATGCATAAGAGATTTCTTCTTGCCTGTTGAAGAAAGGTTGGCGCCATCAAGTCACGAATCAACTCTTTGTTCTTCTTGAACTTTGGGTCTGAGGATTTCAGCGTGATGTGATGGCCTGGTACAACACCGTTGAACTGCTCCCATGTCACATCACTTCTGTCAAACTCCTTCAATCGGCGCATGCAAATATCTGATGCCTCAAAGTAATCCGCCACGAAGACCCACGGTGCTCCAAAGGGTCTCATGAATACTTGAACAATTGGCGATTGATGACGAGCAGGTTGCTGCGCCCACCATTCTCGACGATTGGGAGCATCTCTGAACTCGGGGATGTCGCCCATGAAGGATTTGACTGCATTTTCGTTATACGGGATACCTGGGATTGGCTTGGGAAGTAGCCAGCGTCGCAGGAGGTAGAGAGCGCTGAGGATTGAGAAGCCTATGGCTAGGGTGAAGTCTTTTGGAGCGCGCTCCGATAGCTCAATGAGACGGGACAACATGATGGTTAGTTGCAGAAGGAAGCAATCAAAGCTTATGCGGCATAGCAGGTCTATATACGCATTGTCAACGGCAAAATCGGTAAGACGGCAGTAAACTTTAATCCGAGAGGGAATTGCCGATGTTGCTGGGATCTTGCATGCCCATTAAATGCCTTCTTATTGGTTCATCGCAGCATACTTCCGCAATCTTATTAGTGGAGGCGCAAGGCTTGCGGGGTTGCGCGATGTCATCTTTTAGCGCTTTAAAACGTCCAAGACGAGACCGATTGTGATAAGGGTATCTTTAGCTAGCTGATGGCTTGTGTTGATAGCAAACTCAATTCATCATGGAAGATTTTAATGCGGCGACAAAAGTAAGAGTGCTACACCGTGGTACATTGAAGGATCCAATACGAAAGCGAAAAGGATGAGGAACAGATTCTGGATCGGGAAATTCCTTCGAGATGGAGGTCAGCGTCTGAGGTAAGCGAAGTTGGCCACTGACATCACAGCGTTACTGCTTATCTGCGTCACATAAAACGTCAAACCATGGAGTTCAGGATGTTCCCGCTCCCGCGGAGGCTGACTCCATGCCGACGTCGCATTTGAATCAACACCAGAACGATAATCAGTGCGCCGGATATGTTGATATTTTTAAGTGACAATAGAAGCCCCTCTCTCATTAAATACCAATCTATGAGAGGATATGAAATTCAATCGGTAAGAAAAAAACAATCTCATCCTGGACACAAGAAGGATTGACTTCCAGGTTGACTCGAAGAAGCGACGACAAAGTAGGTCCTGTAGGAAATGATTACATATAATACCAGAGAGAGAAGGTATGAAAGAAATAATGGTAACCCTGACCCCTATCTCTATCCGCTATGATAACTGAACAGGCGAGGAAAACATGTGCCTGAGCGAAAAGAAACCAATGAATGTTCGACGATATCTTACCCATCCAAGTGGTGAAAGAATTTTCTTTTTCTGTCTATGCCTCTTGTGAGACCGTCTGTGGTGTTTGCGAGGTCTCCGATTGTCTTCCTCTCTTTCTGTCCTCCTCTGCTTCCGATGATGAGCTTCTTCTTCTCGTTTCAATCTCCTCTGCTCTCGTAGTCTGAGCCGCTCATGTCGTTGACTATCTCGTCGGCGTCCAGCATCATCACTGCTCAATATCGTGTCTCGATTAATACTGCTTAAAAAACGCTGTAGATTGAACCGCAGTATTTCCCCCGCTTCTGATGTTGCTGGAGGTATGGTTGGAATCACTGGGGCCTCAATGTGTTGTAGTGCCGTTGAGTCTTGTCCCACCGTATTACCTCCCATCTCGACATCGGCGTCTTCAACCTCGGCCCCGGGGTTTGTATTCCAGACCTGCGTTTCTTCTGGGCTTGCGTGACTATGATGACTCTCTGGTCCTTCTGGGCGGCTGTCTTCGATTTGATGTTGCTCGAGAGTGTTTCTCATCTCATCATTTTCCCGACGAAGCCGCTCATTTTCCCGACGAAGTCGCTCATTTTCATACTGCAACCCAGCGAACCCGTTTCCTTGAGGAATATTAGAAGCTAGCGGTTGCAGTAGCTCGAAGTCTCGTGTCATGGAGCTTTGTTCGTTCTGGGCCATCGTCGTTTCACGCGCGATTCCCTTCCCCTTTGAAGCTTTAGTCTGTGAAGAGCTGCCCTGTCCAGAATCTTCCTGTTTGACGCACACTTCAATCTTCCTGTCAAGCCTTTCTTCTCCAAACTCTTGGATTTTTACTTCCAGTACCTCAGAGGCTTTGGTTATTTGGCCGGATAACTCATTGGACAGCATGTGCTCATCAGGCTGTTCTACAGCTTGAACTGCAGCGTCGGTCGTTACAGTTCTCGGTTGTTTGAGAGGAACTACCTGATATTCTGGCTCGATGGGTCCGTTTTCCGTATCTTTCTGATCCCCAAATTCTGTTTGGGTAGCCACTGCTGTCATTCGCGTCGGCTCTTCCTCTTCGGTCTGCTGAGCAGCGTCGATCATGGACTTTCCATGGCCTATATTCGGCTTCTGATAGTTCTCTACTTCTTGAGAGAGTCTAATAATTTCCCTTTCTAACTGGTGCTTTTGTATGCCGGCAATGTGCAGACAGTTATCCAGTCTAAGATTTTCTTCTGCAACGCGTTCCCATTGCTGTGTTACCCAGATGTAATTTTCCGGCGTAAATTCCTTAGGGTTAGCAGGTTTTGGTCGAACGTTTGGCAACATAGAGGCGGCTTCGAACTGGTTTGCTGCTTGCTGAGTTGCCTGGCCTTCAAGAGCAGCATTCAATCGTTGCTCTAAGTCATTGGCGCGAGATTGAGCTTCGTCGTAGTGCTCGGAAACCTTCGTTAGCAGTGCATCGAGCTCATCTAGCTGATGTTGGACCTGGCATCTCATTCGGATTTCTTCGGCCAATCGTAACTTCAGCGTTAAAATATCATGCCCTGAGGACAAGCCGAACTCGTATGATTGGCCACTCTCACGTACATAGAACAACTCTTTCGGTAAACTGAATATAGGTGAAAGGTTTTGTGTTCTCTGAGATGGCTCAAGGTCTGGTTCCTTGTGCTTGCCATGAATGTCTGGGCTTGAGGTCTCGCTTACTGCCCCATCATCAGGAGCTGGGGACCTCGACCTTGGTCTTGATAACTGGGAATTAGACGGTTGGTTGCTTGATATCCTCCTTACTCTAGGAGACGGCTCCAACGATGGAGGTGTCGTAAGCGATGTACTATGTCTTGAAGATGAAGAAGAATTTGGCCTCTTTGAAGAACTCCCAGACGAAGACTGAGCGCCTGGCCTTGTCGGTCGAGTGACAAATCGACTTCTTCCAGGTGGGCACCATTCTGGGCGCTTCTCTGAGGAGTCAGTGACGGCCATTTCAGATGAGAGAAAAGCTTCTTGTGGGCCTTCTTTTACATAGTTCAAGTTGCGAAATTATTACTCTTATATGTTGCAGCATCGTCAAAGAATCTCGTTGCGATCTCGATATGGCTGCATTTGATTGGTGAACACAATTGTGTAGGTAGAGCTTGATGATTCCAGTACTGGTAAGCTGCAGATTCGGGGGCCTCAAAATCGAGGGCGTTCGTCAGCAGACTCTTGCGGGCGAATAATGACCAATGCGCTCAGCCAACTACGTCTTACATGCCATCGGCTTCGCGTTCTTCGTCAAAACTAGACGCGATGACTACAACTTCATCTTGGGGGGTGGAATAGTGCACGTCGGCTACGAGCGGTTGTTGCGCTGCTTGCACTTTATGGCGCAAAGGAAAGTCTGAGTTGTCCGTCTTTGTGTGACTCGAACCCCCACGACGCGAGTGCTCAGGCTGACCTTGATCGCCAACAGCGGCTGAAAATATTTGGGGGTTGGATCTACAGCCTGGCAGCTTTCGGACTTTCGAGCCCGGAAGGTTCGGATATCGAGTTGCAGCGAAAGTGCATCTACAATCATCGTCAAGATGCCACGTCGATTTGCACATGTCAGTCACGATGGTAGGCAGTCGGAAGTGGTGTTGACGCTCAGGCTAGATAGGTCTGTATATCAATTGTTCTTCACTTTATACTTATTTCTATAGACTTTACTGTTATTTGCTTTGCCGACCTGTACTAGCCCAATTGCCGCAAGATATTTGCCGATGAGAATTGATTTAGTTTACTAGATTGACCTAATGTGGCCATCTTCTGTCTGCCAAGGCAAACAAGGGGAAGCTAGTTCAATTGAGTAAATGAACTGCCAAAGGCAACGTTGCACCCGGCTAAAATCCATAGATAGTTAAGGGACTCAGAAAAACCTCATCTATCCGACCACCTCAAATCAATAGCATGATATCTACACTACTCCGCGTGGGAGACTATCACCCTCCGGGGCCCCGGATCGCAACTCCAAAATCCATCGCAACATACCCTGTACCACCGGCTAACCCTCCGATTGGCTCTATTTCTTGGCGGTGAACAACGGAGTATCCGCGATCCTCGTCCAATGACGTATTTACGGGTCGTATCGGTTAATCACCGGCTTATTCGTTATTCATGCAACAAAGCTCAGGTAACGCGATGAACTGATAAATACAAGCAACAACACCTCCGCTCCTTCCAAGATGAGGATCTGCGAGGTAGTGCCTGACATGATGTGGTCGACTAAGCTCTTGTGTCTTGCGCTGCAAGTAACTTCTTCATTCTCTCTCCCTGCTGGGATTCCGACTGAAGAGTATCCATCGCGTAAGATTCGCCTAGTAACTTGACCCCTGATGGCGCTAACCTAACCTTTGACAGCGCAAGGAACTGGCAAAGGAATTTGGAAAGATGCATACGCAAAAGCACAGCAATTCGTGGATCGATTGACGCTCGAGGAGAAAGTCAATGTTACGCGTGGCTTTGCCGCGGATAATGTTTGCGCTGGCAATACGGGTACGATTCCGCGCCTTGGATGGCCGGGTTTGTGTCTCCATGATGCAGGTAATGGAGTGAGAGCAACGGATTTTGTGAATTCGTATCCTTCTGCTTTGCATGTTGGGGCGAGTTGGGATAAGAACTTGACGTATCAGCGTGGATATTATATGGGGAAGGAATTCAAGGCCAAGGGAGGTGAGTATCAGCATCTTGGGTGGATTTCTCATACTAACTATGATCAGTCAATGTCCTTCTTGGTCCAAATGTTGGGCCTTTGGGAAGAACACCACTTGGCGGACGAAACTGGGAGGGTTTCTCGGTTGACCCGTATCTGACGGGCCAACTCAGCGCAGAGTCCATCATCGGGCATCAAGACGCCGGAGTCATCGCCAACGTCAAAGTCAGTACCTCCTCCCATCCACCAACATCACTAACAACCACAGCACTTCATCGCCAACGAACAAGAAACCTACCGTCGTCCTTACTTTGGCATCGAAGCCGTATCATCTAACGTCAACGACAAGACTCTTCACGAGTATTATCTCTGGCCCTTTGTAGACTCGGTAAGAGCAGGCGTCGCGTCGGTGATGTGTTCATATAACCGCGTCAACGGAACTTATGCCTGCGAGAACAGCAAGCTCATGAACGGGCTTCTCAAGACCGAGCTTGAGTTTGAGGGGTTTGTGTTGCTGGATTGGAACGCGCAGCACAATCTTGAGAGTGCGAATTCTGGTCTTGATATGGTCATGCCAATGGGTGGATTTTGGGGAGAGAACTTGACGATGGCTGTTGAGAATGGGACTGTCAAGGAGGACAGGGTTACTGATATGGCTACGAGGTATGTAATCTCAAACACTGAGTGAGTGTTTACTGATGAAGGCAGAATCCTGGCTGCATGGTACCTAGTCGGCCAAGATGTCGACTTTCCAACCCCCGGCATAGGAATGAAGAACCTCTCCCTTCCCCACGAACAAGTCGAAGCTCGCATCCCTGAATCACGACCAACTTTGCTCGAGGGTGCCATCGCAGGCCATGTACTCGTCAAGAACGAAAACAACACTCTTCCCTTTGCTGAAAAGCCCAAGATGATCTCTGTCTTTGGGTATGATGCCACTGTCGCCAAGACGAAGAATACCGACAATCTTTTCCAGTTGGGATATACTTCCTCGCCAGAGATGGGACAGGCTATTCTTGGGACTGAAGAGCACTTTGACCAAGCTGCCAAGGGAGGGAATATTGTATCGGGTGGTAGGGCAGCTGCCAATTCACCGCCTTATATCAGCGATGTAAGTCTCTTCTCTTCTTCCTAAGAAGTCTACTAACAAGATACAGCCCCTCAGTACGATCCAGCAAAGAGCCGCGAAGGATGGAAGCTGGGTGAACTGGGACCTTTCATCCTCCAACCCCGATGTGAACGGCGCAACAGATGTCTGTCTCGTCTTTATCAACGCCATGGCAACAGAAGGTTGGGACCGCGATGGTCTTCACGATGATTTTAGCGATGCTCTGATCCTCAACGTTGCATCAAAATGCGCCAACACGATTGTCATAATCCACGCAGCTGGGGTTCGTCTCGTTGATCAGTGGATTGAACATCCGAACGTCACAGCAACAATCATCGCTCATCTCCCCGGCCAAGACAGCGGTAAAGCGCTCGTGAAGCTTCTTTACGGTGAGGCTGATTTCTCGGGCAAGCTGCCGTATACGTTGGCCAAGAACGAGAGTGATTATACTCCTTACAAGCCCTGTGGATTGGAGGAAGGCAGCAAGGATCCGCAGTGCGACTTTACTGAAGGCGTGTATTTGGACTACCGCTCTTTCGACGATCGGGATGTCACCCCAAGGTTTGAATTTGGGTATGGCCTTAGCTACACCGAGTTCGAGTACTCTGACTTGGTAGTCAAGGTTGCTGAGACAAGTGCTTCGGCTACTGCTACCGATCTCTGGAGTACGTTTGCTACCGCTCAAGCCACCGTCTCAAACGTTGGAAAGCGAGATGGCGAGGAAGTTGCTCAACTGTACGTCGCTATTCCGAATAGTCCTCCTAAGCAACTCCGAGGTTTCGAAAAGGTAAAGATCAGAAAGGGCGAATCTGCTGAGATTCTATTTGAGCTCACGAGACGTGACTTGAGCGTCTGGGACGTCGTCAAGCAAGAGTGGACTCTTCAATCAGGCAACTACACCATCTTCGTCGGCTCCAGCAGCCGCGCCCTCCCCTTAAAAGAATCATTCAGTATAGAAGTTTAGAAGCCAAATCTATAAACTTTTAATTACAAAATCATACAAGAAAAAACGAGTTACTGTGCTCCCTCGTTACTGGCGCTTAACCCCCCGCACTGCTCAAGTATCAAACCAGGAACTCCGAACCGCGGTAGTAAAACCCTCGCTTTTGCAAGCTGCGTAGATAACCAAGTCTGATTCGTCTTGCTGAGTGCTACAGAGAGCGACCACATGAAACGGTAGACTTGACGGGGGTCTTCTTCGAGGGCTTTTGTGGCGACGCTGAAGATGTAGGACAGGGAGGGTTCCGGCTTGAATGGTGTTTCGTTGTAGGTGTCTAGGCTGGAGCAAAGGATTTGTAGGGCGTGGAAGTCAAGGGCGGCGGCATAGACTGTCCACATGAGGCGTTTCCCTCCAGAACTGGGGGCGTTTTTGGCGAGGAGGAGAATATCGACGAATTCCTATTGTCGTTAGTTATATTACATGCCTGAACAGATGAGCTGTCGTACATCACCGAAGTTTTCGACATGTCGCCAGAGTTTCCTCAGATCGTCGTATCCACCGTGCGTTGTTGACCGTGCTAGTCTGAGAAGCTCAAGTTTAGATCCTTGACAGAGGTGATATAAGCGGAGAGGGCGATAATTCTCCATATCGTCGAGGAGCTCTGATATAGGATATTGCTCACCCCACATCTTGGGAAGAGCTGATCGAACACTGAGGAAGAGATGTTCATGTGAGATGTAGTCATGAGCGTCGCGTGATAGAAAGTCAAGACAGAACTGTCCACTGTTCATGTTGCCTGTTGCCGAGTCCGCATCGAGGTATCTATGTCTGTCAGTAAATAACAACAGTGTTGTTATAGTCAGTGACCTTACAATGTGTAAAGCAGCATCGCCTGCGCAACGCACGGTAACTTCTTCCCAGTCGCCTGTCCATCATCCCGCAAGTACGGCCCCAAAAATAACCGTATTCCATCGAGATGCAGCAACGACGCCCCCGTAGTCTCCGAATCACAAGCCTCATATCTCAAAATTAGAAACCACATCGTAAACAGGGCATCGATATCGCAATCCTGCTCCGGCGTCTGACAAATACGATCCAACAACGATGACAGATCCTTTAGCGCTTGTGTATAATGAGCCGCCGCCGCAGATGCAAGGCGACTCGCCCTCTCCAACGAGGCACTACCATCGACCACCTCCTGCGCAATAAGAAGCTCCTTCGCTCGTAGCTCCATATTCGCGACTGCGATGAAACTCCTCATCACGCCGGGATACACGTTCGCAATGTTCGCATAGATATACGAAAAGTTACTCCATTGCCAGAGCTTTCCATAACTCACCACCATAGTCGAATAAGGGATGTAGGCGAAAGCCGCTCTGTCCTGCTCACTCAACTGCAGTGAATTCGCAAGCGGTATATGCGCTGCTGATAAATGCGATCGTGGAAAGTGAAAGTCATGGCCGCTCGCCGGCGAAACAGGACTTCCAGAGTCAAAACTCGCAGGCGATTCACTCGACGCCAGTAACCGCGGACTCCCATACGCAGGACTCTCAACCCTCTTCCCCCTTGCACTGAGAGCCTGACCCGGTTCGAGCCATTCACACTTATTGGGACTGTTCTCGCAACGTTTGCAAACAGGTCTTTGCTCGTCACACTTGACTTTTCGGATACGACATGTCAAACACCCTTCATGAATAGTTTTGTTAGCAGCGATATCGGAAGGGATGTTGTGTTCCGGGCGTACCGTTTTTGGAACGCGCTTTTCGGCGATCTGCGATGGGGGATGGCATGGCGGGCGGAGATATGACTCGGGAATACAGACGCGCTGGGAAGATAACATGGGATCGTGTGTTGTGTAATTGTGATGCAACATGCAACTGAATCAGTTTTTTTACCCCCTTCGTCAGGGCGTTAAAGTCTAGGTTGCGGGGGGGATTGGGGTTGGGATTGGGGAGAAATTTGTGATAGTGATTGCATGGGTGACGTTTCCAAGGATGAGTGAGGGATGTCGGGAGGAGATACCGATGGATTGAGTTTGTGTTAGTACGGATATAGCTAGTCTCGATTATTATTTCCAAGGTCCTTGCAGCTCTCGTTTAATTGTGCATTCTATCATATCAGCTCTACACCCGTATATCCGTGCTACGTAGTATCCAAAACCAGGTCCATCAACTCAAACGACCTCGTTATCTCCTCCATCAACAGAAATCGTCATCATCAGGGCCATGACGAGCTTATTAATCCTGCCCAAGAAAACCTTGTCCTCCATCAGCCTCCAACTGCGATAACACCTCCCCAGCTTCTCATTGGACCTCTCGGCTAATTTTAGTGGCCGTCGGTCTACGTTACCCGTCGGAAAACTGCCACACAGACCCCCTGAAGCTCCCCTGTAAGCAGCAAAAAACTAGCCGGAAATGGCCACATTGGGACATTTTCTGTCTCGCGGAGTTTCCTGATTCATGCAGCCAGCGGGCGTCATGAAATTCAGCTCGGATTGTGTCATGGCCCGCAGGAGCTAGAACCGCAGCTTCTTTCTTATAAGCTGGCCAAGCCCGGGGTAGTTTAGTTCCTGGGGTAATTTCATTGTAATTACGAACTGAGCAAGATGTCTACCAACGAGCAGCTTTACGAAAAGATCTCCCAGTCTGTCACTCATCATGAGCAGGACTTTGCAGACATTTGCAAAAAGGTACACGACACCACCTCGACAGCTTTGGGGGAGCTTCTCTAATGTCTGTAGATCCATGAGAACCCGGAGCTCAACTACAAGGAGTTCAAAGCCCACGACAACATCTCCGATCTCATGCAGCGTCTCGGCTATCACGTCAAACGCTCCGCCTACGGCATCCAAACCTCGTTCGAAGTCGAATCCGGCCAGGGCGGCAAACTCATCGTCTTCAACGCAGAATACGACGCTCTTCCCGGTCTCGGCCATGCTTGTGGCCACAACCTCATCGCAACAAGCTCCATCGCCGCATTCATCGCCACCGCCGAAACAATACGCTCCCTCGACATCCCCGGCCGCGTTCGTCTCCTCGGAACACCAGCTGAAGAAGGTGGCGGAGGAAAAGTCCACCTTATTAAAGCTGGTGCCTACGAAGGCGTAGATGCGTGTCTTATGGCTCATCCGACAGGGAGACTGTCGCCGCAGGGGGAGAAGAATATAGATGGCGTTTCGGCAGCGAGGTCGAGTGCGAGGAGACAGATCAAAGTGGCATTTACAGGGCAGAATGCTCACGCGGGGAATACGCCGTGGCACGGGAAAAATGCGCTCGATGCGGTTGTTTCGTCATACGTGAATATTTCGCTACTGAGACAGCAGATTCAACCTACAGAGCGAATTCACGGTGTTATTAGAAATGGAGGTGCTGAGCCAAATATCATTCCTGATTCAACAAATTTGGAGTATTATCTGAGAGCTGCTGGGGCTGATCAGATCAAGGAGCTCACGGGGAGGGTAGAGGCTTGTTTTAAAGCTGGGGCGATCGCTACGGGCTGCCAAGTACAGTGCAGTTGCGAATCGTGAGTCAAAGTTACTGCATGGACCGTGGAAGTCTTATTAACGGACTCGCAGAGATCAAGACTACATGGAGCTTCGACCGAACATGTCCATGTCGAATGAGTTTACAAAGCACATGCAAGCCTTTGGACGAGATTACATCGGAGACGCAAACCAACCACCAATGGGCGCATCAACGGACATGGGTAAGTCCACTGCCACTTCTTTGCTCAGCCCTACTGACCTTCCTAGGCAACGTCACATACTGCGTCCCAGGTATTCACCCCATGTTCGCTGTCGGAACAGAAGATCCTTTGGTGCAACCTCATACACCAAAGTTTGCAGAGGCAGCTGGAACAAGAGAAGCGTTTGAGAGAGCTTTGGATTGTGCAAAGGGATTAGCAGCTACAGCTTGCGAGATGCTGCTTCAGACTGAGTTGATGGATCAAGCGAGGGATGAGTTTAAGAGGGATGTTGAACCGATTGGTTATAGACTTTAGATCACTTGAATGATGAGATAATGAAGCCTTGGTTATACTCTTATGTCATCTTAATTCCGTCGTTATCAAAGAGGCGGCGATATCGCGTTGTAATTCCTTTTTGAGCCACCGTTGATACCGCCCATGTGATAAGACCGCATATGCATGTCTCTGTCGATGAAGATAATGCATCGTCATTATCTACGCCGCGGAACCATGATGGGCAACCATCGGCGTACTAACACCCACCCAATATTCGCCATCCCCCGCATTCCGGCGCTACCCAAAGAGTCGGGTCCGTCGCAGCAACACTATCGCCTAGCCGAGTCAGCCAATCGGCAACGCCAGAACCCTGCTTTGCCGACTGGACCAATTAGCATGTAACGATACCCGAGCTGGAGAAACTAGCAGTACGGCTCTTTCCAACGGGTAGTGAAATAACTTCAACTTTTCAGACGTGAATGGTATCTCCCTCCTTGATCAAAACGTCAGTGCTGAGATAGTATCCCCAGACTTATCTTGAGTTTATGCGGGGGTGGAGACAGCTTGGGATCAAGAGATAAAGCCACTGGTCTAGATGCTCCCTTAGACATCTACTTAACTGGCTTCCAGTCCTCCCTACTCAATCAATCTTCAACTCTTCTTCATTCTCTTGTTTCAACACTTACAAGATATTCTTCGACACTATGGCTTCTGATAGAGAGGACAAGACCAACTTCCCGGCTCAGGACCCTGATGCGAAGATGGGTGAGACGCTGAGCCTTCAGGGGTCGATGCAGGTTGCGGAGGAGGGAGTCGATAACCACTATAGGGGGAAAAAAGTCCTGAGAAGGATTGATCTTTGGTAAGTTTTCCTTCAACTAGAGATGAAGAGTGCTAACGTTGGTGTCCAGCTTGATGCCTCTTCTTCTTGTGTCATACACACTGCAGTTCCTTGACAAGCAGTCACTCAACTTTGCTTCCATCATGGGCATTATCGACGATTTGGTCAGTATACATCGATATAGAGGTACTCCGCGTTCACTAACAAGAGTAGGACCTCGTTGGATCAAGATACAGCTGGTGCAGCAGCGCCTTCTACTTTGGCTACCTTGCCTTCAGCTACCCAGCGTCCTGGCTAATGGTTCGTCTGCCCCTGGGCAAGTACCTCGCTGGATCAAGGTAACCATTTCCCCAATCTTGCACGATTCTCCCGCTAACATATTGTAGTCTCGCTTGGGCCATCATCCTCTGCTGCCACGCCGCAGTCCAAACCTTTCCCGGTCTCCTCGTCGCTCGCTTCTTCCTTGGTGTAGCAGAAGCTTCCATCTCGCCTGGTTTCTCCCTCATTACTGGAATGTGGTACAAACGTGAGGAACAGCCTTTCCGACACGGTATCTGGTTCTTGGGTAATGCCATTGCTACTTCCTTTGGTGGGCTGTTGGCGTACGGTATCGCTCACATTGGCGGTGCTCTTGAGTCTTGGAGAGTAAGCGCCCCCATCTGTGCTGAGTAACAACCACTGACTCCTTTACGCAGTGGCTCTTCATCATCTTCGGTCTCATCACTCTCGCCTGGGCCATCGTGCTCGCTATATTCCTCCCCGACACCCCCGACAACGCACGATTCCTTGACCAACAACAACGTATTGATGCCGTCGATCGTATTCGAAGTAACCAAACTGGCATGAAGAACAACAGCTTCAAGTGGGAACAAGTTCGCGAGGTCATCAAGGATCCCAATGTCCTTCTGTTGATGGTGTTTCAAATTGCCTTCAGCATCCCTAACGGTGCACATACCACAGTAAGTGATCCCCGTACTCGACTGTAGCAATTATCTGACACCTTGTAGTTCAGTAGTCTTGTCATGGCCGGCTTTGGCTTCAGCCGTTTCCAGGTCTACCTCCTCAACATGCCCATGGGTGCCATCCTTGCTTTCTTCGCTCTCGGATCAACATACCTTTGCAGTCGTTTCAACGGCTACAGAACCATTATCGGCGCATGCCTCAGCTTGATCAGGTAAGCATCTCCGACCTCGTGTGACTTCGCCATCTAACTATTACAGTTTGGCTGGCTCGCTTCTTGTTCGCTACGGCCCCAACCAAGGAAGTCGACTCTTTGGACTGTGGATCTTTGTCGCGTTCGCCGCTGGTTTCCCCATTTCCCTGTCCATGGTGGCTTCCAACGTCGCTGGCTTTACCAAGAAAAGTGTCGCCGCCGCGATGATGTTCATGGCATATACCACCGGTAATATCATCGGCCCTTTTCTATTCTTTGCCCGTGAGGCACCTGAGTACTCGGTAAGTCAACCAGTCATTCTGTGATGACACTCTTTACTTGGAACGAAGCTGATATCATGACTCTAGAGCGGTTTCTTGGCGACGACGATCTGCTTTGGCATTTCTACCGTGACTATGATCGTTCTCCGATTCGTGCTGATTGCCGAGAATAAGCGACGAGATGAGCTCCAACAGACGAGCTCTGGTCTTGAGGATGATACGGAGCATCTCGAGATTTCTGATGTCACTGACAGGAAGAATCTCAACTTCCGTTATGTTTACTAAACATAGAAGGTAGATTAATTGGGGGCAGTTCATCGTAGCTAGATAGTCATTATTCATAGTCCAAGCAAACGCAAATTATTCTTCAACAGCCATTGCTTCACATCTGGCATACACCCAGACGTTGTGATTAAATTCTCAACGCAGCGGCTCATGTCGTATAATTTACCAACCTTCACCACACCAGAATTACACAAGCTGAAGGGTTAATTTCCGAACTAGTCTTCGGACCGTAACGTCTAGACACAGGTCACTGCACTTTACACGCAGCAAGCCAAGGTTCACATCATCGGGATCGAGCTCCTAATGCAGCTAATAAACTCCGGGACAAATGTTTGGGGTAGTCCAAAAGTCTTTATTCGTGACTGTGCTTCCCGACTTTCCTCCCAATCCGGATGGTCTGAAGCCACTACCCAGATCACATCGGTTGGACAGTCGCAGATCACTGTCGGGTGTTTAGACCCCTGACCGTATGACCGACCATCGATTCCCCGTTGAATGACTTGGGTGATATTTGTAAATATAAGACAGGAGCTCATGCACTCCTTTGTTCTCAGGTCAACAATTCTTTCGTCCGTCAATCAAGTTACGGTCAATAATTCACTATGAGACCTCACACCTTCGCAGCCCATTTTCTTGCAGCCGCGTTTAGCACCGCTTTTCTCATCACAGACGAGGGCGTCAGATGCCGCAGCGGTCCAACGACAAGTCATGCTATCCAGAGACAGTTTGTCAAGGGTACTGATGTGACCATCACCTGCCAGATTGAGGGCACCAACATTGAAGGCAACGCCCTCTGGGACAAGACGACGTTCGGGTGCTACGTGTCCGACTACTATGTCGCTACAGGATCAAGCGGGTACGTGACTTCGAAGTGCCGTTCGTGTAGACCGCCCAAGTCGAATGCGGCGACTGTCAATCTCATCGCCAACTTCGAGGGCTTCAGGCCCGATGTTTGTGAGTAAAGTCTCGGAGATAATTGTTCCTTGGACTGAGGCTGATGGTTTCCAGACAACGATCCTACCGGAAATCCGACAGTGGGGTATGGCCATCTGTGTGACGCACCCCAGTGCAGGGAAGTCAAGTATCCCATTCCGCTTTCTGTCGCGAATGGAAAGAAACTGCTGGCAGATGACATGAAGGTTCGTTCTGGTCGCTAGCAGAAAGGCTCTTCATCACTAATCATGTTCGCCTCTGCAGGATTTTGAAGTCTGTATCACAGCCATGCTCAACAGCAAAGCAAAGCTCAACAGAAACCAATACGGTGCCCTCACAAGTTGGGCTTTCAACATGGGCTGCGGCAATGCTCAATCTTCTGCTCTTGTTGGGCGTCTGAACAACGGGGAAGATCCCAATACTGTAATCTCCCAAGAGCTTCCTCACTGGGTGTATGCCAGTGGCCAACGCCTTCCGGGCTTGGTTCGTCGAAGAGATGCTGAGATTGAGCTGGCTCAGAAGCCGACTCGCCGTAGAGCTTTACCGAAGATATGCTAAGTCCTGTAGTGATCATTTCAGGCCTTCTTAGGTTGACGGATAACTTATGTCAGCTGGGAGACCGGAACTAGACGTCAAACGGGGGCTGAACAGGAGCAAGGTGCTGGGATACTTGTTTTGTTGCACTTGGTATCTCGTATTGTCAGGAAATCTCTCCAGAGCTAAACTTTGAGCATGCATCATCCACCATCCCTTGCCCAATTGCAACCTGATAGCTCTCCGATTTCGTAGCAACCCATGGCATCAACATCCTATGCGCCTCAATTGTCACAATCCCATATACCTCCCAGTTGTCATCCCCCGAACTCGACGGTGTAGCTGTACTGGGCGTGCTAACAGAATCCGCTGCTGCCTCACTCGGTCTAGGCCTGACATACCACTGCGTCCAGCTTATCACACCCGCAGGCGCATCTGCCCTCGATACAATTCCATTCGGCACTCTTTGGAAGATAATCGGCCATTTTAAATCCCTCTGAACCCCCGGTCCGAGTCGCATGACCTCATAAGCCTGATAACAACAGAGACTTTGTCCTGGATCTGATGAGTCGAAGAATCGATCATTGGCGACGAGTGCATAGTCTAAACCTGATTTTTCCCATGATCTCATGCCAGGATTGTGGCGTAACACAGGCTCGTATGTCTGTATGTAGTCGAGGACAGATTGGTGAGGGATGTGGCGGGGTATTGGGACGTTGACGAAGCAGTGGTGCTGCGAGCGCATGCTCGCTTATATCGCTGCGAACTAGAATCCGTCAGACACTGCATGGTAGCGGATTGGTCGTTTCCAGCAATCTTACGACGAATGAGAACCCTGGTTGTCCCTCGATTGAATGAGGCTCAAGTAAAGTGACAAATAGATGGCGCCTGAGAACCAAGTGGCGTGTCTAGCGTAGGGAAACACGTTATCCGGTGTGGCAGTGAGGAGCATTGATGACTGTTTCAGAGATTGATAACAGAAGAATGACGAAGTCATCGCCAAGATTCAAGTTCGGAGTCGCCCAAGGCCCCGAACACGAGCGGCACGACTCAAGCACGCCAGGTTAAGATTGACAGGTCTGTGGGGACGCCATGAGAATCTGACCAATCACCTCGAGACCAAGCACGGCAAATTCCGTTGAATCTATTTATAGATGTTGAAATACCCACCGCTAAATTGAGGGAGGAGAAATCTGGGAACTCATAGCTCCCCATCTAAGATGTCCTTATCTTGCGCCATGAGATAGAATTTCGATGAGCTCATAGTACAGCCAGCCATTTTAGCCGAGACACTAATGAGTATAGGGCGACATCACTCGGTCTATTACCTGTGTTCACCCGAAAGCCATCGTCATACTGTGCTATGTAAGACTTACAGAGTGGATATCAAGACTTAACTGCTCATATAAATAGGATGAAACTTGATCTTGATCTATGGATGTTTTCTTTTTATCTGCAGTTCGTCAGGTTTAGATTAATTGTATAGAATACTAACCCTGGCTGGTAAGCACTAGATAAAAGCTCTAGGATAAGAATAATACCCTATACCAAAGACAATGTCATTATGTAGGCAGTTAACAAAACGAGTATAACTTAAAATTAACTGATGGGATTGCTTCTCCTTAGCAGTCCAGCTCTTTTATGTAAGTTTGTAAGATAATAATAGTTTAATATCCTAAGATACTTCGTGCAGGGCCTAGTGCCGATTGGAATCAGCTTAGCATCGCGGAAGTGCGTTAACAGATCAGATTGGGAGACATAGAAGAGCGTATATCAACGTGGTCTCCTTGTTTAAAAGTGAGAAGAGCGACTACTCTGATTCAAGAATAAATTTATAGTAAATATACAGTGATTTTATTTTTGGTCTTTGAAAGACTTTAAATGAGTAAAAAAAAATAGATCTAACTGCATCATCAATTGACGATAAGTCTCTCCAGCCGGTTTCACCAAGTAGCATCCAATAACCATTCCTAAAGTAAAGTCCCAAGCTATGAGATCCGACAAGCGTGTCAATCCAGTATAGTCGCCGAGAATATCGGCGACCGTTCGTGATCCATGTCCCTGGCGGGGGAGTGACCCGTCACCACCCTCCCAGTGTGAGCCCGATGAGGGAATCCGAACTTTGAGCGTGCTTAGCGTCAGGTAGTCGAACGGCTTGAACTGAGAAAAGTGACTCATCAAGATAGAATTGAGATGGACGTGCACCTTGAAGTGCAAAAGGGCCAACCTCGCGATGTCAGTACAGCACGTTGGGGTAAGGGGGATGTGGCCTACCGCTGGTAGGACTCGCGGATCATTGGACTTGGGTTTCGATCGTCGATCGCCTTTTGATCATATACTCCCATGGATTGGAACAACAGCTATACCTGCTTGCTGTGAAACAAGAGGGATGGAAATGTCTCTACCCCACGGTAGGTGCAGATAATCAGGGAAATAAGAAGAACCTGGAATGTAGGGAGGAACTCAGCGCGAGGACCAGATGAGTCAGTAGCTGACACGGGAAGTTTGAACTATATGAGTATCAGATAACTGATGTCTAACAGGAATTCTTGATCTCACGAGCTGTTCATAAAGAGTCTTCAGCAAGGCATCGTGATAAAATCGGGCTTTGTCCCTGGTCTCTGGAGTGTCGAGCACGCACAGTCCAGCTGTTAAAACGACAGCCGTCAGTTCTGGAGGAGATTCTGATTGCAAGAAAGTTCTTTTATGCAGTAGAGGCCAATGGGGGTGAAAGTGCAAAAAGTAAGACGATTCATGCTCGTTCCGAAATGATTCTTGGAGTAGCTGCATGGCTGGATTTGAAGCCAGATTTAGACCCTGAAGTTCTGTGCCAAGAAAAGAGTCCAATGTATTCGCAGGAGAGTCGCTCAGCTCATACACAGGTACAGTTTCTTGTGATTCAGGCACTGTCTCTTCTGTTGATGGTTCTTCCTCTTCTTGTAGAACGCCTTGGCCAAGCGGATGGCTGATTGTCTCGTGGCGTTTGAGCAGATCACTTGAGGTTTCAGCGTGTAGAAGCCAGGACTGAGACAGACCGAAGCACCCACCTTCGATTAAAAGTAGCTGGGCATAGGCTGCATGCAAATGAGCGCAAGTTTAAGTGATCCCTCTCATGGCGTAGGAGATGCTCCTTCTTCTTGTGTGACCGCTCGCATCCCGTATAGTTGCAGTAGAATCGGGATAGGTCAGAAGACATTTGAGATCTAGAATATGATAAGTTGATCTAGAACTGCTCGTGAGACGCGATGTGGGATGGAGGGTGCTTATTCTTTGTTCAGCGTATCTCATCGCAGCCTTTCTCGCAGGAATGTCAAAAACTGTAGTCTGGGGATCGAGGTAGGTCTTGAGATTACCCCAATAATCAAGAAAGAAGCCATTTGCAACTGCGGTCCATTCCAGGTCGGTCTTCTCCAGTGCATCAAAGAGAGACAGCTTGGCTGCGGCATTGAAGAACCAAGAATGCTCCGGACGATACTTGACTCCCCAGACGCTGGGGATATATCGTTTGGTAGCTTTGGACTTCGCAGCGGCTTGGATAAGACCAATCTCCAGTTCAGGAGGTGTATGTCCACTTAGTGCGGCAACCACGACGTCGACGTGGTTATCCTCGAGCAAGCTTGTGATGCCATCGGGATTGGAGTAATCAATGGGCAGAATGCGTGCTCCGAGCTCCCTTCGGCTCAAGATGATGACCTCAAAATTGCCATCTGCGATGGTCTCTTCAGCGATGAAGCGGCCAACACTGCCAGTACCTCCTGCAATAGCTACAACAGGCATGATGAATGGTGTTGAAGACAAGATATAAACAGCGATGTGTAAATCTGTTCTGTAGTTTTAAATAAATTGTATCTTGGTTTATATGCTTGTATATCGGACTGTGGAGGCTTGTGCTGGTGCTACTGGCTGACAAAGGATCCGGGGTCTCCACAAGCAACATCCCACATCGTTCCCCCCTCGTCACCAGGTCCTGGGTCTTGTTGATATCTGATTCAGCTATTAATCCTGAGCTTAGTAATAGAGGATTTCAGAACCCTCAGGTGCTGATTCAAAGCTTGGCTCCATACTTCTACGATATCTGTATCCCTCTGTAGCAAAGCATCCACGAAGTTATCGACCTGAGTAGTTTGAATAAGGAGGTCAACGACTGTACATTCCTAGACCTAATACCACTTCTTATTTGATTTAGAACAGGCCATTTTGGTTCTTCCACTCTGACTTGGGGGGAACCGGGGCGGCAGTATCCCAGTGCTCCGTAAAAACGCCCTTTTCATACCGAAGTATCTCTACCACTCTCATGCCATCAGTTCCATCATAAGCCTCCACATGAATGTGGGCAACTACGAATTGCCCATCAACAAGAATGCGCTTCCAGTTGCACTTAAAAGGTCTGTTGGGGTCTGTGGTTTCTCTCTCAGCAAATTCGATGATAGACTCTCTTCCAGTCCCAAGTGTTGGGTTATGCTGGATGTAATCCTCAGAGACTAATTCGCGGGTGCGGGCGTAGTCATGGTATACGAAAGTGGCTAAGAAAAGCTCAATGAGTGCTCTGCCAGCTTTAATTTGTTCATCAGTCTGCGTAGGTTGATCAATAAGGTGCTCGTTCCAGGTCTTTTCGACGTCGGCAAGAAGTGCGTCTCTTGACATAATGATAAGAGGAAGTAGCAAGCGGATTTAGATAAGAGCTATATGCTATTTATAATAGTTGACCTGGAAAAGCTTTGAGAATAAGTAATAAGTTCTCATAAGATTAAAAACAACTAAACTTACTCTGTCTTTTTAAATGTTACAAGCCTAGTAAAGATAGTTCGGGTGGGTGGAGGGTAGGTGGACCCGAAGAAGCAAAATTCCGATTTATAAGATTGCATTACCGATATGATCTGCGCGGAGCCGATTTACCAAGATTCAGATCGGAAAACGTGATCGGAAAACGTGGGGTACCGCTGTTTAAAGCCCAGTCCCGACAACAAAACAATATATGATGATTGAAGAATAATTTGTTAACCTTATTTGGGTTACGTTGCGATTTGTCATATTCGATTTTGAAACCATCATGCGAATCATGGATCCATTTCAACCTGGCTTGCACAATGAGGTTTATCCATTCGTTCACCCTTTCAAATTCAAGGCATCGTTGCAAGACAAAGTGACACTAATTACAGGTAAGTATCAATAGGGGTTACCCTTAGTTCTCCTCACAATGCTGATTTGAAGTTTGGGCCAGGGTCGACTGGAACAATCGGTCGGGCACTGGCAGAGTGCTTCTCTATTGCCGGGGCTAATCTGGTCCTTGTTTATAACCGAAATGAACCTTCTCCTGACTTCCTGGATAGATGTCGAACTCTCGGTGCCGCAGCTGTCACACCCATTCAATGCAATGTGTCCGACTTGGACAGCTGCCAGAATCTCATAAAGGAAGTAAGTAATGCCTCACTGTTTCACCCAATTGATTATATTAAGTAACCAACTAAACTCAATCTTCAAGGCGGAAAGTACCTTGGGCAATATCGACATACTTATCAACAATGCTGGAGTGGATAGTATAGGACCGGTTCGCTGACAGCCAAATCCGACAAGCCTGACTTTGCTGACAATGCTCGACCCATCCAGATGCACGAAAAAGACCCCACAGCTATCCTTCAAGACTGGGCTATCAATTTAAATGGCCCTATGTATTTGATGCGTCTAGTTATGCCAAGCTTTATCCAGGCCGGAAGTGGCACTATAATCAACATAGCCTCTAGAGGCGGAACGGTCAATATCCCCTTTAACACCACTTACTGTGCTAGCAAAGCCGCACTGATACGACTTACCAGCTGCTGGCAAGCGGAATTGGAACTGGGAGGTCATGATGGGATTCAGATGTATTCCATCCATCCAGGTGCCGTGCCCTCACAGATGACATCTGCAGGTATTTTGCTCCTTTATGAAATAATGCATACCTCTTTTCTAACTTTCCATAAAGCCAATTTAGATGAGATAATGGGTCAATACCCCCATGTCCTCAAGGTAATGGCTCAAGTGTTGGAGGGCTTCAAAGATTCTCCTTATTTGAGTGGTATGGTATCAGTGGCTTTGGCCACTGGTATTGCAAAGGATTGCCTAAATGGAAGATACTTTGATGTCCAACAGGATCTAGAGCATGTAATCACGCAGGCTCAAGCTCTGAAAGCTAATCCGGACCTTTACACGTTGCAAGTGGGATTCCTAGGTGGCTTACCCAATGACGGAGGGACAGAAAATATATCTCCAGAGAAATCCTTTATTTTTCCTGGGTATTAATTGCTCAGTAATTAGTCCAGGCATTTCAAGCCAACCAGATCAATTTACTTGCTGTTGGCATTCAAGAGAAGAACGAGGACTCTTCTGTATCTCATTTACATTCATATAATCTGATTAAGTTTGCGATATGTCGGGCAGAACCCAGAATACTAACAGTAGACTCTGAACGTCAGGTTCCCTGAGTTTGCATTTATGCGGAAATGTGGACTCCCGAACCTGAATTCACCCGATCTGCCTCTTGATTGCTTTTGATCAAGGACCCTTAGTGCGCCACAGTTTTTTCAGCACCGGTCTATAGTGGGCACGGTTTATCACGGTGTTATGTTATGCGACAATAAGTTGTAATCTAGTAAATGGTTATGCTGCCTATGTATTAAAATCGAGGGTGGCTGGTCTATCATGGTGGCAGGACCTGGCTCGATAAACCTTACAGCAAACTTATTTATGTGGAGCTCTTGGTATTTACATATAGTAAAGTAAAAATATAGGTAGATGCCTTGTTTCCAAGGTCCAGATGCCCAGCATAACTCTAAGCATAACGTTAAGCTTTGCGTTATGGCAGCTATCCGAGCTTCCCGGACCACTCAGAGCACTGGAATATCTGAGCCCACTAGTTGGTTATGGGGTTTGAGCTTAAAGGCAACGTGACGATTGATATCTATCCCTGGCCGTGAACAGGTTTATAAGAAAGCCTCATCCCAGGCCCTTGGGTCTTCATCTCTACATACTATCCTACTTCAATTAAGAAGCACTAGCAATTATCCCCCTAACGTATAATTATGGCAAACACAAACAAAAGCATCGGAACTGACGCCAAAGTAACAATGGAGATTGATCCATCAGCTTCTGGTACAATTGTCCAAGTTGTATTGGCCGCTGAATCGACTTTTAATATCCTTTTGGCTATCCCCATGGTATTCAACGCAGAAAGATCCTTCAAACGAATGTACTCGTCCGATGACCTGTCTGGGGCGCCTCACGCTGTCCCTATGATGCAACTGTTCGGCATCAGCCTAGCAGCCATGACGGTGCCGATAGCACTTGGAATCCCAAATAAAGCTGGAGCGGTAGAAACGAGGAGGATCACATATCAGACGCTAGCATCCTTTGAGGCTATGGCTTTACCGCTCTTGTTTTGGCAGGCTTGCCCTGTAGGGGAGGCCGGTAGTGGGATTTATCCTACCAAGCTGACTTGGGGCTCTGGGTTGGCCATGGGTGTCATGTTAGGGTTTAGGGTTTTCGTGTTGTTTATGAAACCGGAATGGATGGGCAAATACAAAGCGAAGAGGGTAGGCTGAGCTGAGGGGGGGTTGTAAATAAGTTCAGCAACGTGGGATAGTCACCTTTATGGCTTTTCTTATCCACCACATAGATAAGGGTTTATAGAGTAAGACTGATGTATTATATTATGTTATTATTTGATAAAAAAGACAGATGCCTGTATACAAGAGTGCCCTTATTGGATTACTTATAGTTAGGGTTAGGTACAGTGATGACTAAAGATGTGTTTTGTGACCTAGAACCAGTAGTAAATTGGCTGTTAAGTCAAATTTCTGAACGTGCGGCCTGCCGAGGACCCCGAGATCTGCGGAAGTGACATCCCACATCGCTCCGCCCCACGCCTAATCCGGGGCTTTGATCTCCAACGTTCGGTGTTTGGGTAGATATGTATCTCGCGGAGTTACTGGACAAGGCTGCGGGCTTGGGCCTCAAGCGGAGTTTATGACCAGTGGTGAAACTCCGCAAGTACGTTACAGGAGAACAGAACATGTCGTATTCTTCGACATAAGGCATTTCGAGCTGCCATTTGGAAAGCAACGCAATAAATAACACATCAGGCACTTATGAATATACCTCAAGAATAGAATTGTTCTTATCTGCCACTCTGAAGCTAGGAAAGACCGTTGTCATAAGTTTGTAGCGTTAAGTGTCTGACTGCTAGGTACTCGCTATGAAACGTAGACCAGTGACAACTGACAACTCCTTAAGGCTCATGCAATACAGGCTGGATATCTCGCTACACAGTAAGAGACAACGCCTTCTCTCTGATATACCTTTGCGTTCTCGGATTTACGTAGCTCACCCAGGCGGTGGCGTTTCCCTTTGGGGAACCAGAAAAAGTATACACCGCCGCCTGCAGAACCATCAGCAGGGATTGAATGAGGGGTAAACTTTCTTGTAAACGTGATACCACGGCCCGAGATACGGAAAACAACGTCTCTGAAGTCCAAATCGTCAAAGTTAGTCACATTAACAACGACATGTCTATCGCTGACTTTGACATCCAAGTAGGCATCCGCGATATTTGGATCGTTTGTGACGGGCCTTCCTTTGCGTTTTGACGGGATAACCCCTGCACGATATGCAGCTCGCTGTGCTATGGGGCTTGTTCCATTTGCATGGGGCGCAAGGTAGTTTCGTAGGAACTTGTTGTTGCGCCTTCCAGAATGATTTGGGAACCCATCTAGGACCTCGTTGTCTATGACTCCGAGCTTACCCCAGTTATCAATTACAGTGTTCCCTCGGTTTGTCAGCGTTTCTTGTAGCGTTTATAATGTGTGAACATACATCCGGTGAGCTGTTCTGGTATCCAATCGTTGGGAGCATAATACTTTCCTGAGGTGAACCCCAGATTGTTGAACCAGGTGATATTTCTTGAGGCTTCATCTGTTCCGAGTATCAGTAAACGGTAGAACGATTTATGTGAGTTACGTGCCAGGGTATAGGGCTTGCCACCGTGCGTCATAAATGAAGTTAGATGACACCGTTGTGTTTGGCGACCTTGATAGCGTGTACACGCCTCCAAAATCAGTATGAGATTGACCAAAATGATGGATCAAATTTCCCTCAATCAAATTGTTCTTCATAACCGTGGGTGTTTCATAGATCGGCTGGTATTTATAAAGGCCCCGCTGGACGTACTCCGGGCTCCCTCCTTCATCATTGCTTCCCCAGCCTAGAACCTATTAGCAGCCTTACTCGTCATAGAGGAACAAGCCATACCATAACCATGACAAATACCGCTATATGGCTGGTTATAAACATCGTTGTGTGTTATGGAAGAGAATTGCGTGTATGTAAAAAGAATGGGGACGGTGGATGACCACAGGACTGAATTGTTATTGAAAATGTTGTTGGAGGCGTGAATGTTTGACACAAGCATCTGCGGCTGCGATGGGTGGTGTGCATCGGCTTGTATACCCCCAACGGTGATACTATTCCCCATCACCTGTGTGAAATAATTGTCGTCAATATGAATGTTATTCACCCCGAGCCCAACGCCCGTCAAGTGCGCATTCTTGTCATTTCCTACACCGATGCCTCCAGCTCCAAGCTCTCGAAAAGTACAAGACTCTATGGTGATGTTGTATGCCACGCTGACTTGAATCGCGCTAGGCATCTGCCACCAATGGGGCCTCGAAGCTTCAAAATTAGGCCACAGACTATCATTTCCCATGTAACCACCAGTCTGCTGATCTACGTAGCCATAAGTATCTGGCCTTAGCCAAGTGCTGTGCTTGAAAGTAATTCCTTTAAAGTGCAAGTCGTGAATTGGCTCTTTATAGGTTCCTCCAACGACCATGAGGACTTCTTCGATCCCAAGATAGGTAGTTGCGGTAGCCATATCTTCGCCTTCCAATGGTTTCAAATAGATAATCGACTCATTTCTGTCAAGGTAGAATTGACCGTCTTCAGTAAGCAAGGATTTGACGTTCTGAATCCAGACGCCTCCAAAACGGCTCTGCGATTTGGTCATAGCCGATGAGTTGATTGGCCCATATATTCCTTTTCATCCCAAGGACGCGATTGCCAACCTTTTCGATTGGCGCAATCCGATCGGTAAAGGAATTTATTGCCCGAACCTCGCCATTCTCAATGCCTGGGGTTTCCATGATCCAGTCATAATCCGACCTGTTCCAGGTCATTCCGACTTTAGTGTACTCGAAATCTGTGCGATTTTGGATCCGTCGTCGGGCATACTGAGCAGCCAATCCGTTTATGTAGAGGTTACGGGATTTCGTCCCCTTCGGGACGGAAGCAGACCACATCCCGTTCTTGCCTTTAGTCCAATTACTGATCTCATGTCCTCCAGAGATGATGGTGTCGGAGCCAGCCCATGTCACCGTGAAGCCATTGACACCGGAGTCTTCAGTGCTGAATATGATGGGCTCGTCAATTACCCAAGTACCTGGGCCAAGGTGGACAGTGATGTCATCCTTCGCCAACGGAATGAGTTCACGGACAAGCTCTTGTGCTTTTTTAATAGTCTTTACAGGCTTCTCGGCTGACCCAGGATTATAATCCTGTCCCTTCCGATTAATGAAGATGTCTACTGCCACTGATAAGCGGACAGCAATGAAGAAAATAGAGTGTAATCGCATCCTGATAATTATACGTTATGTGGAAGAGAAGAATGGTTTGTCGATTGACTTTTCGTCTTGAGCTTACTATCCACGACATATATGCTGCCAATGCATTGGAAAAGCCTAATGACCTCGGAATTTAGGCAAAATGCTGCCCCTCAATCTAAGGCTTGTAGTTTGTCCGTGATCAGCATGCTCATGTAGCATACTTGGTGTATAACCGAGCGAGTCGTATAATAGTGGGATGAAGTTCTGGAGACAAGTTATAATGAGCGATCTTTAATCTCTTCCACCAATAGCTAGCCCTACTCGAAAATAGGGTTTGTTTTAATTAACCGACGGAAATTTAGATAAATGCACACATGGCATGTTGGGTACGCCTAAATACATGTGTTTGTAAAGAAACTCAGTCTTGTAGAAATTCCCCGCACCTACAGAGATATGCAGCTTAGGCCACTCCAGACATGACATAACTAGGTGGACTTGTTTAATCAGGAAACAAGTCAGTTCCAAGATAATTTATAGCCTGCTTTGGCTACAATACTCAAATAACCATTCAGATTAAGAATATCAAGCCCTGGCTACTTATGGGTAAGATAAGCCAAGTATCTTACAATACTTTAGAGAGCACTAAAGCTCCTATGTTTAGATTTATTCTTCTATTAAGGCAAACGGAGATAAGCTTACTTCCAGTCAAGGATTCAGATCCTACCGTATATATAAATAGCATATTACCCCTCTCTGACCCTAATCACAAGCTCCTTTCCTTGCATGCTTTTGTAAAGGATTAACATCGGCAGTCTACGCAATATGTCAACTATAAGACCCTATCAGATCAACATACCGGACTCCAAGCTTGAGCGGCTCAAGCAGAAGCTGGCACTGGCGGACTTTCCTGCGGATAACAATCAGTCTTGGGAGCAAGGAGCACCAGTTGGTGATGTCAAAAGATTGGCGAAAACATGGCAGACAACCTTTGACTGGCGCGCTGTTGAGTACAGTCTCAACAAGCTGCCCCATTACATTGCATCTCTCAATGTTGGAAATTTTGGAGCCCTGGACGTGCATTTCATCCACAAGAGAAGTACTCGCGTAGACGCCATCCCTCTCCTGTTTCTCCACGGTTGGCCGGGGAGCTTCATTGAAGTGACCAGAATCCTCGATCCTCTGGTCTACGAAAATAGTAGCCCCAGCTTTCATGTTATTGCACCGAGTCTGATTGATTTCGGGTTCTCTTCGGCGAGTAAAGTACTCGCTCCTCTGAATTAGCAGTCGATGTCATGTGCTGATATTTCGGCAGCCCGGTTTCAAAGTTGAAGATCACGCAAAGCTCTACGACAGACTAATGAATGAACTCGGATATGAGAAATATGGTATGGGTTTTTCGAAAGTGGATGTAGGCACCGCAAATCTAATGAGTCACAGCTATCCAAGCCGGCGACGTTGGAAGCATTATTGCGCGTTAAATGGCAACATCATTCGGCAACTCTCGCTGCATGGCTCTTCACACCAACACGCCTCTGCCCAGCGAGCCAAGGGAAGATACCCACCCGGATTTGTACAATCAGTTACGAGAAAATCCCCTCACCGAAGCCGAGCTAAAAGCGCTCGTACGTGCAGGCGAGGTTTCAAAGGTCGGCATGGGATACTACAATATCCAGTCAACAAAACCAACGACAATCGGATTTTCTCTCCGTGATAGCCCAGTCGGATTGCTCGCATGGATGTACGAAAAGCTCGTTCAATGGAGCGATGCGTATGAGTGGACTGATGAGGAAATACTCACCTGGTTGAGCATCTATTGGTTCTCTACTGCGGGACCCGATGCGCCGAGTAAGCTCTACTACTCCTTTGAGCAATCAGATCCTATCGCATTTGCTGCTGCTGGGACTTTCATCGATTTACCCCTGAGTATCTCTCGATTCACAAATGATCTTGTCCTGTTGCCCAAGCTATGGAATCAATCTCTTGGTCCGGTCGATTTCCAAAAGGAGCATGAGCGCGGTGGTCACTTTGCGGCATGGGAACAAGCGAGTGCTATAGTTGGGGATCTGCGGTTAATGTTTGGGAGTTCTGACGTTAAACAGAGATTTAGGAACAGCCTTCAAGATAGGACTACTGTTTGATTTATTATGAAGGGGCTTGCGAAAATTGTATCAAGTTCAGCTCGTCAAGTCTCGTTGTATTTACTGGCTACGTTAGTCGCAACCGGCTTCGCCTTTAATTATTTAGCTAGTACGGGAACCATTAATCTCAAAACTATTCAGCTGTTTCAAAATCCTGCTTATAAGTAGAATTAGCCAAGTGCCGAGGGTTAATTTTGACTTGCATAAAGCGTTAAAGTGCTGCTCATCTTAAGCGGAATGTAGACTGCGTTGACAAGTTGATCAAAGAAGACTGCTTCAACAAACAGGCCGGGTAGATGATGATTTATACTTTAATAGTCTCAGGCAGGAAGAATTACAGGGGCGTTGAAATTACACTGACGCACTAATCATCAGCCAATAACACCGCGACCTGAAGCGCTGAGCACCAGTGCCACTCCAGCCTGATGATCAGTTATCCAGCTGATCGACATTCTTACACCGGAAAACCGGTATTTTGCAATGTACTCAGGTGAAGATCTATCTCAAGATTTTCGACACTGACATCGCTATGTTTCCCACCATGTTCGAACCGCCGTTTACTCCAGAACATTCCTTGCTTGGGGATGAGCAGAGCGGGTACGTACCAGGATTCCCCTGCGTCCCGCGTCACGGCAGCAATCAAATCAAAAAGCTACTTATGTCTGAGTTTTGCTCAGACGACCTAGATCAAGTTTCGGATAAGCTCTGGTGGATGTCAAAACAAGATAGCACAAATATATGGCCACTGCATCGACAATTACTTCAAGGCCGGTCGATCGTCGTGACAGAGAACCCAAAGCTACATCTCGTATGGATCAACGACCGTGTTTTCATCAAGCCTCTTCCACGATTCGTCGGGTCCCACGGCTTCTGGAGAGAACATCTTTGCAGTAACAATACGAGCGACGACGTGCGTATTCGACGCGCAGCCTTGGGTTATCTACGCACATACTTCTTTCTCATCCAGCATGAATCAGACTTTCGCATCGCCAAGGATCCTACTCTTTGTCTCATCCCAGAAGGTATCTCTTGGGAGCAGTTCTGCGACTTCACATCTGATTTTGATAAGATCCTGGATGAGGAAGTCTCCCTACGCTATGCCTACGGTCAAATCCGCCTCACTCGCCTTAACTTTTATGCTCCGATCATTCTGCACAAGTCCTACTTCCAGAGAATTGACTTCCAATACGGACAGTATTTCGCTCGTTTCTACGCGCCGATTTTATTCGTATTTGGAATTACCTCTGTGACTTTGAGTGGACTACAGGTGGTGGCCTCACTCGAAACAGGTGGCGGTGCCAACTGGCAGGGGCTGGCGCTTGGTGTCAGCGTTTTGGCGATCTTGGTCTCCTTTGGCCTTCTCACTGGGCTTGGGGTTCTGCTGTCTTGGAAAATTGCTAAAGAGTGGAAATTCGCTATCAAAGAAAGGCGCCGTTTGGTGAGGACTGAACGAGTCGTGGTCTGATAGCAAAGTACAATACATCCTTTATCATTGTCCTCTTTTTTCAAAAGGATCTGACTTGTTGAGTTAGCACTGTGACGTTAGTGGCGCAGAGTCGGTGAAGCTGCAGTCACCGAGAATTGCACTTCTGCCTATTTTCAACCCTCCCCTGCATGGCTGCGGAAGTTATCATTCGCCGAGGACCCATCCACCCCTAACTCATGCATACAAGGCATTCTGGGCACCTACTCCAGCTTTTCAGCCGCAGACGAAGTCCTGATACGCCCTCCTCATCTCTCTCTCCGACTCAAAGTTTTCGATCCTTTTCCCTCAGTCTTATTCGAGCATATACATGTTAACCCGCAGCGCAGGCAGCATCCGCAATGGCAGCAGCTAGCCACAAAAGCTTCAGACTACGGGGCATTCCGCGTGATTGCGAGACTCGGAGTGAGGTCTGCAGCCTTATTCAGAAAACTCTCGCACTCGAGCCTAGCGCCAGTCCTACTGTCTACTCGCTTGCATGTTCCCCCACCGATCCCAATAGCAAGATCGCTACACTCAGCTTTCCTTCAATTCCAGAATGTTTATCCGATCGCACAAAGATTGAGTGGAGTTTTAACCTATCCGACGGTAACGACATCGATTTCAGCAGGTCTCTTGCTTTCGACACACACTTTACAGGTTTCACGCCTTTTCATCGCACAAGCAATAACGATTGCCATATTGAGTAAGTTGACCAGAATCTGTCCACCAATATATTTTTTCTAACGTTCCTCACTAGCTTGGTTGCAGTTTGTGGCCTTGGGGGGCATGCCTTGGGTTCATTCAAGGAAAAGAATGGCCGCTTCGTTTGGCTTCGGGATGCGCTTCCATCAGACATCCCGAACGCAAGGATTTTAACTTATGGATATGATACGAAGCTCTCCAAGAGCAGCGCCTTCCAAAATTTGACAGATCTAGGACGGGCACTGCAGATTGACCTTGAGGACATTTATGTATTTGACCAAATATTTCCCCTTTGTTTTCAACAGCTAATGCCGAAGAGGACCCGAACCAACCTCGTTCGATACTTTTCATCGGACATAGCCTGGGTGGACTTGTCGTCAAAGAGGTGAGTAATCGAAAAGTGCTTCAGAAGGCCTATCAATTAACGCCCGTTAGACCGTCCGATTACTACAAGAAGAGCCTCTTGGATCCGACTTTCTAATTTTGAACGCCGTTTCCGGTTTTGCCTTCTTTGGGGTCCCCCATCGAGGCTTGGAAGTCAAGTGTTTGATCCCTTTAGTAAAGGATAACCCCAACCGGGCACTACTCGAATCTCTAAACAAGAATTCGTCACTTCTCGATCATCTACAGAATGACTTTAGCAAAATATCAAAAGCGAGGGGCTTTTTTGTTGTGTCGTTCTATGAGACAGAGAAGTCCCCTACCGCAGTTTGGGTGAGTTGTCTACACGTCGAGAAACATTGTCTGTTCTTAACACCGCTGTTAGATTGATGGAAAATGGGACATGTCTGGTCCTAGCGAATTGCTGGTAGAGGTATTCTCGGCAACATGCGGTTGTCAAAAGCAGCATCCCATCAACCGCAACCACTCTGAGATGGTAAAATATAGCGGTGTACATGATCAATTGTACCGAAGAGTGTTGATCGCACTCCGTCCCATAATTGGTATTACACGAGGACGGCCTGGCATTGGAGGTATAAGAGAAGGGCCACAAGGTTCGATGCCAGATTTTAATGTGTAAATGCTCAATATACTTACATGTCTTCCAGCTTGTGTTCAACTTTCAGTTGACGATCAGGGTATGAGCCAAGATAGAAAGCTGTTACGTGTCGCTGATACGAAGTAGAATCCCTGAAATCGCTATCATTCCCTGAGCAAGAGCACAGATATTCCGAGATCTCTTACGCGAGCGACACTTGCGACTGGCTTCTAGAAGACTACAACTATCAGAAATGGATGAATGCGGCTCGTGGGCTCTTCTGGATTAAAGGATGTCCTGGAACAGGCAAATCAGTCATCATGAAATTTGCAGTTGATACAATGAGCCGCAGGAAGTCTGGGGAAATTATTGCTTCCTTGTTTATCCATGGACGCGGCATAGAACTACAACGGACACCTTTAGGCATATTTCGCGCTTTGCTGAATTCTTTACTCATGTCGTTTCCAAAATACCTCGCGGAGTTCACAGAAGCCTTCCAAGATAAAGAGAAGCGGTACGGATCATATGACCAGAAGAACGGCTGGAGATGGAATGAAAAGGAATTGGAGAAATTCCTATCCCGACTCTTAATAGAGGGGACCAAAGAGATACCGGTTGTCATATTCATTGACGCGCTTGATGAGTGTGGGGAACATGCCAAAGGCCTACTGTTATTTCTCAAGAGCCTCGTTGAGAATGCGGAGCGACAGGGATCCATGGTCAAGATCTGCTTTTCGTCGAGGCATTTCCCGATACTTGGTCATGAGACGATGGCGAGGGTCTATGTGGAAGAGAAGAATGACCAGGATATCAGACTTGTTATTGGAGGCCGACTCAAGGAGATTCAACCACTGGAGAGGCGGCGAGAGATCGAGAAAGAGATCTTGTTGAAGGCCCATGGAAGCTTCCAATGGGCCATACTCGTCACAAACATGGTACTAGAGGAAGACGTGGCTGGGGCCAGAACCGAGGATCTACTTAATATCATTTCGACAACTCCACCAGACCCCGACGAACTGTACGATGCCATATTGAAGGGGGCGACCAAGGATAAGCACAGCCAGATGGCCAAGCTATTTTACTGGGTTGTCTATGAAAAACGACCCTGATCAGCCCAAGAGCTTCGAGAGGCACTCGCTACTGACAAAGACATGCCCTATAAATAGTCTCGGAGCTCAGATCTCATGGCACTTGGTCAGATTGCGTATCACAGTTCCAGATGCGTGTCCGGCATATATCTAGGGGCCTTGTGGAGTTCCAGAATCGTGACGTCTATGAGCAATATGAGCCCAATGGTGAAGAATGGAGCAGAGAAGCTCAGTTCATACATCAGTCGGCTGCAGATTTTGTTGCACAGAAGTTTCTCACCAATATTGACGGAGGGTCACCATCCAGGTCTCCGGGTGGAGCCGGCCACTATGAAATCTCAAGGTCTTTTCTCAGATATTTGACCTTAGAAGAAGTCCTTAACGCAAACATTCTATCTAGAGGGAAACTCTCAGCGACATTTCCCCTAATGCCATACGGAGTGACATTCATCCTCGACCATGTTAGGGGCGTTGAAGGAGAAACCATTTGCCAGGATGACTTGGTAACACTCATTCAATGAAACCAGAAAGAACGCCTTGAGATGCTCGCAAAGATATGGAGAATAATGGATCCTGAGGGCACTCATGCACCTAGAGGCTGGCCATTCCCAAGCGCCTCCGTTCTTCACCTCGCAATAGCATTTGGTCCAGCTAGCTTATTGGGTAAGTTGCTTCAGCGTAACAGCTCGCACTTGGACGCCAAGGATGCCGAAGAGAATACACCCCTTCAGCTTGCTTTACGAGAGGACCTTCAGGACTTGGCCCTGATGATACTGGAGCGCTCAAGGACGTGGCAGGCTGAGGATGACACCGTCGCTCCAGAAGACTGGCCAAGTGACATCGTAATACCACGCAGATATCTCGGCCATGTGAACACCACCAATATTGATGGTGAAACGCCTCTGAGCTTAGCCGTGTCCATCAAAGCAGATATGGTAATCAGGGCCTTGATCGACACAGGTTCTGAGATCAGACACGAGAGGTCGCTGCTATTTTATGCCATAAGTCAAGAGGATAAGGCACTAGTATACCAGCTAATGAAAGAGGGTTCGAACCTTGATGGGGCTGTCTTCTTTACAACGCAATGTCTAAATCGGGCCGATGCTAACCGTCACATACTAGAAGAGCTTTTAAAGGCTCTGCTTGAAGGCGGCGGTGATACAAGGAGACCAAAGGGTGCGGAGATTGATCATGCAAACGAGTTCGATGAAGATGAAGAGGATGATGGGGATGAAGAGGCACTCTTTGTCGCTATTCGTGGAGGTAGATCAGCAGCGGTCAATCTCCTGCTATCATACGGCTCTTCCGCAAACATGACAGATCCTGACAATGTATCTCTAATAACTCTAGCTGTTGAGGGTAACCATGAAGATATCGCCATGGCCTTGTTTTGGGATTTGCCTAAAACAATCTTTATAGAGGATTTAGATAGTATATTAGCCTTTAAGGAAATTATATAAACTAATTAGGTTAACTTTATGCTATTATTTATAAAAGCTTTATATTTAAAACCTTTATAATTTATTTAATAATACTTTACTTAAATAAAAACTTCATTTTAATTATAATTAAATCTTTAATAAATAAGCTTTTTTACTTAATATAATTAGCCTATTAAACTTTATTTTTTATAAGTTTTCAAATAATACAATTATTATTAAAAATAATAAATATTTTTTCTTTTTATAAATTTATTATAATATATATTTAGGCTAAATTATATAATACTTTATTAATAATTATTATTTTATTATTTAATAATTTCTTTAATTTATATTAAAAAGTATTCTTTTAGTATTATAAATTATTATAATATTATTTATAAATATTAAATATAAAATAAATAAAGCTTATAAAAATAATATTTTTAATATTACTATTTTAAATCTTTTTATAAAGCCTTTTATAACTATTTTAACTATTAAATTATAGCTATAGCCTTTAAGGTAAGTTTATAATATTATAAAATATAAAATATATTAAAAAATAAAAAAATATTATAAATTATTAATTTATTTATTATTATATTAATTTAATTATAATAAAAGTTATTTTAAAAGTATTATTTTAAGTTCATAAACTTATTTATATTAAGTAGCTTATTTTTAAGTCTTTTATATATTTTAAG